AATATAAATATAAATATAAATATAAATATAAATATAAATATAAATATAAATATAAATATAAATATAAATATAAATATAAATATAAATATAAATATAAATATAAATATAAATATAAATATAAATATAAATATAAATATAAATATAAATATAAATATAAATATAAATATAAATATAAATATAAATATAAATATAAATATAAATATAAATATAAATATAAATATAAATATAAATATAAATATAAATATAAATATAAATATAAATATAAATATAAATATAAATATAAATATAAATATAAATATAAATATAAATATAAATATAAATATAAATATAAATATAAATATAAATATAAATATAAATATAAATATAAATATAAATATAAATATAAATATAAATATAAATATAAATATAAATATAAATATAAATATAAATATAAATATAAATATAAATATAAATATAAATATAAATATAAATATAAATATAAATATAAATATAAATATAAATATAAATATAAATATAAATATAAATATAAATATAAATATAAATATAAATATAAATATAAATATAAATATAAATATAAATATAAATATAAATATAAATATAAATATAAATATAAATATAAATATAAAAATATAAATATAAATATAAATATAAATATAAATATAAATATAAATATAAATATAAATATAAATATAAATATAAATATAAATATAAATATAAATATAAATATAAATATATAAATATAAATATAAATATAAATATAAATATAAATATAAATATAAATATAAATATAAATATAAATATAAATATATAAATATAAATATAAATATAAATATAAATATAAATATAAATATAAATATAAATATAAATATAAATATAAATATAAATAAATATAAATATAAATATAAATATAAATATAAATATAAATATAAATATAAATATAAATATAAATATAAATATAAATATAAATATAAATATAAATATAAATATAAATATAAATATAAATATAAATATAAATATAAATATAAATATAAATATAAATATAAATATAAATATAAATATAAATATAAATATAAATATAAATATAAATATAAATATAAATATAAATATAAATATAAATATAATATAAATATAAATATAAATATAAATATAAATATAAATATAAATATAAATATAAATATAATATAAATATAAATATAAATATAAATATAAATATAAATATAAATATAAATATAAATATAAATATAAATATAAATATAAATATAAATATAAATATAAATATAAATATAAATATAAATATAAATATAAATATAAATATAAATATAAATATAAATATAAATATAAATATAAATATAAATATAAATATAAATATAAATATAAATATAAATATAAATATAAATATAAATATAAATATAAATATAAATATAAATATAAATATAAATATAAATATAAATATAAATATAAATATAAAATATAAATATAAATATAAATAAATATAAATATAAATATAAATATAAATATAAATATAAATATAAATATAAATATAAATATAAATATAAATATAAATATAAATATAAATATAAATATAAATATAAATATAAATATAAATATAAATATAAATATAAATATAAATATAAATATAAATATAAATATATAAATATAAATATAAATATAAATATAAATATAAATATAAATATAAATATAAATATAAATATAAATATAAATATAAATATAAATATAAATATAAATATAAATATAAATATAAATATAAATATAAATATAAATATAAATATAAATATAAATATAAATATAAATATAAATATAAATATAAATATAAATATAAATATAAATATAAAATATAAATATAAATATAAATATAAATATAAATATAAATATAAATATAAATATAAATATAAATATAAATATAAATATAAATATAAATATAAATATAAATATAAATATAAATATAAATATAAAATATAAATATAAATATAAATATAAATATAAATATAAATATAAATATAAATATAAATATAAATATAAATATAAATATAAATATAAATATAAATATAAATATAAATATAATATAAATATAAATATAAATATAAATATAAATATAAATATAAATATAAATATAAATATAAATATAAATATAAATATAAATATAAATATAAATATAAAAATATAAATATAAATATAAATATAAATATAAATATAAATATAAATATAAATATAAATATAAATATAAATATAAATATAAATATAAATATAAATATAAATATAAATATAAATATAAAATATAAATATAAATATAAATATAAATATAAATATAAATATAAATATAAATATAAATATAAATATAAATATAAATATAAATATAAATATAAATATAAATATAAATATAAATATAAATATAAATATAAATATAAATATAAAATATAAATATAAATATAAATATAAATATAAATATAAATATAAATATAAATATAAATATAAATATAAATATAAATATAAATATAAATATAAATATAAATATAAATATAAATATAAATATAAATATAAATATAAATATAAATATAAATATAAATATAAATATAAATATAAATATAAATATAAATATAAATATAAATATAAATATAAATATAAATATAAATATAAATATAAATATAAATATAAATATAAATATAAATATAAATATAAATATAAATATAAATATAAATATAAATATAAATATAAATATAAATATAAATATAAATATAAATATAAATATAAATATAAATATAAATATAAATATAAATATAAATATAAATATAAATATAAATATAAATATAAATATAAATATAAATATAAATATAAATATAAATATAAATATAAATATAAATATAAATATAAATATAAATATATATAAATATAAATATAAATATAAATATAAATATAAATATAAATATAAATATAAATATAAATATAAATATAAATATAAATATAAATATAAATATAAATATAAATATAAATATAAATATAAATATAAATATAAATATAAATATAAATATAAATATAAATATAAATATAAATATAAATATAAATATAAATATAAATATAAATATAAATATAAATATAAATATAAATATAAATATAAATATAAATATAAATATAAATATAAATATAAATATAAATATAAATATAAATATAAAATAAATAAATATAAATATAAATATAAATATAAATATAAATATAAATATAAATATAAATATAAATATAAATATAAATATAAATATAAATATAAATATAAATATAAATATAAATATAAATATAAATATAAATATAAATATAAATATAAATATAAATATAAATATAAATATAAATATAAATATAAATATAAATATAAATATAAATATAAATATAAATATAAATATAAATATAAATATAAATATAAATATAAATATAAATATAAATATAAATATAAATATAAATATAAATATAAATATAAATATAAATATAAATATAAATATAAATATAAATATAAATATAAATATAAATATAAATATAAATATAAATATAAATATAAATATAAATATAAATATAAATATAAATATAAATATAAATATAAATATAAATATAAATATAAATAAAAAAATATAAATATAAAATATAAATATAAATATAAATATAAATATAAATATAAATATAAATATAAATATAAAATATAAATATAAATAAAAATATAAATATAAATATAAATATAAATATAAATATAAATATAAATATAAATATAAATATAAATATAAATATAAATATAAATATAAATATAAATATAAATATAAATATAAATATAAATATAAATATAAATATAAATATAAATATAAATATAAATATAAATATAAATATAAATATAAATATAAATATAATATAAATATAAATATAAATATAAATATAAATATAAATATAAATATAAATATAAATATAAATATAAATATAAATATAAATATAAATATAAATATAAATATAAATATAAATATAAATATAAATATAAATATAAATATAAATATAAATATAAATATAAATATAAATATAAATATAACGCTGAGAACGCTCAGGAACTATATAAGAAACATAGGTGGAATTAATATAACAGATTCTTGAGATTCATACGCAGCGCTAGTTTATTAGCGTCTCCAAGCCAAAGCGATAATGCACTAACAATTACTCGATTTCTTCCTTCCGCCTCATTCGGTCGCCAAACGCAATTTATTTTGTTTTCTTCCTGGAAAATCTTTGAACTCTTGCACTGGAATTCTGCTTACAATTTAGAACATATTTTGCATTTGGCGGGTCAGTAAAATGAGTGATGATTTTTATTTTTCTATGTACAGCGACGCCTACAAAACACGGAGAACCAAAATCGCTGGGATCTCAAAATGTATAAAACCTATAAGGTTAGAATCAAATAAACATATACAAGCCTATTATCTGGCTATGCCTAACTCCCACCAACCACGAAAAAGTGCCGTATTCTCTAAGAACGCTGAGATATAAGTGACAGAATGATGGGATCAATGATGCCACCAAAGCGTAACAAATTTTTAGCATCTGCCCATTGCGACTTTCATCTTAAAATGTATGTTTTATTTGACCTTGTAAAAAACTTTCTTGTCAATACCCATCGATTTACCAATAAATAATCAAATATTTCACAATTTATTAAAAAATCTGCATAGGTTATAGAGCTTTATATAGGCAGTGACGTCACAACCAGTTATGCAACAGATGTTTCCAAAAAAGATGGTGCAAAAGGTTAACTTGGTTAGCAAAGGTCAATTTCTTTCAGAGCATCTTAAAAATAAGCTTTTCGATGCGATTTCAAAAACTTTTTTTAAAAACAAATTACAGAAATTTATAAAAAAAATACCGTTTTTCTCAAGAGGAAAGAATAATCGAAAAACGCAAGTGTGCAAACAGTTTCTTAACAGTGTCAAACTTGTGTAAACTTAAGATTTTATTTCTAACCCCATCCCATTGCAATGTTATGTTTATGTTTTTGCTAACTAACTAAGCACATTATATATGATAGCTACGTATTTAGAAAAAATGTACATTGAATATTAAGTGTTATTTTTTAAACGCAAAGTAAAAAATTTAGTTAAATTCCTTTGTGTAAACAGTTTCTTAATATACTGTAAGTAATCTAAACTATAAGAAAATAGTCTTTTTGATACATTCATATGCATGTATGAATGCATGTGTGACTTGCCTAGGGACCAACACTCTCCTTCCTTCTGAAACACTCTGTTCTAAAAATAAATAAAGACATACATAAATATCTATGTATTTGCTTTCATTTGAATGCAGATACATATGCACATAACATATAACATATGTATATATTTATGTACATATTAAGATGTATGTATGTATGTATATGTAGGTCTAAATAGCAGATAATTCCAATGAGCGTATTCACACAAACATTCTTTAGTTTTTCACCCATTGTCAGGTCTGATAATTTTTAGCTCTCTATTTGTTATTTTAAAGCTTGTTGTGAGCAATTTTCTTGTTTAAACCGCTATGTTGTATACATTATGTGGGTTTATCTGCTTATTGATGATTGGAAGTCATGTCTCATTAGCAAATGGTAAGTAAAATGTTTTTTTTTTATTCTTGCCTACATATGTATGTACATACATATGATATACATATGTACGATATACATATGTACATATGTTGTGGGCTAATAAGCCTGCTTGTCGTTTATGTATGTATGTATGTTGATAAGATGGCCAATTTGGGTCTACAACATAAAAGCAGCATCTAAGAGTGCATTTACTTATGCACTTCTCTAAGTAAAGTACATACATACATATGTACATATATAAGCAGAAAAGACCCAGCAGTTTACAGTTTATCAATTTTTATAAAGGAATCTTCGCTAAATTGGTTTTGATTTACATAATGTATTCAATACTTGCCTGCCCTTCACCCTTTCATTGACCATTTTATTAATTAATATGCAATGAGGAGAAGCACATACAAATAGAAACATATTAAAGCCATACAAACCAAAGTTATGCATATCTACATATTTGTATATACATATGTACTTACTTACATACATATGTACAATGTATGTATAAATTTTATTTTCGGTAATTGCTTTTTTGAAAATAAAGGGAAGTTTAAAATTATATTATGATACTGTTTACTTATGGTTTTAATTTTAGCCACAATTTTCAACTCCGCAAGTATTCTTTAAAGATGCATGAGCCCATTTGAAGCTGAAAATCAATTTTGCTCATTTCGATTTTTGCTATAGAATGAGATAGGAAAGTTCGCAAACCTTTATTTTACTGCCACCTCCATTGATTGATATAGATTTTCATAGCTTTCCGGGCGACATAAAACATACAAATCATTTCCGAGAAACTGGAAATCATTTCAACAATTACTTCAACAGATTTGCAATTAGTTGCAAAACATTTAAAAAAATTTTATTTATCTTAATTTTTAGGCAACTAAATGATAGGAAAACAATATAAAATATATTATATATGGGAAAGCATTGCTAACGGTAAATCGAAAATCAAGAGATTGTACACAGTTTCTAACTTGTGTAAACTTTAGTTTTGTAAGTGCCGCGACAATGGGATACCCTTTACATTTGTATTAAATTGTAAAATATTAATTTCCCATCAGGCATTGACGAGGCATACTTGAATATTTAAGTTTTGCGGCCTTTTAGGCCTTATATGGGTAGTGAAATATGCATATTTCACTACCCATATAAGGCCTAAAAGGCCGCAAAACTTAAATATTCAAGTTTTTAAGAAAAAAGTGGGCGTGGACAACTGCTGAAACAACTTGAACTGCAGTATCATCTTAAGCATACATATCGAACAAACGCTGCGCAAAAATATCTTAGATTTCAGAGTCCCAATTTTAATTCCAACATACGAAAACAGGTAGATATGCACGACGAGTGATTCTTATCAAAAAGCAAATGCCATAGAACCACATACTCGTAATTACTTACTCACACATACACTCACATGACATAAAAAGTGTGAAAATGAAACCTAAATAGGACGCTTTTCACCCCAAAGCTGTCTTGATTCCTGATAACAAATATAATAGATATTTTATGCCTTCTTTTGGAAACTCCATTACATATCAACGGTAAGGTCTTTCAGTCTGTATATAACTATATAGTGGCAAGGAATTTTAGTCCATATTATTAAAATGTTTGTCTTCGTTTGATTTTGTATAACATTTTGTTGTCAAAAACAAAAGATTTTTCAAATCGGAACATTATTTCGGTATTTATATAAAAATAAAGGTAAAAGCATCATATGAAAAAGGCTTCCTTTCGACTAGCAATATAAATGCTTTAAAATATTGTAAAAAAATATCGGGTATGTTATAGTCGCGGCACTAAACTGTCTTCTTGTTATAAATATAATAATAATGATGGTTGCATTCTTTCAAAAACTACTGGTCTTTGTCTGGATAAAGGTAGATACTATGTACACATATAGACATAATTACATGGTTGTATATTAACAAATACACTCGAAATGTTTTAATAAATACTTGCAATGTAAAAGTTCTTATAAAATAATTCCGTTATTATTGTCCGAGACCCAATTCGCTCTCCCTATAAACAAACTTAATAAACATATTTATATATTTAAAAATATAAATTGCAATTTTTAGGTAGCATATCGGATTATATAAGAAAATGCTGTATAGGTGGGCTTCGACATGCACGAGCCTCAGCGTCTTGCAAAAATGTCGATATATCTTTATCAATAATCCCACAACTCTGGCTTGGGCTTTGTCATTCTACACTTGACGTATGCTGTTCTCGAGAACTCGACCATCAAAATTGTGAATTAGGTCGACTCGCTGCTTTGGAAGGTACTCGCTGTGACAGCGAAGGAACTCTTACTTTTAATTCTTATTCAACATGTTGCCGTGCTTGTCAAATTGGATTGGCAGTTAAAGCAAGTAAAGTCAATTGTGAGGATCCATTATTTTCATTTCTTTCTTCAATTGATTCATATCGATTTTGTTGCTATGGGGCGAAAGATTTTAATGGCACAAAATCTAATATTGATCAAATCAGTAATGACAATTCTATCATTGAAGAAGGCGAAAGCCGATTGGATTCAAAAGAAGATATGAACGGTACTATTATTCTAACCGGTGACGGTAAGTTATTTATATACGTTAATCGAAACCCTAAATATATTCGTGTACATTTCCCCTTAGATGACATTTGTGGAAAAATTGGTAACCTTTGCGCCCACATATGCGAAAACACTTATGACGCATATCAATGTAAGTGTCATCCCGGATTTTTGTTAGATAACAACAACGTAACATGCTCTCCAGAAAAAAGTGAAATATGTCCTAGTGGCTACCACTTGGATAAAATAGAAAAAAAATGCATTGACATTGATGAATGCAGGGAAGATATTCACGAATGCAAATTTTCTCAATACTGCCATAATACTAATGGCGGATACCACTGCTTAGACGTGAAAACAAAGAATTGTTCCCCAGGATTTCACTATATTAGTGAACTTGATGAATGTAAAGGTAACATACTATATATATTTTAAGGAAACAATTTAAAAGAGGTAATGTTTTATATTTATATGGGGAAACAGAACTGAGGTTTAATTTGTAAATCCCTTATACATAGAGTAATGTGGTATACCATATCCCTCAAAATCAGTAGATCGTATCTCCTTATAGCAAATTTATATTTGTGGACAAGACTAAAAGTTGCATCCACATTTTTATAACTAGGTATTTCGGAAATGTGCAATTGAACAGCAAGGAGCACAGCTCCTTTTCTTCAACAGAGCATTTATGGTATCACTTGCTTGCTACAACGGATTTGTTTTGCCTAGAATAGTGAGATGGATACAATGGTACAATGAGAAAATGATTTTTTTACTCGTAGTCCATTCTCCAGATTGCACAATCTTATTAAATTTCTAACAGTTACGTCTCTTCGTAAATTTGATTTAGTTTTCCCTAACTCCCATAAACGGGTTAAATCAACTTTGATTTTGAATTATTTGACTCTGCTTCCGCAGATACTCAAATCTATCCGTTTTGGCTTAGCTTAGATAATTCACCTTTGCTATTCATGCTAATTTTTCGCTGTCTGAGCATCGCATATTTTATCTTACTCAGGTATTAAGATTTCATGCTCTATCAACTGTAACTGTTTTTAATTATGGAAATATGAAAATCTTACTTATGAAATATCTTACTTTAAAATAAACATATTTCTCTCCTAGATGATTACGATTGCAAAAAAGATGGTTCTAAATGTACTACGATCAAAGAGCTGTCATGTGATAGTGGATTTAGTTTAGAAAACGGCCACTGTACCGATATAGACGAGTGCTTCCTTAGCACATTTAACAACTGCAGTAGTAATAATAATCAGGAATGCGTCAACACTGTGGGAAGCTATTCATGCCGCTGTCAGGCTGGATTCAATTTTGATGCAACCCTAAATAAGTGCGTTGGTATGTTAAATTTATCTTTAGTTTTTATGCTTCCAATATATAATATGTATTGTTTCCCATAGATATAAATGAATGTTCAATAAACAACCACAACTGCCTTCCAACTCAGAGATGTGATAACACTATCGGATCATATATATGCACGGTATGTTTTAACATCATAAAAAGATGCTTCTTTTACATAGCTTATTCTAAACAGCGTCTTCAAAGCTGCGGCACAGGCTATACCTTAAATGCAGAAACTGGCAATTGTGATGGTGAGAACTTAATAAAACTACTAAAAGATATTTTCTATAAGAAGTAAACGAATAAACATTTGATGAATGATTGTATAGTGTATTGTATTATTGAAAAGTATATAATAGGTAGAAGAAAACGTTTCTGACTCTATAAAGTATATATATTCTTCTTCAGAAATAATAGTCGCGGCCCATCTATCCGTATAAAATCTGATATTAAGTTCAATTGTGTGTCCGTATGTCGGGAACTATAAGATTTATAAGAGCTTTATGATTATCCGTCTACTCGTGTCGCCGTTTCTTCGCACAAACATAATATTATTGGGCAAAAAAAACAAGAAGAATCGCTATAGTCGAATGCCGCGACTATAAGATACCCGTTACTGTTTTACACAATTTTAAAATATTCATTTTGCCACGCCACATATTGTCGGAGAAAGCTTGTTGGGTAACTGATAGTAACGTCACTGCCCATGTAAGGCCTTATAACCTAAATTTCTTCATAAATAGCAAAATAATGTTCCGATTTGAAAAAAGCTCAAACGAAAACATATAATATATTATTATGTACGACATAGTTTTCCGCGGTTCTTGGGCGTTAGAGTGGGTGTGGCCGGATAAAAACTAAAGGCAAGTTGCAGGGGCATCTGTTAAATACGCATTCTTAAACACACCTTTCTAGCTCTTATAGTTTCCGAGATTTTCGCAATTTTGATTTTTCGGGTTTTGAAGGCGTTACAGTGGGCGTGGCTTGATCGAAAAAAAAACAATTCGCATTGGGGATATTCGCTACGACCTGCATTATAATGCGCTCATAAAACTGTTATTTTTTTTTATTCTGCCTTCTCAAATTTCTACAAAAAAAATTAAATGTGCAAGCTAAAAAGTAGAAAACTACTGCATTATTATGCGCTCATAAAACTGTTATTATATATTTATTCCGCATCATAAAAACCTACATGCTTAATCCGACCTTTCTATCACTTATAGTTACTGAGATATCAGATTTTCTACAAAATGCGAAAACCGTCTTGTGAGCTTGGTAGGCGTAAGACTCTACGAGTTACGGGTATAAAAAGAACTGTTATTAAAATATTCAAATCTAATGCTTTCGGCTTTTAGTTTCCAAGAGACAAAATAATAAAAAGAAACGTTTTCCAAAAAATTTTTATTTTTGTTAAAAAAAATCCCTTTCTTGCATGACTAATGATACTGAAAATACGAACGAAGATCTGATATGTTCAATTAAAAGCAGAACCGGATACGTGAATAATGATGATATATTATCACACCCCAGAAAGACGAGCCGCTGGTTCGGAATAATGTACTTGTTAATAGAGCATTAAATTATTCATATCCACTGCTTTCGGATTTTAGTTTCAAAGTAAGAAAATAATAAAGGAAGATGAAGATGAGAAATAATTTTCTTTAATTTGAGATGTGTTCAGTTAAAAGCAGAATCGGACCATGAATTAATGAAACGCTTAATTCTTTAATTCTTTAACGAATCTGATATATTGTTTTACTCTACGAGTAACGGGTATAATAACAGGTAACAGCTATCTCATAGTCTCAACAATCGACTATAGCATTTCTTCTTGTTTTCAATCTATCATAATTCCATTGAACTTAATTTTATATTTAAATGAATTTTCATTTAAGATGATGATGAATGCAAGCTCAATACGCATAACTGTCCTTCTAACTATGATTGCCACAATACAAAGGGATCGTTTCGATGTTATAGAAAATTCTCCACAAGCTCAACCACTACCACGACGTCAACAACAGTTTCCCCATCAGCCTCAGAACATGGCCAATACCCATATTCAACAGCTGCACACCATAATCTTAAATTTGGCAATTTCACAAGATCCCAAATGAACTGTTCCTCTGGGTTTCATAGAAATAATCTTGGTGCATGTGTTGGTAACTAGAAAAACATTATATTTTGTATTTTTTATTATTTACCTTAACTAAAAGATTTTAATTTTAAAGGATAAAATCTAAATCTAACCCTTGGATATGATAAGGTCTCCGGCATTACTGAATCTTTATAATATACCAATATGAAAATTTAATATTTGTTAAAGAACTTACAACTTTATTTAGAAGTCGACAGAACGTATTTTAAATTATATTATGTAACAAACGGTTCTTGCCGTTGGTTTTATTAGTATTTACACCAACTACGTCGATTTGGTTCTTACAAGAGCTACAGAAATTAACGAATAAATATCTTTTATTGCTAAATAGATAAGATAGTAAGTGCTTTGAATAACTGAAATAATTTATTTTTCTTAGATACAAATGAATGTGTGGAAAACAATCCTTGTGGTAACCATCAACGCTGCATCAACACGAATGGGTATTTTCGATGCGAGGGCCTTCTTCTCTGCTCTCCCGGATACAAATCAACGGCAGACGGAAAATCATGCACAGGTAGTAAAAAATTAAAATAATCACTATACTTTCAAAAATTGAAAAGCTTTAACAAAATCGCACTTATTGTTTGGTCCCAAGAACGTTTGGAAGTGCGGTGCCTTTAAAAAGTCATTCTTTTGGCACGGTCATTTATGAGGGTTTAGTCTTAATTGTCAAACCTATTTTTTTGTCCAGGACATCAAGATCGCTTTTTCTATTCCTATTATATTTATCTGTCGACAAATCTATTGATTCTATTTATCATTTTCAGACAACAACTAAATTTGTATTTAAAAACAGTATTTTACGCTGTTCATTTAAATTGAGCAAAACTTATTTATTTAATACTGCTATCTTTATTTTCTGTCTCTTATTTATTGTTATGGATAAAAAACTATAATTTAACCCATCTGATTTTAATAATCTGATTCTTTTAAAATCGGCACAAATTTATACGGCTTGGCAATTTAAACTTTAAATAAATAAAAAATATAAATTTGGATATAATTAAAAACCGGGTACTTAGACAGAGTGTTAAAAAATGTTAATTTCATATTCTCTGCCATTTAACTTACAAAAAATTAAAATTATATTTTCTCCCATTACAAAAATTGAACATCATCTACAGGAGATTATCCTATTTACCCGAATTTTTAGAAGTATTTGATTTCTTTGCCAAAACCGGTACATATCGCAAAATCATTACTACCCTGCTATTAAATTAAATTCAAATAATAATAAATAAAAAGTTCGCTTAAAACACGAACAAGTGGATATCCTACTAAAAAGTGAAATATTTATATTACTTATATTTAAAAAAAGGCAGTTCTCTTAAAATGTTTTTTCAATTATTTTATTTAATTTTTTTTTGGCTTTTACAAATTTAACATAATGTTTTTAATTAACAGACATTGATGAGTGCGATTCAGGTGATCACAATTGTGGCGAAGGACAAATATGCCGAAATCGAAACGGTGGGTATGTATGCACCTGTCCGACAGGTCACGAGTTTAAGCGCCTCAGCACTGGTGTTAATGTATGTGCTGATACAAACGAGTGCACTACAGATCAACGGGTATGTCCATCCAATGCAAACTGCTTTAACACGATAGGATCTTACTATTGTGAGTGCAAAGCTGGCTTTCAAAAGAAAACAGGCAATAATAATTATACACAATGCTTTGACATCGATGAGTGCCAAGAGGTTTCGGGTCTTTGCCAACAAAAGTGTATAAACTTTTGGGGAGGATATCGATGTACATGTAACTCCGGATACCAACTAGGACAGGACAACCGCACATGCGATGATATAAATGAATGTGAAGTGCATAAGGATTACAAGCTATGCATGGGGTAGAAACAAAACGACTTATTTTTATAAAGCATTTGATAATTACTGTGTTCAAATTTAAGATTCTGCATCAATACTCCCGGATCCTATCAATGCTCCTGTCCACGTGGGTATATGTTATCACCAGACAAGAACTCCTGTCGCGATATCAATGAATGTGAAACTGATTCTATAAATCAGGTTTGCACAGGCCAGGTATGTATTTCATTCGCCAAAATAATACAATACAATACAATTTTTTCAAACCATTCAGTTTGAAAATTTTGTCAGGTTATATAAAAGTAAAATAATAATTCGCAAAGATTACAGCAACGTTAGATTTTGAAATAATTTTATTTTCTTCTGTTGCTTGAATTATAAATAATAAAATAAAAAATTAAAATATAATCCAAAAGAGCTCATTTATCATAAACATACTGCACACGCTTGCTCTTAAAAGAGAATTTGACTAAAAAAATAGTAAAGTGCACTACGTTCAAAAATGCACTTACCTGCGAATGCATGAGCGGAAAGAAAATAAGGACAAGATTCCCTTTCTTGTGCTGTAATTTGAATTAAGAATTTTATTTTTATTTGTATGTCTAGAATGACATTTGCACCAACACTCGAGGAAGCTACAAATGTACAACCGTTGATTGCCCATATGGATACACTATTGATCCAGACCAAAAAAAGTAAGTTTAAAAGTAAATCTGTATGTTGTAATAAATATTTACCAATTCCAATTACCAAATTACCAAAAAAAATCATTGGTTAAATGATTGTCTATAAGTAAGCTACCTTATCAACCAGCTCCAAAAAACATTATTGAAGATACGCTTCTTTTTCTTATGCAATAATTTGTCTCTATAATAAAGGCTCTTAGTTCGATAGCTGATTGGCAAAGCTAACACATTGACGCCAATTTTACTGGCATCTTAACCATACGATGTATGCTTCTTAACTGATATTGACGTCTTTTTTACCCGTTACTCGTAGAGTAAAAGGGTATACTAGATTCGTTGAAAAGTATGTAACAGATAGAAGGAAGCGTTTGCGACCCTATAAAGTATATATATTCTTGATCAGGATCAATAGCGAAGTCGATTGAGCCATGTCCGTCTGTCCGTTCATCCGTATGAACGCTGAGATCTCAGGAACTATAGCAGATACAAAGATGAGATTAAGCATGAAGATTCTTGAGGTCCCGGGACAGCGCAAGTTTATTACAGCATCCTGCCACGCCCACTATAACGCCCACAAATCGCAAAAAACTAAAATTGCTGAAATCTCAGTAACTATTGGAGCTAGAAAATTGAAATTCAGAAAGTATAATCTTTAGATGCCAGCGCATCTTATAGTGGTACTACTATCCGTCCACACCCACCCATACGCTCACAAGGCTCAAAAGACGGTTTTCGGATTTTCTAGGAAAGCTGATATCTCAGTAACTATAAGAGATAGAAAGTTCGGATTAAGCATGTAGGTTTTTATGATGCTCCCAATGCGAATTGTTTTTTTCCGATCAAGCCACGCCCTCTCTAACGCCCATTAAACACGAAAAACCAAAAATGCAAACCTCTGACAATAGCGTTTCCTCTTGTTTTGATATCCATCAATTAAACAAAAACTATCAAATATGTTCGGTATTTCGTAATTTGTTCGCAAGATTGGGACATTGGCTCATGGAACGAAAAAAAAATTGATTTTCAGAATCGTTTTTCTTCGATCTTTTAGACTAAAACTCCCAAAGCCCACTGGCTTCACTTAATTTTATTTTTTTTTAATTCTGACTCATTTGCAATAGTCCAATACGCGTTTAAAAATGGTGAATCACCAGGCTTTAAAATATCCTATTTTGAATTGAAATGTTATCGAAATGTTTAATTTCACATTAGGTATATAAGAGATAAAATCTCTTCGCAAACGAGCACTTTGAAACTTTAGCCACTCACTATTTAGAATTTTCATATACATTTATAATTTTTGTTCTTGCAGCAGGTGTCGACAAAATACTAATTTTTGTGAAGGGGATGATTGTTATTCAAAACCGTCAGCTTACACGTATAACTTTATAACATTTGTTTCCAAACTAATAATACCACCGGATGGTCGAGCCATTTTTACATTGAGGGGTCCACTTTGGTATGATAATATTGACTTCGATCTAAGGATTGTTCACATACAAGCAAATAGCAATATACAGTCGGCAACAGACAAGAATTTTGAGTAAGTTATTAATTTTCATTTAGTCTATAAAAAAAAATTAATTGTATAATTCTCAGCACTTTAAAAAGCAACAACCAAGTTAATGTGATATTGAGAAAATCTTTGGAGGGGCCACAGGACATTGAATTGGAATTAACTATGACGGTGTTTACAAATGGAATGCCTAGAGGAAAAAGTGTGGCAAAATTATTCCTTTTTGTTTCTCAATATAACTTTTGAAATAAATGCACATATCAGAAAATATTTTTTGTTACCCATTACTCGTAGAACATAAGAGTAATAGCCGAATTAGCCAAGTCCATCTGTCTGTTTGTATGTATGAACGCTGACTGAAATTTCGGAAACCCTATATATGGCCGCTTAGGTCTCGGAACTTATAAGAGATAAAAGATGGCACCAGTTAATTATTTTAAAATTAAAGACTTATTAAAAAAATTGACAACGGGAAAGTATCTCGTCCTTTTACCCGTTTATTTTCAACTTTATTTCAGTTATTGAATTTTAAATTTCCTAAATCAATTAACAATTGGTTGCACAACTTAAAGAATAATAATGAATATGGTCTTGTTGCTGTCATCGCCATTTACCGAATTTCTGTGGAGGTTTTAAATAAATCACAATCATCAACAAATTCAACATGCGTGAATGGAAAATGGCCCATTCTTCCATTTAGTTCCCCCTCCCATTGTCCATTAATATTTGTTTTGGTGACTTTGATAATATCACCAATTTCCAATTTCAATGCAGTCTTATCGTAGGCGTTTGGGACCCTAGACTGTTTTACGCGGGCGTATGCTGGCAATTTTCGCTGTATACATAAAAAATAATTATTTATATGGAAACATTTATTTTTAACACTTACATTTAAATCTGTTCTTTTTAGTGAGTTTCCCAGCAGATTGCTAGATCCTGTATTGGTGAGTTCATTTATATTATCTTCATCTATTGAATCATCATACTATAAACATATTGGAAATAGTTAATATTTCGGTTTACATTTACAGAAACAATTTATTTTTAACCAATCTACAATATCCCCTTTATTTACTTCATACGAAAAATTAAAAGTTAATTACAAAGGATTTTGAAACCAGAAAACTAAAAAGATTATTATGAAAAATTATTTGTTTTAAATTGTTAGTCTTAACAAAGAGTCGAAAATTTTTTTAATCTTTTATATGGCTTAAAAATGATTAAATATGTACATTTACAATTATGTGAAAATTACAACACGAAGATAATGAGACCAAGATAAGGTTTTCCATTAAAAAATCGCTAATATTAAGTACGCTCTGCATAAATAAAAACGTTCTTATTATATTATGATAGTGTGGTTTTAAAGGTTAATAAAAATATATATAGTATGAAATTAAAACCGACCATTCTTTCCGATATTTTATCAAATACCTAGCACATATTGGTATATATTGGATATGGCATAAAAAGTTTAATATTATTGTAGCTATATGTATATATTTGGCTTAAAAAAGGACAAATTTACAATAAAAAAACATTCTAGATAACGTAAAAATAAATGTGCAAATAATTCATACATCAGTGACGCCGCCTCAAAAATATTCTACGCACCGAATGTATATAAGGAACAGGTATTTGCCCAATTTTCCCAGATGAATTACGGGCAGTCCACCATTGATCTTCGTCTTTTCGAACCACTGTTAGAATTTCACCTCTATGGAATGGCAAATCATCCTGATCCTTTAAAAAATAGAATAAATTAAAGAACAAGTAAAGTATTAAAATATAACAATTGAATATGTGCTCACGCTGCCAACAAAGTCGAACTTTCCTATTACTTTTTCTACCCTTTTACTTTTACACGCAGGCCGTTTAAGAGGGGTTGTATCCAAGTAATGAAGTGTGTAAAAGGTCAATAGTTTCGGTAGATTATCGAATGACTGATCCCCAATGCGGTACACAATGTGATCCTGTTGTTGAACTTTGTTAATGATGTAGTTGCTAACTTTTGTATCTTCTCTAAAATCAAAAAAAATCTTTAAATATAAGTCTTTGTTATAATACATTTATACTTGAATTTGCCAGTTTACCTCATCGTACAAAAAAAAAATAACCTTCCAGTTAATAGAAGTCAGAAAGAGCTATATATATGTTATATATTATTAATTATTATATAAAGTAGAAAATAGATATACAGTGAATCGCAGATTATTTCGTCCAGCTACAAAAAAAGTTTGAATCGTTATTCCTGCTAAACTAAAAAAGATATCAAAAACGCAGTTTTTTAACAGGGAACAGGTTTAAACTAAAACGATTTTCATAATCATAAAAACAAAAAACTTATGTAATAAAAACAAAAAATTCAGACTTTTTCGTGCCACAGCTTTTTTCGTGCATCAGATTCTACTTAACTGCTGAACGAAATAAGCTGCGACATGAAAAAGGCTGAATTTTTTGTTTTTATTACATAAGTTTTTTGTTTTTAATATTATGAAAATCGTTTTAGTTTATAAGCATGTTAATATTCATATATTTTTTAGTTTAGCAGGAATAACGACTTTTTCGTAGCTGCACGAAATAAGCTGCGATCCTCTGTAAGTCGAAGTAGCAGTTTCTAACCTATACGTATGGTGGGTTTAAAAAAAGGTATTTCTGAGATACTTCCGTAAAAAAATATATATATATGCAGTAGTAATATTCAATCACTTTATCGGCGTTTATTTTACATTTTTATACTGTAAACAAAGATATTCTGACAATTGCATGTACATTTAATAACTTGAATGTCTTACCTTTCATTTTTTATTTATTTATTTTAATATATACTGCACACAAAGATAATCTGACAATTACATGTACATTTAATAACTGTAACGTCTTACCTTACACAAAGGACATAATCCCCGGCTATTGAGTTACTGTCACGGACTAGAAATACGCCTCGTTCCCGCTCGTTCATTAAAACTTCTGTAGCATCCTGCCGGGTCATGGGTCCAAAATACCAGCTATATAGAACAATCAAGAATATTTTTGTACCCACTTGCTACTAGTTTTAATAAAAAGTTATTTAGTTTACTTAATTTATTCAACTTTACCTGTTTCTATCAGAAACATCAAACGAATCCATTTCCGTGTTTAGTATAGCTTACTTATCATTAAGTTATACACAGAATCAGAATGAATCCAATTCCTGATATAGCTGATTTCTTAATATTAACCACTAGTCTTCACTATACGCATATTAAATTTATATCTGTAAAAGAACTTGCAAAATGGTTATTATTTGCCTCTTCTACATATGTGTATCCACTCTAGAGGTGCCAGAAACATAGAGTTTTTATCGATGATTCGATAATGTGCTCATAATCATATTCACTATATATGCTTAAAATGCAATACTTTCACGTAACACCGTATTGATAGGCTTTAAGTCGTTCTTATTTCATCCGTTTTCTAATAATAAGATATCACAATAACTCGTGCTGTTGCAAATCTATTTTAATTGTTAGGCTGATACCTTAGGCACTAATTTGAAAATAAAATGTAGAGGGATGTTTTCCATCATTAGATTTGACATTAGGTGAACCTAACCCCCTCAACATTAGATGATCCCAATAACATCATTTGGTGGCACAGGGATTTAAAATTTACTTGAAATATTTTCACAGTTTCGTAATGATTAGTAAAACTTGGAATCAGGTCGCATAATCCTTTCATAGTAGTTATTTTGTTTAATTGATATTGGATAAAGTATATCAAAGTGTTAGGAAATGCAGTGAATGTTCCGCAATTATAATTATATTATGAACTCCGTATAATGGCGCTAACTTCTATTTTTCAGTGTGAACATGCTGTTCAAAAATAACTAATGTACGATATCTGGAGAAGACTTGCACATTTATATCGGTGTCAGCGATTATTAATCGAATTTGTATACGCCATTTTGTATATGTGTGTTGCATATAGTGAAAATTCGAGAGGTCATAATGAAGTAAAATGTTTCAATCGAATAATATTAAAATACTCTTCTAAAAGTGTGGATTTTATGTTATACAATATATTAATGTTGAATGATTATTCAAACTGCTAGTAATTTAAATTGTGTATTTAACTATTGCTTATGTGTACACATCTGAATACTTACCTATATGTGTGTATTCAGTTCAATATGAAGTGAAAGATGTAAAAACTTGTTTCGTCCTCGGGCAAAATGAATATGCGTACCACAGTATAATTTTAAATATGATTGGGAGACATAGAAAAAAGTGGTAATATATGATATATTGCTAAATGGGTTAATTTATCTCAGAGTATGAATTAACATTGTTGAACAATGTTTATATAAAAAAAATTTTAATATTTATATATGTAAATATATACAACCATTTGTTATAGTTCATACACGGCTAAATCGACTCAGCTACAGATCTTGAATATATACAGTAATGGAAAACATAGTAACGTCTTTTTATTAAAATTAAAAAAAAAAACAACAACTAATGGTATACATTTATGACAAGTTTTGTAGATTATTGAATTTACTAGTTAACATCTGAATTTTGTTTTTAATCCGGACGTTGCTTTGTATCGGTATACTATTCATATAAGTAACAAAGTTTGTAGATTGTCTAATCAAAATCTAAAGTTGTTTAGCCTATTAAATCTAAATTGAATGAAGTAGTTTTAAGGATGCACTTCATCGTTTATTCAACTTAATAGTTAAAGCTGTACCGAATATTTTGTGTTGCATCCTTTAACTTATTTTATTTTCCTTATTTGAAAAAATCAGAATATTCTTCGAAATGTTGTAAAATGTTTAATGTGTTTGTCGAAAATTAAAAAAAAATTGTAAGCCATCATATGGGATCGATCATTAATTTGAAAACAGATGGCGCTAGTAATTGTACCCACTGTCGTTTTCTGTTGTTTATAGTTATAGTGTGTTCTGTTAAAGTTGGTTAACAACGTAATGATCTTATAATCACGGAACTGGAGAATAACATTCCTTCTTGTACTCTTTCAAATCATTTAATACGAAATTAAATCGTGAGGTCAATCAAAGTCAGGTCGCTATAATAATTGTAAAACTATTATTGGATACCTTCAGCTTTCTGTATGTGAAGTAAAGACCGTGATTATTTACAGAGTGATGGTGAAACTTTAATAAAAGATCGCCAATGACAACCAGTAGCTACGTTAGCATCTCTTGAATCTGCACGCTATATACATTTCATTTTTTATAGTTCATACACGGCTAAATCGACTCAGCTACAGATCTTGAATATTTACAGTGATAGAAAACATAATAACGACTTTTTTCTTCGTGCTTAACTTCATGTATCTAATTATATATTTATTTTGAACCATACGCAAGGAAAAAGTTTTTATTTATTTTGTTTCAAGTCTATGTTTTCGGCCCTAAAATAAAACAAGAAGAAACTATAGTCGAGTGCCGCGACTATAAGATACCCGTTTCTTTCTTATCCAATTATTTAATAATGATTTTGCTCGCAGAAATTGACGCAGCGACACCTTTTGTCAGGAAAAGCATGTTTATTACTACATATTTAAATAAATGAGGAAATAATGTTCCGATTTGAAAAATTGGCTAACCCAACTGCGTTCCTACATAAAGCGGTTTGCAAACATTCCAGCTTTGTTGAGTCTCGGTGATTTTAGTGACTTATTAGTGATTTGTAGGCGTTAGAGTGGGCGTATCAGGATGCTGATATAAACTTGCGCTCCCAACGTTGTATCCCTTATATTCAGCGTTTATACGTGCAGACGGACATGGCGTAATCGACTAGGCTATTAATCCTGATCAATTGATAACTGAGCAGTCATACAAAGCTTTGGCCATGCAAAAATCACGCTACTTCAGATGACCATTGGAATAAGGGCGAAGTCCATTACATTGATTTATCTACATATATCAGGGTCAGTAGTACTATATACACACTTCTGTATTGTCGGCGAGCCGATTGTCCATTGTTAGCTTTACCCATGGGTGAATCAAAAATCACCAAGGAAAGAATACACTTATTGTTAACACCATGAATGTCTTAAAGTTTGGAGAAAAATTTAACTTAAGTTCCTAAATCACGTTATTTTTTAATCGTATGCATCCACGATATCAATAATAAGCTATGCGTCACAGAATTAGTCAGCTTGAGATTTTGGGAAATATAAGAGATGAACATTTAACATTTAGTATTCAACAGATGCCCTTTTAGCTCCAAGTGGCTCCATAATATTTAGGCTTTTGTATTGGTTTGACCTTATACTTTTTCGCAATACCTATTAAATGTTTCTGGCAATATTTCGAAGGTAGTATAATTGTACCCGGCTTTAGTTTATATTGGTAAAATTATTATTTGAACATACGTTAACAAAGTAACGGGTATATAACAGTCGCTGCACTTGACTATAGCGTTTCTAGGATCTATGTAATATAAGTCTTTAAAAAATGTATTTTCTCGGGCCTTAAAAATGTTAGATAATGTCTTGTCATATATGTATAACAATAAAACAGAGGTATTTCATAAGAATCTATAAACTTATTGTTTTCATTGTAACAGCTTCCGTTATTGATCATCCAAAACAAGATATATGGCCGAAAACATATTCAATGGTACAACATCATGTCTAAAACCAACCATAGCTTTCGAATCAAGGATAAAGAGCTTAATTCTTCTAAAAACGGTGAGTATTATTAATAATAAATGTCTTCGTGACTTTTAAAACATTGTATTTTTATTTTAGGCAAAGAAAATGAGTGTAAAATTGAAAGAAAATATGTTTTTAACTCAACCCCCAAAACAGGTTGTTCAACAGTATTAGATAACGAGTTGGTCGCATTAGCAGCTTTGCAGATTTGTGATTATAAAAAGAATACTAGTGGCATTAAATGTATACCCAACGATCAGCTGATTAATCCCACATGCAAAGGCACCATCATTATCTCGTTTTTACCTCAAAAAATGCTTACACGACAACCCTATCATCTATTTTTCTTTCTCCTCCTTGTTGCGGTTCACCAGATTTCATTATCGCAGTCAATATTCTTAGACGATTTAAGTTCAAGGGACAACAGAACCATTTCACAAGAAAAGACGAATGGAAACAATAACTTAAAAAATGGCACAGGAAGTAACATGATTTCTGGAAACTCACCTATAGTGCAAAAAGATTATTTGGAAAAGTTAAATAATTTTGAGCGTAATGTCGCAGCTGTTCTAATAAAAGTAGCATATGGGACAACTTCTACAACCAAGCGAAGTATACCAGATACTAGTTACTCCTTGGGTCTAACCACTGTCGCTACACCATTTTTGACAACGCAAAGGTAAGCCAAAATTATTCTAAGAAAGCCAGAATAGAAAGCAAGCTTAGAAAGACAGAAAGAGAAGCTGTGTTTAGAAGATTCGATATGTAAATTGTGTTCACTACCGGGTTCTACAAATACGGCTATCTTTGGTGTCTACGGATGTTAACGGAAAATTCCTACGTTCTAAAATGACACAACGAGTTCAAAGTCTCAGATAAACGCTGCAGTTGTTTTCAAAATCACTTTAGTTAGTCTTGAGGGTTTGGCGTGAGTGCAACCTTTGTTAAGAGGCTTCCGACTGTAAGAAAAGACAGTTTACCAGTATTTGCACTTTCCTAATTACCCAGACTATACTCACAATACGATATATAGTCGATAACAATAATATTTTTGGTTTATTATTTTTTCAACTTTAAATCCATCGAAAAGGCTTACCTAACTTAAAAAACAAATTTAAAAATTGTATAGTAAAGCTTATCTTACCTCTCCATATACAGTGGATCCAGCTTATTTTTATTTTTTTAACGGGGAATATTAACATCCTTATTAATCTAAAACGATTTTCATAATCAAAAACAGTGATTGATCCGTCTGTCCGTCCGTCCGTATAAACTTTACGCAGCGCAAGTTTATTTCAGCATCTTCCCACGCCCACTCTAATGCCCACAAATCAAAAAAATAAAATCTTTGAAACTTCATTTCCCTATTTATTAAGAAATTAAGGTTATAAGCACTCACATGGGCAGTGCCGTCACTATCAGTTACTCAACAAGGTTTCTCCGACAATAGGCAGTGCTTTCGGAATTTCCAAATGCAAAATGAATATTTTAAAATTGTGTAAAACAGTAACGGGTATCATATAGTCACGGCACTCTTGTGGCATTACATTTTAAATATGATTTCTGTCATATGATGGCCACGGCTGCCTCGGATGTAGTCCAATCTGGACGTCCAATTTTCCATGGCTGTAACGTTCTAGCCATCATCGTTTTTGAAGATTCCACCAGCCCATAAAGCGCACCAAACAGTGCGTTTTTCTGGATGTAACGGTTATATGACATACACAATCCATAAAATAGTAAGAGAAGTTCGCGATAAATATTCCGCACAATTGCACTATTTGCAAGCTTTGTTCAGGCGTGAGTCTATTCATGATGAATTGACAAGCCAAACTGAGAATAAATCACTTAATAGCTGTTAAGTCGGCCGCCCTCTTCAACAGTAATACCAACTTAAAGTTTTATACCCCTAAAATAATAACCTTTATATATACAGTGATGAAAAAAATAATAGAAACGAATTTTCCCTTTGGGTTTAAATACGTATTTTTTAAAGGGAACGTGTCGAGTGGAAATTTTAATTTTCCTTTGATATATATACATCTATCTTACATACTAGAAAACAAAACAGCATTTAACTTTATTCATTTAGCTAAAAAATTATACTTAAGTTAAATTTTATGTTTTTGACCTGGAAATAAAAATAGAAACGAACCGACTAATCTTTATCTAAATTGACTAGTTCAGCAAAATTGAAATGTTTTCAGTTTTAATATTTTGTAGACTCGTCCCGGACTTTCTCCCACAAATGGTCCTAATTTTTTTGGGTTGAAAACCATATAAACGTTTTTTTAGGATGCACCACAAATGCTTAATAGGGTATAAATCGGGAGACTGGGCTGACCCATCCAATTTATCGCAGGATTCAATGTGTGTTTGGGATCGTTATCCTGCATCAATTCCTACTTCAAAGGCATTTCATCTTCGGCATATGGTAATATGTTTACATAGTCTGTAGCACACATATTGCCTTGTATCCAATAAACCAACACCTGAAGCAGAGAAACATTTCCATAGCATTATATTGCCACCTCCGTGTTTGATCGTCTTTTTTGGTGTATTTGGGATTGAATGCTGTGTTTTTTGGGCGTCTAACATGGGGTCTACAATCAGATCCAAACAAATTATTCTTTGTCTCATCGGACCAAAGGACATTTTTCCAGTTCCGCCGGGTCTCTTGGTTTTTGGCAAGGAAGAGTCGCCTTTCGTTATGCCTCTTGCTCATAAAAGGAACTCTCCTTGCTGAGTCTGTTAGTCTGTTGCGAATAGTGCGACTTGTTACGAATGCTTTCATGTAGTTTTTAAAATCCTTCGACGAAATGGCTCCTTTTTCGGCATCCTATAAGGGTCGTGTCAAATTTTTTAGAAGTGGCTCGCTTTCTGTTACATTTTTCCTGTTTGTTTGTATTGTGGATAGCAGAAAACACTAGCACTTTTTTTGAGCATTCCAATAGGTTGACAATTTGTCCCATAGATTGGCATTCTGCTTTTAATTTGAGGACTAGATTCCTCTCTACAGCGGTGCAATGTGCTCCACGACCAATTTTGATCCTTTTAAAAAAATTAAATGATAAAATGTAGAACAAATTTCTGTATTCCTTTTAATAAAAATATCCCAAACAATACCTTTTATTTTAATTTAAACCAAGAATAATAATAGATTTTGACAAAATATGACCTCGTTTCTATTATTTTTTCCACCCCAAGCACGAGGTCTTTTGACGAATTTCCATGAACAACCAGGTCACCAGGTCAACTAAAACTAATTTAATTGTGCCGTGTGTACATTAATGCTTTAGTCTATTTCTTTTGAGAGAGCGCGTCACTCTCATCTATGCCGTCGCTCTTCGCTGCCGATACGGATCTCCACACCCCTTCTTTTTTCTCCTGACGGAGCTTCAGGTTTTCGTCGGGTCCGGGAGCTCCTTTGATGCCGGAGTTTCCTGTGGCGTCAGAGTAGCTGAGGGAGACATCTAAACATCGGGGCTTACCGAATTAGACGACTTCGATGAGTCTGCGCCGATGATCTTTTTCAAATGGCTTACATTCCTGGTGTACGACTTACCACCACCAGAAATTTGAACAACATTTCCCTCTCGGTTAGTTACTCCATATGTGGTCGTATCGAATTTTGTCGTCAGCTTATTCGGGAATACTCCCTTTTTTTAGAGAACTTTGTCACCCACTTTTATATCGATCACTCCCGCTTTCCTAGCGTTGTCTGCTAACTCTTTCCCTTTCATTTTCTTCCAGACGTCCGTGTCTTTTTCTTCTAAATCAACAATTTCGCCAACGAGATCCTGTATACCAGGAATTTTGTCCCTTATCACTATGTTCAACATTAGCTCTATTGGTGGTGCGCCCGTGTTCCCATGTGGGGGAACGCTGTTTTCACAAAAATTTTTTAACTTGACGCTGACAAATTGCCTCCTATTATCAGTCGGTAATGTTTCCGGGAATCCCAATCTGGAAAAGATCTCTTCCATTTTCGCAATAATGGTTCGACTTGATGAGTTTAAACTCCATATACCGCGAGCAATAGTCAATTAGTACGAGTACATTCTCACCTGTTGGTAAAGGGCCCAAAGGATCGGCCGCTAAGCATCTCCAGGGTGCATTCGGGAACGGATGCCTTTTCATTGGGGCCCGATTTGATCGCATTGATACCAAAACGCAATCGCGGCACTCCTTAACATACTGTTCTGCGTCCCGGCGCTTATCTCGAGATGCCCTTCATGAGCGAGTTCAAGTACTGGTCTGCGGAATCTCTAGTCTTGTGCCCCGCAAAATAATATTTCCCACAATCGAGAGTTCCAAACGAAATGGATAGTACGCGCTAGAATTATTTGAGTTCCATTAATCCTGACCAAGGCATGTCATCAAGTCTATTATTTCCTCATCCTGGGTGCTCATCTCCGTGACCTTCGATATGGAGAGCGATCGAGGAATTGAGGTTAACACCACGCGAAATATGTGTTCCTCACCAGCACAGTCATAAGGGTCGGTATCGGTTACTTCGCAAAGTCTTGATAGTGAGTCGGCAATATTCTCCTTCCTGCCTTATATACTACGCGGAATCGGTAAGATTGTAATCGCAGCAACCACCTTTCAATCCTGGCCGAAGGTCGCGAAGTTTGGTTTAAAGATTGTCTCAAGTGGCTTGTGGTCAGTTATAAGATCAAACTGTAATCCCGCTATATAATAATACAATTTCTCAACAGCACACACCAATGCCAGGCTTTCTTTTTGTCTTTTGTTACTAGCAAACGATATTATGCGTGCATTATTCGACTTATCAAATTGCACCCACACTGCCCCTAAGGCCACTAGGCTGGCATCTGCGATCAAACAGGTTTTATCCTGCATGTTAAAGTATTGGAACTGTAGAAATCTTAGCTTCTTCCTGTGGCTTGCCCCAACAGAACGTTTCATGGCTTTTCAGTAATTTCTTCAAAGGCTCTGTATTATCCGCTAAATCAGATACAAATTTCCCAATGTGTGTGACTAAACCGAGAAAGCAGCGTACTTCTTTTTTATTTTTGGGTGCTATAAACGTTGTAATCACCTTCACTTTCTCGGGATCAACTTCGATCCCCTTGTCCGAGAGGATGTGACCTAGAAATTTAAATTTTAAATTTAATTTCTGTACTCGAAATACGCATTTCTTCTCATTTAGTGCTACGTTATTGGCTCGAAACATTTCCCTAACCTTCGCGAGTAATTTTTCATGTTCCTCAATATTGTGGCCAAATATTATTACGTCATCAATGTAATTTAAAGCATTCTGACAGGGGGCCAACATTTCCTCCATCAACCGTTGAAATATTTCTGGGGCTGAGTTCACGCCAAACATCCGTGCATCCGCTTGGATCGAAATAAACCGCGGTGCGTTATGAAGGTAGTAATTTATCGATTCGGTCAGCTCCAGCTGATGGTAAGCTCTTTTTAAATCGTGTCGCGAAAAATACTTGGCACCTTTCAGCTTGGACATAAACGTTTCGAACGTTGGCAACGGGTAGTTTTCTCGTTGTATTGCAACGACAAAGCTTTCTATCTGGTCCTTCCCAGTTGTCATATGGCTTCCTTTCCCTTGTACGGCATTTCCGATAAAAATGTCCAATCCTTTCGCATTTCCAGCATGTCGCGTTTCTGGCTGGGCAGTCCAAACTATTCTCGTGGTGCCCTTTTTGACCACATTTTCCAATAGCTTCTTTTTTAGCTCCAACGAAGCCCAGACTTCGATGATTCTATCTTTTAGGCAGATATCCTCTATCTGTTCTTTGGTCTCTCCAAATGAACATTTAACTATTTGGCGGCGAAGTCTCATCAAAAACTCTGTGAAACCTTCTCCCTCTATTGGGGTCACCGACCGAAACAAATGTCTCTCAAAAGCCGAGTTTCGCTGTAACGTCATTTTTCTCCTCCTCGTCAAAAGGAATTAATGCTCCCGGAACTACAGCCTAGAGCTGCGGTCCGCCCAGATGGAGAAACTTGTTTCTTTTGTTATATATGGATACCACGCCTCCCACTCTGTTCGCCATAGCGCTTTATCCATTCCCTGGCACAAGAATGGTTTTAACTCGGTCATGTTTAGTATAAACTGAAAACTCGGCCAAAGCTGCTTAACCTCCATTTGGAACAGATTCTTTTAATACGAAAATTACACTTACATTACAGCGTTCGCTCTTATTTTGATCTCGTTCTCTTAGGAAAAGACTGTTAGTGCAGCCGCCGGAATTTAATCGACTTGTGGTGTCACCCTTTTCTTCTTTTACATTTTCCTTTTACCACCTCCTACATATATATGTATATGGCACTTTATTGTCGGCTTGACTTCTCCACTTCTTTTTATACCCATTTCTCGTATAGTAAAAGGGTATACTAGATTCGTTGAAAAGTATGTAACAGATAGCAGGAAGCGTTTCCGACCCTATAAAGTATATATATTCTTGATCAGGATCAATAGCGAAGTCGATTGAGCCATGTCCGTCTGTCCGTCCGTCCGTCCGTATGAACGCTGAGATCTCAGGAACTATAGCAGATACAATGTTGAGATTAAGCATGAAGATTCTTGAGGTCCCGGGACAGCGCAAGTTTATTTCCGCATCCTGCCACGCCCACTCTAACGCCCACAAATCACGAAAAACTAAAAGCTCTGAAATTTCGGCAAATATTAGAGCTAGAAAGTTGAAATTCAGTACGTATAAACTTTGGATGTCAGCGCAGCTGGTATCAGTGGTACCATTATCTGACCAGACCCACCCATACGCCCACCAAGCTCAAAAGACGGTTTTCGCATTTTCAAGAAAACCTGATATCTCGGTAACTATAAGTGATAGAAAGTTCGGATTAAACATGTAGATTTTTATGATGCCCCAAATGCGAATTGTTTTTTTTTCATCTAGCACGCTCACAAAGCCCGAAAAACCAAAAATTCAAAAATCTCGGGAACTAAAGGAACTAGAAAGTTAGGCTTAAGAATACGTATCTTAGGGATGCCACTGCAACTTTCCACGAGTTTTTATCCGGCCACGCCCACTTTTACGCCTACAAACCTCGGAACACTGTGGCGTCTATAATAATATTATGAATGCCTTTGACGTTGTATAACTTATTTCTGTTTATATCTATCGACTTACCAAAGATTTTTCAAATCGAAAAATTATTTCGCTACTTATGAAGAAATTTAGGTTATAGGGCCTCACGTCACTATCAGTTATTCGACATGCTTTCTCCGACAATAGGTGGCGCATGGGAAATTTCCACTAACAAAATGAATATTTTAAAATTGTGTAATACAGTAACGGGTATCTTATAGTCGCAGCGCTCGACTTTAGCTTGTTTCTCATCAATTTGGCTGGTAGTATTTATAAAATACTTGGTAAATATTTAAAGTCCAGTTTTTATCCTCGTCGCCAATGTAACCCGACTTAAATAATGATTATCAAGTACGGTCTCAGATTCACTCTTTTATTAGTACCGGCACTGGCGGCGTTAATTTAATTTTTTTCTTATGTAACTAAGAAATGGTTAAAAGTGTGTAACAGGTAGAAGGAAATGTTTCCAACCCTATAAAGAATTGTCGATCAGGTCGATAGCCAAGCCGATTAGGCAATGTCCGTCTGTCCATATGAACAATGAGATCTCAGGAACTATACGTGATATAAAGTTGAGATTAAGCAAGCAGATTCTTTAGGTTCCTACGCAGTGTAAGTTTATTACCATCCTGCCACGTCCTAACGCCCAGAAAACACACAAAAAAACCAAAATCTCTGAGATCTCAGGAACTACTAGAGCTAGAAAGTTGAGATTGCGCATGTTTAATCCTCAAAAGTGATACAAAGTAAAAATTAAGCAGGTCATTTCTAACAATGCTCCCAATGTGTATTAATTTTTCTTGATATGATCATATAAACGCGGAAAACCAAGAACGCTAAAGTCGTGGTAGTTACCAAATTATAGTTATGAGAGCTTGAAATTTAGGAGCTCGTGGTGGTATTTTCATCCGGCAACGCCCACAAAAGACGAAAATCCGATTTTGTGAACTGTAAGATCTAGAATGTTGGGACTAAGCATGTATAATCTTGAAATGGTAGCGATAGTACCAATTTCTCAAAGCTCAAAAAGCTCTTACAGCTTTTTGTAGGAATGCTAAGTCCTTGGTAGCTATAAGGTATTAAAACTTGGGATTACGTATGTAATTTCCAATGATGCCACCAAAGTAAAACATATTTTGCGCATCAGACCTGGCCAACTCTTTCAAACTTCCACAAAAAACGGAAAACAAAATAAGCTAAGATCTCGGACATTATAAAAGTTAGAAAGTTAGGATAAAGCATAAACATTTTGGAAATTTTTTCGCTTAATTCTGATTTCTTTGGCAATTTGTGGCAGATATATTTCTAGAATGGTAGCAAAAGTTTTTCGGATTCCCAGATTTAAAAAAATCTAAAATAGTCCCACAACTGAAATTCCAAAAAAAAAAAAATAAATAAAACGCAATAGACCACAAAAAAAACAAGAGGAAACGCTATAGTCGAGTGCCGCGACTATAAGATACCCGTTACTGTTTTACACAATTTTAAAATATTCATTTTGCTAGTGGAAATTACCCAAGCGCCACCTATTGTCGGACAAAGCATGTCAAGTAACTGATAGTGATGTCACTGCCCATGTGAGGCCTTATAACCTAAATTCCTTCATAAGTAGCGAAATAATGTTCCGATTTGAAAAATCTTTTGTAAATCGATAGATATAAACAGAAATAAGTTATACAACGTCAATCAAAGGCATTCATAATATTATTATAGACGCCACAGTGTTCCACGGTTTGTAGGCGTATGAGTGGGCGTGGCCGGATAAAAACTCGTGGAAATACGTATTCTTAAGCCTAACTTTCTAGCTGCTTTAGTTCCCGAGATTTTTGAATTTTTGGTTTTTCGTGTTTTGTGGGCGTGGCTAGATGGAAAAAATAACAATTGGCATTATGGGCATCATAAAAATCTACATGTTTAATCCGAACTTTCTATCACTTATAGTTACCGAGATATCAGGTTTTCTTGAAAATGCGAAAACCGTCTTTTGAGCTTGGTGGGCGTGTGGGTGGGTGTGGCCAGATAATAGTACCACTAAAAGATGCGCTGGCATCCAAAGTTTATACTTTCTGGCTCTAATAGTTCCCGAGATTTTAGCGATTTTAGTTTTTCGCGATTTGTGGGCGTTAGAATGGGCGTGGCAGGATGCTGTAATAAACTTGCGCTGTCCCCGGACCTCAAGAATCTTCATGCTTAATCTCATCTTTGTATCTGCTATAGTTCCTGAGATCTCAGCGTTCATACGGATGAACGGACAGACGGACATGGCTCAATCGACTTCGCTATTGACCCTGATCAAGAGTATATATACTTTATAGAGTCGGAAACGCTTCCTTCTATCTGTTACATACTTTTCAACAAATCTAGTATACCCTTTTACTCTACGAGTAACGGGTATAACAAGAGGAAACGCTATAGTCACAATTTTAGAATATTTATTTTGCTAGTGGAAATTCCCAAAGCGCCACCAATTGTCGGAGAAACCATGTTCCGATTTGAAAAATCTTTGGTAAATCGATAGATATTGACAAAAATATGTTATACAAATTCAAACGAAAACATGCACTATAATATTCAGGACGCCACCGTTTTCTGCGGTTTGTGGGCGTGGCCAGATGAGAACTGGGGACAAGATGCAGTGGCATCTCTTAAATACGAATTCTTAAGCCCAACTTTCTAGCTATTATAGTTTCCGAGATCTTCACAGTTTTGGTTTTGTGGGCGTTAGAGTGAGCGTAGCTTGATCGGAAAAAAACAATTTGCATTGGAAGCATCATAAAAACCTACATGGTTAATCGGAACTATCACTTATAGTTACCAAGATATCAGCTTTCCTAGAAAATGCGAAAACCGTCTTTTGAGCTTGGAGGGTGTGGTCGGATAATGGTACCACTATAAAATGCGTTGTCGTCTAAAGATTATACATACTAAATTTTATTTCTAGCTCTAATAGATCCTGATGTTTTGCGGTTTGTGGGTGTTAGAGCGGGCCACCCATTTTAACTATTTTAAAATTAAAAACCATTTAAAAACATCAATTTGAGTAACTGTACATTTTTTTTCGTTTTTAATTCTCAGATATTCCTCGGTATATCAACAACAAGGTTTTAATGGTCATCAAAGAAATTATGAACTAGACTTAGAGAGAGACCATGCATTGCCAACTTCTGCTCCCAACGCTGACATACTAAAAAGTAATAATAATCCCACTTACCCAAACCCAAACCGCCATCACCCACATGATAGGGAGCGGAACAAAAACACCGCACAGTATAATTCGACTCCGATACCATCCAGTAAGATATCTCAATATGTTATTTTTCATATTTAATAATCCGAATTTTTGCAGTTCCCAACATTTTAAAAAAATCAAATGGAGGACAATCACCAACATCACCAATGTACCCTGGAGATATTCCGTCATATTCTCCACCGTCGCGAGCCTTCTTTACACCTCCACTGCCACCGGAATATCAAAATCCATTTGCTGATAAGCCCACCTTGCGTGGTACCAATAATGAGGGCCTTATAGCAGTTAATAGGCGTCCGATCCCACCGCCTAGCTTAATGCCCAGTCAGGACCGGATCCCTATTCGACCTCCAGATCTTGGGGGCAATAGTAACGATGCCGTTTTAAATCCGTTGGCAGACGCAAAGGTTGGTGATGATACAAAGCAGCGTCCTATTGAATCAACTATATCTCTTGGAACGGGATCCAATGTGTCTGTATCGGATCGTAAAAAAACACTAAATACCCCTGCACGTGCCAGTGGTGAAGACTTTTTAAACGAAAAAACAACAAGCAGTGAGGGACTGATGTCTCATGAACCAATTAAAAGACAGGAAGTCTTACCAAATATAAGACGCATTCTGGGATCGAATGGAAAAAATGGTGATATACCAGCAGTGCTGTTGAAGCAGGTAACTCAGCGACCTATAATTAGCTTCCGACATCCACCATCTTCTCCAGTTGTATTGGTCGATAAGAATTTAACAAACGAGACTACAGATGCGGATGGCTTCTTGGTTAGTCCAAACATTAATCAAAGTAAATACCAGCACGGTCAGTTGGACTTCTATGACAATGCTAATCACACAACAGGAACAACTCCATCAGCAGCTGCTGCCATTGGGGATGTATTAGCCACCTCGTTTTCGTACGCCACTACTAAGGCGGTTCTTCCAGGACATAAAGGAAAAAAAAGTAACACCGTTAAGGAACTGGGTCCGATCCCGGGCGGTCGCGATACTATTACTGGCTCATCAGCAGCTGCTTCAGCACAAACTACTTGGGCGTGGGCTTGGAATATCCACATCTATCTGTCAGTTGTAGTCTTTACTATTTTATCGGTTTACTCGCTATACAAAATGCTAACATATAACAAACTTACACATTTGTTTGCACAGTCGTATTTTGTATGCATCCATCTCATATTAATTTTAATTTGCATAATGAGAATATTTTTCCTATGCTTCGATGCATATAATGCTCATGGCACCTTTAACATGTTCACCTCGGAACTCCTGCTGAATCTACCCTCGACCTTCTTAACAGTTGCATTCTCTATACTTATATTATATCTCTTCCTCAAGTCTTTAAACCACAAAAACAATAGATACTCGGCTTTGATAAGACCACTGACAGTAGTTGTCGGCTGCGGAGTTCACGTTGTGCTTTGCATTACATTGCACTATGTTGAATCCTACACATTAAAAAATCATAATTTGTATTTTCAACAACAGCAGCAACAGCAATACATTCGTCGACAGCAACTTCATAGTTATCAAGGCCAAGTTACTGCTACAATGTCCCCATCGGCAATAATGCCACCGCCTCCTCGAGTCTTGACCCTTATATGTCAGATAATTTATATATTTATTTGTCTCAGTTTAGGGCTACTTTACCTATATATGTATCGTATTTTAAAACGTATTCTCCGCAGCAAATCTCAAAACTATATACACGGATATCAGAATTTGTCCTACGCTATACATATAACTATTGCTACGGCTCTTCTTTTTGTACTATTGGCTGCTATTCAGATATTCGGTGCTATATGTATTTCAGCATCGCGGCAAACTGATATAGTTGATGTCGATTGGATTCAATGGGGTTATCAATTCTCACTGCGTCTCATAGAGATAGCCATAGTAACTTTAATATCATGGGTAACTGGGCTTAAAAACAGTATAGGCCACGATTCTTTAAATACTGTAAATGGGGAGATTCGAATGGTTGGTTCTGGTTTGGGAACTATGGGTGCATTCGGTCAAGCAAGCGTTTCAAGTAACAATCCTATCAGAGAGAAAAATGCTGGCAACGGGTCCGGCACACACAACTCAAATGTGACCAATTTTTTTTTGCCGTGTACATCAACCTCTAGTCAGGAGCATTTTGAAACAGACTACCCAGCAATTTGTAACGCAAATACAAATCTCCATACGTACACTATGCGGACGGGAAAACTTATTTATGATGACAGTTATGCCCTAAATTCTATAGGGCCCACAACTGCTGCAACATCCTGCAGTCGCCCATGTGAATACCAGCTACAGGAGCCAATGTACCAAAGGCCCTATGATACAGGTTCGATTGGAAGTGCTCTCAATGGACCTAATGGTCAAAATTATCCCCAAGCTTCACAAAACCACAAGCAACAACATCAGTTACATCAAATGCGTTTTCACGAGCATCCCACCCATATGACTACGGACTACACCACAGATACTGCACCGGATCATTACGAAAATCCAAATTTCAGCTTGCGCACAGCTATCTTTGCAACAGCTGAACAAAAGTTAAAAGAAATAAATGACAAAAATGGAGTTGGTTCTACCTCAGATTCTGGATCGTCCCATCAGCAAGTTGTGTTGTTGCAAAACGACAATTGTTATTCTGAGCCACTGGAGCACGAAAACAAGCATTATGAATTTAACATATTTGAGCGCCCCGTGTTTAATGATAAATTAGTTTACAATGTTCAGCCCAACAGTGAATGTTTTGCAGATCGACAAAAAATATCGAATGGCCCCGAAAGAAAGTTTGATGGCAATGGTACAATAGATCGGAATTTCTTCGAAAATAAGATTACCGAGCGTCGCAATTCAAACTCAACCAATTCATACTCGTCCAATGCTGGTGGTGGCGGGCGATGTGCAAGTTATAATTCATATGAACGCGCATTTTTCAACGGCGTTTGCAATACTAACCATATGTCCAGTGGTGTAATAACACTTGGCGCCCCTGCTACAGGTCTTACTAGAGAGGCTACAATTGCCTCTGTTGGTACTCAAAGAATAATTGCCAATGGAACGCAGACGATAGGAATATCGGATAGAGCCGCCCATTTTTATCAGAGAGAAAATGGACGTACTCCAAACTTGAGGTCATTGCAAGGTGATAGTGACATGTTTAAAAATATGCCTATAAGGCAGCACCAACTACAAAAGCTACCTTATGATGATAACTCAGATGATGAAGAAGAGGAAGACGACATAATATCAGGAAGTAATGTAGAGTGTACAAACTTGATAAGCAACGATAACGGTTCTGTCACTATTGCAGAAGACAACGCTACAAATTCCGTTTCAATTAATAGCACAACATTACTTGCGGGCGCAACAGCGAACAAAAAATTGTCGGTTGACCCGCTTTTGCATTCCAAATTACATGCACAATTGCGCGCAAATAATGGAAAGTTTCATTCTGAGTTGTGCACTGCTTCATCAGCTTCGGTGGCCTCTGCATCCTCGAATTCATGCACAACATCCAGTGCCTCTGATAGTATGCTAGTGGCAGATCAAGGCTTTCTTCGTTTTCGCTCTATAGAGGATCAAAATGGTACCCAAAATGCAAATGTAGAGACCGAAAGGCCTGTTGTATCTTCTCTACGTTTCAAAAGTTGCAGTGCGACTGTAAATGACATCGATTGCTAAGATTCTTTAACATCATAGATAAATAGCTTTGCATGTCCTAGCCATAACCGTTTTTCTTTGACTTAATATCAATCAAATGCTGTTTTGATTGAATGTTTATGCCAATAAAAGTAGTTAAATCACCACTTTATAATATCTTCAAACTTGTGACTGCGAAAAGCAGAATTAAATCAATATATATTCAAACTTTAAGTATAACAATTTTTATTCGGTAAAATCTAACGCTCAAACTTAAAACAAAACACTTTTCAAATGAGATTTTAATGCTTAGCTGGGTTACTTAAAATCTATGCTTTCCTTATTGCTTTTATATATTTTTATTATTATTTATTCATTCATTCACAATTGTATATTTCGTCAATCAAAATCGCTTATTAATATAATAAATATATATAATAAATATGTATATAAATAATCACAATTCCTCTTTAAGATTTCATAATGTACACAATTCCATTGAAAACTTTTTATAAAGTGTAATTTTTTATTTTTATCTTGCAAAAACTCCGTGTTTTTTTATTGCACAGATCAATCGTTTAATGAAATATATACATATGGTATATAATTATTAAAAACTGTATAAATTTGTTTGATGTAGGCCATACGAATGAAAACAATCAGAATAAAATGAAAAACATTTTCTTATTTACATTTTTATTATAATTAGTTTGAAATACACAAATTCTTTAAAGAGAATATTTTCATGCAGTTTAGCATTAAAAAGTGTTAAAGTAAAAGCCTACTTATAGCATTTAAAGCATTCTCTTTTCTCTTTTTTGTGCATAGTGCAGAATAAACGTAAATTCTAAACATTATTGATATTTATAATAACGATCTATTTACTATAGAATATTCAGAAAAAATGATTTTTATAAGTAAAAGTGTCTGTTAAAAATAAACTTTAATTACATAGTACTGACTAGTTAAGGCTTTTGCAGATTTCTATTGTTAAAATGATTAAAAGTAAATGTATTCTTAAAAATACTTCTAATTTAAGAGTATGTGTAATCTTTTTATGCAGCACATTTAAGTCGTTAATGACATGTTAAGAAGCCATACATAAATTACTATTATTATAGATACGCTGTAAATATATTTTTATATCTATTTGAAATAATTCCCATAATAATGAAATACAAACAATATTTCTGAAATATAATTATCCTTTACTTTGTAAGCATTGACAAAGAAGCTACGTGTATGCACATTCTTAAATGTAATTACCTTTAGTAAAGTAGCCAGGCAAGAATAAAAATATAAAATACAAAGTTAACATACATCTATCAGTCCTACAGAGCACGTACTTATTTGTTACAACCTCATTTTCGCTTTGCAATTGTCATTAGAACGGAATGCAGAATCCTCGTAGAGAAAAGGTTATTATGTCAAACTGTCCGTATGAACCCAAATATTTCAGGAACTATAAGAGACACAAAGTTAAGATAAGATATTCAGATTCTAGAGATACGCATCGCAAGTTTGTCCAGCGTCTTTCCCTGCACACTCCTACGCTGGCCAACCGCAAAAAAATGTTTCCGTTTTCTGCAGGAAAACAGGAACTGTAAGTAAAAGAAAGTTAAAAGGATACTTGAAGTTTTCAATAATGGAAAAGGGCATTTTTATTATATAGACACATCCAGTGCATCGCCCATAAACCACGGAAAACTGTGCATCCTTAAAATATACATTTATATTTTGGTTTGACCTAGTTTAAATTTTTTGTGAATACCTATCGATTTGCCATGTGCTCACAGCTGAACATTACTTCACCAATATTTTTTAATTGTGTTGGATGAGGCTTCGCATGTTTTTTTCTGATAAAAGGTGGCGCTAATAAAACTGTTCAGGCAAATATTCTGATTCTGATACTGTAACTGGGCTTAACAACAGTATAGGCCACGATTCTTTAAATACTGTAAATGGGGAGATTTGAATGGTTGGTTCTGGTTTGGGAACTATGGGTGCATTCGGTCAAGGAAGCGTTTCAAGTAACAATCCTATCAGAGAGAAAAATGCTGGCAACGGGTCCGGCACACACAACTCAAATGTGACCAATTTTTTTTTGCCGTGTAAATCAACCTCTAGTCAGGAGCATTTTGAAACAGACTACCCAGCAATTTTTAACGCAAATACAAATCTATGCCCTAAATTCTATAAGGCCCACAACTGCTGCAACATCCTGCAGTCGCCCATGTGAATACCAGCTACAGGAGCCAATGTACCAAAGGCCCTATGATATAGGTTCGATTGGAAGTGCTCTCAATGGACCTAATGGTCAAAATTATCCCAAAGCTTCACAAAACCACAAGCAACAACATCAGTTACATCAAATGCGTTTTCACGAGCATCCCACCCATATGACTACGGACTACACCACAGATACTGCACCGGACCATTACGAAAATCCAAATTTCAGCTTGCGCACCGCTATCTTTGCAACAGCTGAACAAAAGTTAAAAGAAATAAATGACAAAAATGGAGTTGGTTCTACCTCAGATTCTGGATCGTCCCATCAGCAAGTTGTGTTGTTGCAAAACGACAATTGTTATTCTGAGCCACTGGAGCACGAAAACAAGCATTATGAATTTAACATATTTGAGCGCCCCGTGTTTAATGATAAATTAGTTTACAATGTTCAGCCCAACAGTGAATGTTTTGCAGATCGACAGAAAATATCGAATGGCCCCGAAAGAAAGTTTGATGGCAATGGTACAATAGATCGGAATTTCTTCGAAAATAAGATTACCGAGCGTCGCAATTCAAACTCAACCAATTCATACTCGTCCAATGCTGGTGGTGGCGGGCGATGTGCAAGTTATAATTCATATGAACGCGCATTTTTCAACGGCGTTTGCAATACTAACCATATGTCCAGTGGTGTAATAACACTTGGCGCCCCTGCTACAGGTCTTACTAGAGAGGCTACAATTGCCTCTGTTGGTACTCAAAGAATAATTGCCAATGGAACGCAGACGATAGGAATATCGGATAGAGCCGCCCATTTTTATCAGAGAGAAAATGGACGTACTCCAAACTTGAGGTCATTGCAAGGTGATAGTGACATGTTTAAAAATATGCCTATAAGGCAGCACCAACTACAAAAGCTACCTTATGATGATAACTCAGATGATGAAGAAGAGGAAGACGACATAATATCAGGAAGTAATGTGGAGTGTACAAAGTGTGTTCTGTCACTATTGCAGAAGACAACGCTACAAATTCCGTTTCAATTAATAGCACAACATTACTTGCGGGCGCAACAGCGAACAAAAAATTGTCGGTTGACCCGCTTTTGCATTCCAAATTACATGCACAATTGCGCGCAAATAATGGAAAGTTTCATTCTGAGTTGTGCACTGCTTCATCAGCTTCGGTGGCCTCTGCATCCTCGAATTCATGCACAACATCCAGTGCCTCTGATAGTATGCTAGTGGCAGATCAAGGCTTTCTTCGTTTTCGCTCTATAGAGGAACAAAATGGTACCCAAAATGCAAATGTAGAGACCGAAAGGCCTGTTGTATCTTCTCTACGTTTCAAAAGTTGCAGTGCGACTGTAAATGACATCGATTGCTAAGATTCTTTAACATCATAGATAAATAGCTTTGCATGTCCTAGCCATAACCGTTTTTCTTTGACTTAATATCAATCAAATGCTGTTTTGATTGAATGTTTATGCTAATAAAAGTAGTTAAATCACCACTTTATAATATCTTCAAACTTGTGACTGCGAAAAGCAGAATTAAATCAATATATATTCAAACTTTAAGTATAACAATTTTTATTCGGTAAAATCTAACGCTCAAACTTAAAACAAAACACTTTTTAAATGAGATTTTAATGCTTAGCTGGGTTACTTAAAATCTATGCTTTCCTTATTGCTTTTATATATTTATATTATTATTTATTCATTCATTCAAAATTGTATATTTCGTCAATCAAAATCGCTTATTAATATAATAAATATATATAAAAAAAATATGTATATAAATAATCACAATTCCTCTTTAAGATTTCATAATGTACACACTTCCATTGAAAACATTTTATAAAGTGTAATTTTTTATTTTTATCGTGCAAAAACTCCGTGTTTTTTTATTGCACAGATCAATGGAATATATACATATGGTATATAATTATTAAAAATTGTATAAATTTGTTTGATGTAGACCATACGAATGAAAACAATCAGAATAAAATGAAAAACATTTTCTTATTTACATTTTTATTATAATTAAAAAGTGTTAAAGTAAAAGCCTACTTATATCATTTAAAGCATTCTCTTTACTTTTTTGTGCATAGTGCAGAATAAACGTAAATTCTAAACATTATTGATATTTATAATAATGATAATAATTCTGAAAGTAAAATGATTATTTTACAATTCGATAACGCATTAACGGGTACTTCATACTTGACGCACTCGACTATTGATTGATTGATGACAGTGCATTGGTGAGACTCTGGTTATACATCTACAGTATATGCAGTTGTACAGAAATCAGTCGCTGCAAGCTAGGCACCAATAGGTCACTAGAACTCCGTGAACATCGTGGCAAGAGTTACCAAGAGCACTACTTTCAGAGATAGAAACAAATATGTAAGTCCTTACCTTTAACAAAATGTTTTTGTCATTCGTGCGGTCATAGACAGTCGCGCAAAATTTTATTGGAATGAACCCTCAATTACCTAGGAAATATTAATATAAATAGTTCTTGTCGGGAGTGGTCTTCGCCTGTTCTTGCAGCCCTTGAAATCTTGAATGTATCCAGTAACCGAAATATTAGAGTAATCGTCAGCAGAAAAAGTAACTAATACACCTACATATCTATTGATATTAAAGAATGCGATTTTAGGGGCATTACGGTTAATTGCCGAAAGATTCGAAGCTGATATATGTACATACATACATATGCTGTCCAAGGGCTAAATATGCACTTCTGTTATATTTAAATGTGAGTGATTTCAATGTAAAATTCTTATGAAAGAGCACGGCATATTCACATGTATAAAATGCCCTAATATCGCGAATCGCTTCTAAATCGCAACAAAATCGACCCGTTTTTGAAGAGTATGGTGACTGGCGATGAAAAGTGGGTCACTTACGATAACATAAGGCGCAAACGGTCGTGGTCGAAAAGCGGTGAAGAGGCCCAGACGGTGGCCAAGCCTGGATTGACGGCCAGAAAGGATCTTCTGTGTGTTTGGTGGGATCGGCAGGGAATAATCCACTATGAGCTGCTCCCCTATGGCCAATTCGGACCTGTACTGCCAACAACTGGACCGCTTGAAGACAGCACTCATGCAGAAGAGGTCATCTTTGATCAACAGAGGCCGAATTGTCTTCCCTCAGGACAACGCCAGGCCACACAAATCTTTAGTGACGCGTCAGAAGCTCCGGGAGCTCGGATGGGAGGTTCTTTTGCATCCACCGTATAGTCCGGATCTCGCATTAAGTGATTCCCACCTGTTTCTATCCATGGCGAACGCGCTTGGTAGTCTGAAGTTGGTTACAAGAGCGTCCTGTGAAAATTGGCTCTCCGAGTTTTTTGCCAATAGGAAAGCGAGCTTCTATGAGAGGGGCATTATGAAGTTGGCATCTCGTTGGGAACGCGCCATCGAACAAAACGGCGCATATTTGACTTAAATCGCATTATTGTAACCAATTTTGTGAACAATTAAAAATTCAATAAAAAATACTGCAAGACTTTTTTGACAACCTAAAATATATAATTCATGAAGCTCTAATACCTCAAATGGTATTTTGAAGTTGATGGATAACAAATTTTGTTTATATATTTTTTTCTGTTATGTAATTTACATATATTAATCACACATACATATCACATATCAGGGTCTTAAGACCCAGTATTATATGTTAGAAAAACAAAAATAAAATAATAAAAAATAAATATAATAATATTATTTAAAGAAGAGTATTTAAATAATTTTGATTTACATTTATTTTATCAATTTCAAGTTTCCTTTTGTTATTATTTTCTTATTAATTAATATTGTAACATCGATTCCCAAAACAAAAATGGATACTTAAACCAATAACCCAGAATTAATTATATCGATGTTTAAATTTGATTTCTTACATCTCTAGTGGTCAGTGTTACGATGCAAACACACATACATATATGCATGCATATATATAACTTTAAATTTCCAAAGCTTTATATCTAAGTTATTGGGGAAACTGGATTTGCGTTACGAAGTTAAATTATTTTAAAAGCTAACTCCTTATGTATACATTAGTATATGAACTTTTGTGTGTGTATTTTATTCCACATACTTTAATGCAGACATATGTACATACATATATGTATACAATAGTACTAATTGTAAACACGTTAAGGTTTTGAGTTCTTGTGTAGTTTGGTCGATTTAAAGTGCCTGCTTCATGAGGGGATTGGTTTTATTTTTCATATAATAAATTATTTACGATTATTGCTTTAAATTGAATATCATTAAATATTTAATACAAAGGAATTGCTGCAGATAAAGTGTATGTATTGTTGCAAGATTTAAGTTGTTTATATTTAATAGTGCATAATAATATACATATGTACATACTTATATGATATATGGAGTACTGATGCAGATCCTTATACTGATATTTGGAAATTATTTGTGCACATATATATATGTGTGTACATATGTTTATAGATGTATGTACATACAGATTCCACACTGTAATGCTCAAAAACCAAAAGTTGAATCTGAAAATCTATTTGAAAAATAAGTCAAAAGTTGTATTTGTTGTTTTTGTATCATGTTCATATACATATGTACATACATAAATACATTTAGGTTATTGTTGGGTATATGTATGTGCATATATATTTGAATAAATGTAATAGAGATAGCGACAGGACGCTAAATTAAACCAATATTATTTTATATACAGACTAACCATTTTATGATTATTAATGATAAAAGCTCTAAAGTGTAAAATAACATATAAATGTATGTATATAACAGTGTTGCACAAAGTCTAGGTACAACACATATGTTTTATGTCATTAGGGTATGAAAAGTAAAAGTTTATTTTCTATTAAATAAAAAATCAATACCTTGATTTAATGTTTCCTGTCCAAAAATAGTTTATCCAAAATTATTACACACACATCAAAAAGAGGGTAAAAATTATCTTAGCTTAAGAAATTGCCATTTGTAGAAAACTTATAGCAAAGATAACGTAGTGCCGAAGTTCTCTAAGAGTGTGTAATCTGTACTTTTCCACAAACTAAAATTATTATCTATAGATTTCTGTTGCCACCGGCTCTGTATCTTCTTCTCCTCGGAATCTCATTAAACCAGAACCCTCAATATCGCATTTTGTATTCCAACGAAAGTTGCTCATTATTCACTATTATTATTAAAATGCGGAAGCCATGCCATCTGCTGTTGTACAGGTCTGGACGCCATGTCGCTGAAGTACCGGGAACTATATGTGATAAAAGAATGAAAGATAAGAACTAATCTGACCTCACTCACTCTACCGCCCACAACCGCGGAAAACTGTAAAGCCCTTGTATAACACTTTCTTGTCCCTAACTATCGATTTACCAAAATAATTGCAAATCGGAACACTATTTCACAATTTTATATGAAAAGGTGGCTCTAATAAAGTGGCTCATCTTTACATGTTACATTACATGTTTAATTCGAACTTTCTATCGCTTATTGTTACTAGAAAATGCGAAAATCGTCTTTTGAGCTTGGTGGGCATAAGAGTGGGTGTGGCCGGATAATCGTACCACCATAAGATGCGCTGGCATCTTATAGATACTAAATTTCAGCTTTCTAGGTCTAATAATTTACGGGTTTTCAGAGATTTTAGTTTTTTAGTGATTTGTGGGCGTCAGATTGGGCGTGGCAGGATGCTGAAATAAACGTGCGCTGCATATGGACATCAAGAATCTTCATGCTTAATAAAACTTTGTATCTCTTATAGTTCCTGAGATCTCAGCGTTTATACGGACAGACGGACATGGCTCAATCGACCTCGCTATTGATCCTGATCAAGAGTATATATACTTTATAGGAAACGCTTTCTTCTATCTTTTACATAATTTCCAACGAATCTAGTATAAATTTTTACTCTACGAGTAAGGGGTATAAAAAGTGTATTCACTAGTATAAGTAATTTGTTTGCTAGAAGTAGTATTTTATAAATTAACTACCGTTTACCCCTTTAAATCAGGGTATATGACAAACTTTATTGAAAAAACAAAGGTTTTAGTTTTTAAACTAATGTATTAATGTATAGATAGTTGAATGTGATATTTTAAAAACCCGATCGGTGCGTCTTTAAATTATACTGGAAATTATAAACTTTATAGGGAAGCTGGGTTATAGTCCCTAAATTATGAGTCATTTATAAAAGCTATTGTTTAAAGTAACACGTATTGTCGCATATATTTCATACCATTATACTTTTTGTGGGTACAAGGTGCAAATACGCTTTCTTTGCTAATCTAATCCGCTAACTCAATTTTTAGATTAATAATTCCATTATCTAATGTATTCTTATGCAGTTACATAACATTTGGACTTGCTAAGATTATATAAACATACCCCTGTATTTGTTTATATATATATTCTTATCATGTTTAAAATTATCTTTTGTTTAAGTTGGAATTCAGTACAGGTACACAACTTTCGAAAATCATAAGAATTTTCTTACGATATACGCAACGGTAATATTGAGGGGTTCTTATCAAATCTTTTCGGCACCTATAAATACAAAAGTATTCCCATCAAGAAATACTATTTAAAAGCCTTAATAACAGTTTAGCTACAAAGCGCGGCGAAAACGGACTTTAAATTTTCGACGGCTTATAGACCATTTAGGAATCTTTCATTGCAAATATAAGAAAAGTGTTATTCGATCAGAAATACATACATAAATTTAATAACTGATAAGTCGATATTGCCAGATTAATTTTTTAATCCTACAATCATTTATGACAGCTATATAAAATAGGTAATGGCCTGACCAGCAATTAAAAAAATTATAATTATATTAACTCGTCCAAGTAATCCTGAAGCAAATGCTTGGTGTCTGTGTAGACCACGTTTATTGAGATATCGGAAACGTCCAAAAACACGAGAAAAACTGTGCCGTCCACATAGTATTAAAAATAAAGGTTTAGTTTGACTTGACATACGTTTTTAACAATACATCACAACCTGAAGTCTTAATAAATGTTTTACCAACAATTTACGGAACTCGAATGCAGCAAGCTTATATAATAATATTCCAATTAATCTATTTCTGTAATAATAATTTAAAGTAAGAGCTATTTTTCGGTAATTCGATTGCGAATAAAAAATAATTCTAATTTTCTACACCTTACTGTTCTCACGATCTCAGCGCTCACAGGTTAAAAGGACGAACAAGCCTAAAACGTCTCGCTTGCTAATAATAAATAATATATTATTAGAGGTATCGGTTCATTCTACCTTTTATAAACCTATATAAAACATATAGCTGGCTTCGGTCTTTTATCAGCTTCTAACATAGGTTTTTAATTTCATAAGAATAGGGGCGACTCTATCATAAGCATAATGTTGTTTTAACCTTCCTATCATAAAAATATTTAATTTATTTTTAATAATAAATTTCAGCAGTATTCTTCTTGGTTATTTTGACTTGATCGTAACAAAAGGTGCAGTAATATTTAAAACAACAATGAGTGTTCTATCCAAATATGGTGACTTCATTGCTGAAAAATGTGAGCATAATGGGCTTACGAAACACGCTTTTAGTTATGCTCTTGTGAGTAGTGCGATACTAGCACTTACCATAAAGGTGACTCTCCCATACGTAAAGACCGCAAATAATACATATAAACCAAATACGGAAAAAGAAACAACGAAAATCAAGAATGGTGTCCTGATATCATCTGAATCAGACTGCTTAGAAGAGGACTTAAAGCTTGCAGAGGCCGAAAAGTTGTTGGTTGCTCAGCAGCTGAAAAAAAAAACAAACAATTTTATTGAACCTGGGCTAAACAAGGATTTTTTAAAACAGCTAAAGATGCTGGCAAAAATAATGGTACCCCAGACCCTGTGTTACGAAACGGGATTACTGAGCATACATACTTTTTGCCTAATTTCTCGCACTTTTCTTAGTATTTATGTTGCTGCACTGGAGGGGGCCCTTGTTAAATTTATAGTTCGGAAGGACATTAAACAATTTGCTTTTGTGTTGCTAAAATGGTTTGGAATTGCTATCCCAGCTACATTTATTAATTCAATGATTCGATTTCTTGAAAGTAAACTTGCTCTCGCTTTTCGGTAAATATAAAATTTCAGTGCTTATGACGGTATAAGTCGAACTTTTTTATTTAGAACCCGATTGGTGCGTCATTCATACCGGCTTTATTTTAAAAATCAGAATTACTATAGAGTATCGAATTTAGACGGTCGTATTGAAAATGCGGATCATAGGTAAGTTCTTTGTTTTAAAAGTATAATAATTCAAACATCTCAAACTTTCTTATAGACTTACCGAAGATATTTCCGTGTTCGCTAGTTCTGTAGCGCACTTGTATAGTAGCCTGACTAAACCATGCTTCGACTTGATGCTAATTGGCTTGGCATTAATGAGATCATCCAGAAAAATGAAAGCTAACATTATAACAGGTTATTGATATTTTATGAGTAAATCCATTTCTGACTATTTTATTTGCATAAGCAGGACCGGCTTTATCAGTCGGTGTCATTGCCCTAACAGCCCACATTTTACGAATCGTTTCGCCAAAGTTTGGACAGTTGGTTTCGGAAGAGGCTAATAGATATGGGTACCTCAGACATATCCACTCCCGCATAATAACAAATGCAGAAGAAATCGCATTTTACGGAGGACATAAGGTAAGATTATCAAATCGAAGCCCCCAGGAATTAAAAAAAAATAGAGGGCACGTATTAAAAAAAAACTTATAAGCTTCGGTAAGGCGTTTATGTCTAACGTAAATTTGTCTCGGCAATGGATTTGGTTATTCTTGTAACATTTTTACAAGTACAGGTGTGTTATATTTAGCCAGGGTTAGTTATATCCATCACATCCATTGGTTATATTATAGTTAAGTTTATATTATATTGCTTAATTAACTTATGATTATTTGCTCATGAGTATTTGCTCCTCATGAGCACGTCTTTTCGTCGTAAACTGTTCTCTCAAACTCCGCGATCCGCATGACGCTTTACTCGCCGTTGGCTTCGTTCTCGTCGTCGTCTTACTCCTCTACATCTCATGGTCTCCTTCGCCAGATGGTCAATCGTTAACTCTTGGTTTCTGCTTCGTTGTTTAGGGCCTTCATCTGTTCTTCCAAACCAATCCCACATATATTTATGATCTGGATCAATTGCCAAGTTGATTAAGCCATGTCCGTCCGTCCGTCTGTTCGTATGAACGCTGAGATCTCAGGAACTAAAAGATATACAAAGTTGAGATTAAGCATACAGATTCTTGAAATAACTATTCAGCGCACGTTTATTTCATGCCTGCCACGCCTACTATAACGCCCACAAAACGTGGAAAACCAAAAACGCTTCAATCACGGTAACTATAAGAGCTAGAAAGCTAGGATATTCTTGAGATGCCACCGCAGCTCAAAGTTCGGCAACACTCAATATAACGCCCACAAAAGACGAAAAACTAAGGTCGTAGCAATAGCAAAAAACAGTAGCCGTATTCTCTAAGCGCTGAGATATCGGTAACATTACATGATCAGTGACGATGGTGCTGCTAAAACTCTTCTAGTAAGCTGATAGCCGTGTCGTGGCTCCTATCCTATATATGTATTATCGCCGAGGTTGACAAAAATGATACACTCGATTTGGAAGAGGTGCCTTTATTCTTTGGCTGTCAGCTCAAAAGTAATAAACAAACAAACAAACAAATCACGGCCGTCGACCAACGCCCGTCGTAAGACTTCGTGTGCCTTCCGTCGTGGTGCTCTTAGCTCATATCACCTTTGCTTTGTTAACTTGTATTCTAAAAATGCTACCGCTGCTCGAGGTGATATTTTAACCGGCTACGCCCACTCTAAAGCCTACAAGAAAACTGTGTCATCCATTTATAACATTTTTTTCTCAATATCTATCCATATACCAAACATTTTCAACTCCAACCATTATTTTGCAATTTATTAAGTTTTAATTATTAAACAGGGTTTTTAAGAAATGGTCAAGGTTTGTCAATTTCCGCTAAAAAAAAGATGTTTTAAAATTTATAGAAACAAAAATTGAATCATTCCCTAGTCAAGTAAAAGTTCATTAGCTGATGATATAAACTATTAGTTTTATTTAAAAAAGCTTATTATTTTAAAAATACGTAAGACAGTGACGGGTTCTTTATAGTCACGATTGTTATGTTAGGCATTGGTCCTTAAAAATATCTACATTTCGGCTTCGTCTTAAAGTCCTTAAAGTCTTAAAGTTAATATATGCCCACAACCTTTTTAATTGAATTTAATGTAATTTTTTATAAAAATATACCAAAGTTTAAAGTACATATATATTACCCCTAGTATAAACGATTCGATGTTTTTCTTAATCCATTTAAAAAAATAAAAACTAAAACTTTCTGTCTTACTTAAGATTCTCGATATCTGCGCTCCATATCTATTAAAACAAAAGCGTGTAATTCCCCGAATTCACTGAAAATGTACTCGCCTAAGATTACGATTACGACGTATTCTTAAACTATGGTATAATTAATAATTAATATATTTTAATATTGCGACATATTCTTAAACTATAATAAATATTAAAACATTTTAACCTTAAGAAGAATTTTATAATATTGTACCGCTTATTTAAATATCAAAAAATATTACGGAAATTAACTTTTCTGGAAGTGTAAAAATGTTTATCGAGAATTATAATAGAATGGAAGGGTTAGAGCCACATAGTTATTTTAAATTCGTTAACGGAATAATGAGTACCTGATAGTAATTAAGTATAGCGGGCCTTTTCGTTTTTATTGTATTTGTAGTCCGACCTAATTCGAAGCATTGCTGTTATCCTTTTTATATTGAAATTATTTTGGTTTCGAGTCTTTGGTTTCGACAGTTTACTCTGATCAAAAATAATGTACATATAAACTTGCAACATAAATATCTCGCCAACAATGAAATTAATTGGCTAATAATTGTATTATTTGATATAAATTAGGTGGAAATGCTGCAGCTCCGTCAGGCTTACAATCGACTTATAAACCAAATGACCACAGTTTTCAATCAAAAACTTTGGTTTATAATGCTGGAACAATTTTTTATGAAATATGTTTGGTCCGGTACGGGAATGATTATGGTATCACTTCCTATTCTGACAGGCAGTGACGTAGGATCTGGACAATTTCGAAATACGGCCTTTACGGAATCGCGAGTTAGCGAACGCACTCAATATTTAACTACGGCTAGGAACCTACTTATTTCAGCAGCAGATGCGATTGAGCGATTAATGTCATCCTACAAGGAAATCGTTTCTTTGGCGGGTTACACTTATCGGGTGGCTGGCATGATGGATGTTTTTGAAGAAACCGCTCAGGGAGTATATTGCAAGTCGAGCATAATAGAAAGTGGACAGCCGAATGGTATTATTGAATTCCGCAATGGAAAACCGGTTGCAAAAGGCCGCATTATTTATTCAGATGATCCGGAAAATATGGCAATAAACTTGCGTGCAGTGCCAGTGGTGACACCTAACTGTGATATAGTAGTACCAAAACTAACTTTATGCATCGAACCTGGTATGCATTTGTTAATAACTGGTCCTAATGGATGCGGAAAATCTAGCTTGTTCAGAATACTAAGTGGATTGTGGCCCATATACGCTGGAGAATTGCAAATACCACGTCCAGTAAATGATATCCCTTGCATGTTTTACATTCCGCAACGTCCATATATGTCAATTGGGAGCCTATGTGACCAAATAATATACCCCGACACGCAGGATGATATGAAACGAAAAAAAATAACTGAACATGAGCTAAGATGCATTTTAAAATTGGTGAGCCTTGAACACATCGCTCAACGGTAATTTTCTGATTTTTAAATTTTGTATGTTATGTTTTTATCTTAAAACACTTTCAGTGATAGTTTTGACGTTGTTCGTGATTGGAAGGATATATTATCTGGAGGTGAAAAACAACGGATGGCGATAGCTCGTCTGTTCTATCACAAGTAAGAATAATGAAATTTGCAGATGGATTAGTTTTATGGGCGGCCTTTATTTAGATATTAAGACTTAGCCAAATATTGTTTGATTCTGCCTAATGCATACATTCCTTCCTCTTAGGCCACGTTATGCCCTCCTTGATGAATGTACGAGCGCAGTATCTATAGATGTTGAAAGTTCGATTTATGAAATTGCTAAAGGTATGGGAATTACTCTGTTGACAATAACTCACAGGCCGACTTTGTGGTAAGTATTCATTATATAAAAAAATTTGAAGAAATTTAATTAAAATTATGCCTCTTTAGGAAATATCACACACATATTTTGGAGTTCGATGGTCTTGGAAGTTGGCAGTTTAGAAAAATGAATGCAGATGAACAACAAAAAGAACAATTTAATTTGTAATATACTATATAAGTTAAGCTAAAGCTTAGCAAAACAGTTTTAAGACATGTCTTTTTGGTAGGATAGTTTTGTCCGACAGTTATAATTAAAAATTTCAAAGTTCTCAGGAAATTAAATAAAGCTACTGTATTTTGACCAAATATTTGTGTGCCTTACGCCAATTATAAACGAATAACAGCATGACAACATTATTATATTTTTTCGCGCGGATGGCGTTGCTTGACTTACAACCCACCTCCCACCCGACCGACTGAGGGGCGCAGCCGTCTGACGTACGGCTCAGAACACGGGGATAGATCCGAGTGGATTAATAAAGATACGAGAACAAGTTTGTTTTGTACTAAATTGATTAGTATCAAAACTTTTAATGTGTTAGGAGAACAGTTAGAGATAATGTTATAAAGATTATTGTAGTTTGAACATAGTACCAAAGTTCGAACCCAGTTGACCTGGGTTACAAATGAAAAGCTTACCGGATGCCACTGGTAAAAAAGAGTAATGGATGAGGTTATTTTTTTGGGTTTATTTGTGGAAGCTTTACTCCCAATTGTAGATTGTTGAACTGAGTGTCCAGCGCAGAAAGCAAGCTGTTAACTTTGCGAAGAACAACCTGTAGCTGACCTGATTTTTGGTCTGCCTGATTTTTAGTCTGTAGATTGTTGAACTGAGTGTCCAGCGCAGAAAGCAAGCTGTTAACTTTGCGAAGAACAACCAATACCTGACCTGATTTTTAGTCTGCCGTATAAACGATCTAATTTCTCTCTGGGCTTCACGACATCTGTCACAACAGTAGTGTAGGCCAGAGACGGAGCGATCCAAAGCATCCGGTATGGTGGCTGACTTAAATCCTGCACCGTTGGAGTGCGCAATGTAATTGCACAACCAACAGGGGACGCTTGGTTGACACCGACACGATTTTATTATATTTTTTAACGCAACATACAATACCAGACATTTGGACAATTATTTACTTATCTACAAGCCACATTGCCTAAAAAGTTTTGGTCCCACACCACCAGATGGCGTCAATAAAATATTCCCACTTCTTAACTTATGAAATTAAAAAGAGCACTGTTAACAGTACTTAACGATCTGTCATTCGTTTTTATCTTACCTTTACTTAAATGTTGTATAATTCTAGAATGTTTTTGTTGAAGACGACGACAAAATATCGTGAATAGAGCTACTTAGCTTAGAGGGGTTTGCTTTAATACATTACTTTATTGTTGTCTTAGTAAAATTGTATATTTCAACCTTTATGTATTCCCCATCTAGTCACGCCCACTCTAACATCCACAAAACACGGAAAACCAAAAACCGAAGATCTCGGGAACTATAAGAGCTAGAAAATAGGAATACCTATTTCAGAGATGCCACTGCGGCTCGACCTGAGTTTTCAAGCAATCATTATATTAAAATGTATTTCTTCGTTTGACCTTGTATAATATTTTTTGTCAATATCTATTGACTTACTTTAGATTTTTATACCCGTTACTCTTAGAGTAAAAGGGGTAAACTAGATTAGAGTATGTAACAGATAGAAGGAAGTGTTTCCGACCCTATAAAGTATATATCAAGTATAGATCAAGAATGATCAGGATCAATAGCGAAGTCGATTGAGCTAAGTCCGTTTGTCCTTCCGTCCGTCCATATGAATGCTGAGATCTCAGGAACTAAAACAGATACAAAGTTGAGATTAAGCATGAAGATTCTTGAGGTCCCTGGACAGCGCAAGTTTATTTCCGCATCCTGCCACGCCCACTCTAACACCCTAACAAATCACGAAAAACCAAAAATGCGAAAATCTCTGAAACTATAAAAGCTAGAAAGAATACGTATTAAGAAGATGCCACTGCAACTCTAACGCCCACAAACCGCGGAAAACTGTGGCGTCCATAATATTATAGTGTATGTTTTAGTTTGACCTTGTATAACTTATTTCTGTTAATATATATCGATTTACGCAAAATTTTTAAATTGGAACATTATTTCGCTATTTATGAATAAATTTAAGTTATAGGGCCTCACATGGGCAGTGACGTTACTATCACCGTTTTCTATCTCTTATATTAACCGGGATCTCAGCGTTACGTCTACTCGAATATATATTCAAAGGCCTTTTTTCTAGCTGATGCGTCCTTCCCAACAAATACATTATACCCTATTATTATCTACGGGTATAATGTTGTCGTTAAAATTGTTTTTGTGTACGTCGGAGTAAATGTAAATAGGAAAAGGAACGAGTGAATGAACGGGTGCTAGTCAAAAAGCGCTTACTGGTAAAAATGCAGAACGAGACGGCGATCATATTATCGCACTGCGGTAATATAGTCAGTTTTTTCAAATTGTTGTGATATAGAAACCTACCCACGGGATATGGATCTCCGGCAAAGGTTAAGATCTTTTTTTATATACATAAAAGGTTTCGTACGTGACGCTGTCGGAAACTTATAGTTTGTGAGCTAATAAGGACAACGTTTTATATATTTTATTACATTTATATATAATTACTCTATAAAAAAGGGTAAGGATATTGCGTGAAAAGTATGTATCAGGAAGAAAGTGTTATCAACCTTACAAAGTATATCCTTGATCAGAATCAATAACCGCGTTATTTTAGCCTTATCCAAAGAGATAGAAATGTGGGATTAATGGTATTATATGCATTATATGCCTGCACGACGCGAGTTTGGCACTTACTTACTAACTATAATATGAGATATTTGGAGCTATGTATATATAATAGAATTTTGGGATTAAGTAGGCAGATTGCAGAGATGCTATCACAGCGTATGTTTTTCCACATCTAGCTAGTAATAATAATAATAATAATATATTTTATTAGAATACTCAACTATAACTCTACCACCGTTTTCGGAAAAAGTAAGATTAACTTTATTGTGAATGCGGTGAACGCAAAAAATTTCGTCATAGGACGTGGGAAACAAAGTTGGCGCGAAGTAACGTTAAGGAGCTTAGGCGAGTTAATCGTGTTAACAAAAAGACTAATTTGCCCTTCTTATGCCAGAGTTAATAGATTTTGATGTGTATAAAGCAAAGAAAGTTAGCTTTTTATGTAAATAAAGCTCCGCTTTGAAAGTAGAGTGACGGGAAACAGGAGGTGCAGTTGTGCGAAAACTTTTTCAATAATTTGTTAATAGTATAATTGTTTTCATACTAATATATTTGTTCGATATTAACGCGTCTTACTCTCTTATATAGCACAATGTAATCAACCTTTCGCCTTTAACGACGCTGGTGCTGGTATTAAGATTGAAATAAAAAGAACTATAACGTTACTAAGTAACATGTTGAAAAATCAAATCAATCAAATAAATGATAAATGCTAACCGTCGCTGTGCAAATTTAGCATAGTGTAAGCATCACGTTATACAGATCAACTAAAATATTTTTATCGGAAACATCATTGCATGTCTAATGTTATCGAGTCACATGAAAGTACTTTTGAGCATAGTAATTTAAAAGCGGATTTTTAATAAGATAATGGGTGCCACAATGGTAAAGCCTTTGGTTAAGAATGGGAATTTATTGGATGCGTTGCCCTCACAGGTAGTTAAATAACTATTTGCAAAGATTAAGAAAACAAAAATATGTTTTGTATTACAGGCAACCCTACATGTAGTTATGTTAGGTCTGGATTCTGCAGGTAAAACAACGGCATTATATAGACTGAAGTTTGATCAATATTTAAATACTGTCCCTACTATTGGCTTTAATTGCGAAAAGGTTTGTGTCTACTAAATAATTGGCAACGGTTATAAATTAAGATTGTTTTCATAGGTACAAGGTACTATTGGCAAGGCAAAAGGAGTTAATTTCCTAGTTTGGGATGTGGGTGGACAAGAAAAACTGAGACCACTTTGGCGAAGCTATACACGGTATTAAATATAAAATGATTTTTAAATGATTTTAAAGTCTGTTAAATTTCTTTCAGCTGCACAGATGGCATATTGTTTGTTCTTGATTCTGTAGACAGAGAACGAATGGAAGAAGCAAAACTGGAACTATTGCGCACAGCAAAATGCCCTGATAACCAGGTAAGGGCATATTTATTTTTTAACATATCTATAACTTAATAATTTAATTTCGTTTTGTATTAACATTTATAGCTGTTTAACTTTAAACTTAACTGTACTAAACAAGGTGTAAAGCTATACTTGAGTGACGCGGCTCCTGATACCCGTTAATCATTTTGAAAACAATAATTTTCTTATTTATTTGTTACTACTTATAACTTTTTCTTTCCTTACATCAGGGTTGCTCAACTTCTATGCTCTGAGTGCTCATTTGTTTTTGTAAATGCGCGGAGCATAGGGACTTGCTCGCCCATAAGCTTTAAGCGGTCGCGGCGATAATACACTAACAACTTTTCGTTTTCCTCTTTCCGCATCATTCCGTCACCAAACGCAATATATTTATACACGTTACTCATAGAATAAGAGGGTATACTAAATTCGTTGAAAAGAATGTAACCGGAAGCGTTTCCGACCCCATAAAGTATATATATTCTTGATCAGGATCAAAGAAGATGATTGAGCCATGTTTGTCTGTCCGTCTGTCCCTATGAACGATGAGATCTGAGGAACTATAAAAGGTAGGAAGTTGAGAATAAGCATGAAGATTCTTGAGGGGCGTACGCAAAAAATCACGAAAAACTAAAATCGCTGAAATCTCAGGAACTATTAGAGCTAGATAGTTGAAATTCAGTATGTATAATCTTGGAATGCCAGCCATCTTTTGGTGGTATCATTATCCGGACACACCCATTCTTACGCCCAATTATAAGTAATGGAAAGTTCGGATTAAGTATGTAGGTTTTTATGATGCTCCCAATGCGAATTGTTTTCTTCTGATCAAGCCACGCACACTCTAACGTCCACAAAACCCAAAAAACCAAAAATGCGAAATATTTGGGAACTATAAGAGCTAGTATGTTATGCTTAAGAATACGTATGTTGCAGATGCCATTGCAACTTGCCCCTAGTTTTCATCCCGCCATGCCCACTCTAACGCCCAAAACTCTGGCGTCTATAATATTATTTCGTTATTTATGAAGAAATTTAGGTTATAAGGCCTATATGGGCAGTGACGTCACTATGAGTTACTCAACATGCTTTCTTCGACAATAGGTGGTGCCTTGGGAATTTCCACTAGAAAAATTAATATTTTAAAATTGTGTAGAACAGTAACGGGTATCTTATAGTGGCGGTACTCGACTATAGCGTTTATTCTTGTTTTTTCTTGTTTCTTGCTGAAACATCTTTGAACAGTTGCATCGGAATTCATTCCTTATACCTTGTGTTTGCAATTTAGAGTATATTTCGTACTTGGCGGGTCAGTAAAAGGAGTCATGATTTCTTTTCTCTCAGTCCACAGCTGCAAACCAACGTCACTAAATATGCGCACGCTTTCTTGTATTTGGGCTAGTAAATGCTCTGCCTTAAGATGAAGACACAATTTTGAACTTCCATAGTAGAATTGCTCAAAAACTATGATTTAAAAAGTATGGCAACTTGTCTTCTGTATAATTCTGTATAATTCAGCTGCGAACATCTCATCGAACACCTTTGATCTCAACCCTATTAAACATTTTTCTTAAAAAAATAATAATTGTATATTTGTGAATGAACAGGCAAAGCTCCTCGAGACAAAACAAAAACTCGTTGATAAAAAGTACTTTACCGTACACTGCACACAGACTTGAATGTTATTTTATTTTTTTTAATACAAATATAAAGAATTATATAATTCCAAAATTTAAAAGCAAATAATTTAAGACGTTTAAATAAGGAGTAGTTACCTTTCGGAATTTTTCCCTCCAAGACAGTTTTGCAACAAGTGTGGGGACCAAAAAGTATTCTTGATCAGGATCAGGATTCGATTTAACAATGTTCGACTGTCCATATATCCGTCCGACTGTCCATGTATCCGTCCTTCCGTCTGCCCGTGGGAACTATAAGAGATACTCAGTTGAGACTAAGCATACAGATTCTTGAGATGACTTTCAAAAACCATAATAGCTAGAAAATTAAGAATTGATTAGTATTATTTTCACCAAGCGCGAAAAACGGTTGGCGCTTTTCGTAAGAATGCTGACGTCTCGGTTCCTTTTTGATTTGCTTAAACAAACAATTTGATTTTTATAATCTATTAATATGATTGTCCAAATTACAAACAGTGATTTATCCGACCTAATAGACTTTCATGATGTCCATCATCCTGCTGACCGATCGAACCCATATCTGCCAATTAATTGAACCTTTAAAATAGAATGAATGTGTTAATAAATTCTGTAGCGATTCTTAACTTCATTAAATACAGTTTTGTCGCCGATACAGAAGCTATATGCTACAACAATGGTGTTTCATTGGTCAGTTCAGATGCTAATTTTCTCTTTAGCTTTCTACTGTCAGTATATCGTTTACGACCTTTTTTTTCTGTTTTTATTGTCATAAGGACCAGTTAAAAAAAATGAGAAATGCGAGTGACTTATTCTACGTTTAGATAAGGTTCTAATGATATTAAAAATAAATGTGTAAGAAAACAAATACTAAATTCGTGTCATGAACAATGAAAACATCTAGACGGTAGTGATACCCCTGTGTGAACACCGGCAAAACAATTTCGTTCTATAATTCTGTAGAGGAGAACACATAAACACCAAAAAGATTTATTTTTAGTTTAGTAGTTTAGTTTACTTTAGTAAGCTGTTAAAAGTATAATATATTTTTGTTAATTTTTAAGGGTGTTCCGGTGCTGATATTGGCAAATAAGCAAGATCTTCCTAACGCGTGTGGTGCAAAGGAGCTGGAAAAACTTTTAGGCCTGAATGAACTTTATAACCCTATGCCGAATGTATCAACACTACCTAATTCCGAATCTTCCTCCAAAATTAATTTAATCGGCTCTAGCATCTTAAACCAAAGTATTACAGAAACATCGTTGAAAGAACACAAAACGCGTCACTTGCATTCATCAATGATCCACATAAACCCCGCTCTTGAAGGTAAGGATGACAAATCCTCGATTGGCGGAGGAGCATTCCCAACATTCATATATCCCCATTCGTGCAATAATTCTGACGTGGTTCAAAAAAATCAGAGAGACGTTAAAACTTGCTTTCATAGTATTAAACATAGCAGGGTTTCTTCCAACGGCATGCAATTCAGTGGGTGGTATATACAACCAACCTGTGCTATAACTGGCGAAGGCCTCCAGGAAGGTTTGGACGCTTTATATGATATGATTTTAAAACGCCGAAAAATAAACAAATCGTATAGAAAAAAACTGTAGCAATTATTATCGACTGTGACTAATTGTCAGTATTTCTCGATTGTCTTAGCTTTAGCACAATTAAATACAAAATGCACAATTAAGTTATGTTTTATTGGTCTGTAATTTAAATATTTAAAATAAAAAAAATTTGAATTAAAATATTTTGAAAAGTTATACATTTTGGTTCTTGTTACAAGGTTGGGAAAATATAAGAAAATATTTATTTATTTTTATACCCGTATTCGTACTCGTAGAGTAAAAGGGTGTATTAGATTCGTTGAAAATGATGTAACAGGTAGAAGGACTCATTTCCGGCTCTATAAAGTATATAAAGGGTGTATTTTTAGAGTTGGCATTACTGTTCAAGATGGCGAGCGATTTAACAGCTGTTAACTGAGAAAATAATATATACGTAACGAGTCCACTTTATCGTCGACAAAATCGATAAAGCGTACTTCTGCTTGAATGGCTACGTTAACAAACAAAACTGTCGCATTTGGAGCGAAGCTAACCCTCAAGTGTATGTCAAAACACCGTTACATTCAGAAAAATTGACTGTTTATTTAAAATAGAATGCCACAAGATTATCTTTCGAATAAAAATGTCATTGCGCAACTTTATTTCAGCGTCCTGCCACGCCCACTCTAACGCTCACAGACTGCGGAAAACTAAAATAGCTGAAATCTCAGGACATATCAGAGCTAGAAAGTTGAGATTAAGTATGTATAATCTTGAGATGCTATAGCTTTAACCATTATCCGGACACCCACTCTGACGCCTACCAAGGTCGAAAGACCGGTTTCGCCTTATGTAGAAAAGCTGATATCTCAGTAACTTATCCTCGTATAGCGACTCGATAATTCGCATCTGTAAGCGCAGCTCCTGTAGCGACTGCTTCAACTTGTTCTTTTTCTGGCGGATATGGCGCGACTAATTGATCTCCTGCTGTCCAGGTCCTCACGCAGGCTCTGAATGTGTGTGTCCTGCTCTATAGCCTTGCGCGTGTGCTCGAACTGCTGGCGCAGACGATCCAACTCCTTGGTTATATCGAACAGTTCATCAGTAATCTTCTTCCGATTGGCATTGGCCAGGTTGAATTTGCTCAGCTCATTGAAACGCGACTCGTACATGCGGGCATTTCCCTCAGCAGTGATGCACTCCTTGGTTTTCTTGTCCAGACGGTCCTTCACATCCTCTCCTCCCATGCTTGCTATCGATCTCGCCACGGCCACTTGGCCGTATCATCCAGAAGATGTCGCGTCTCCAGCAGCTCATCCTCGAACATGTTCTTAATATTCGTCGTCTCGCGTGTGATCGTGTCCGGCAGGATCGACGCCGGAAGCGGGAACGGAAGCAGTGCTGGATAATTTGTCGCAAGGATGTAACAGGGCATGATGTCGGCGATTACACGTTGAGCAGCGGGAGGATCAGCATCCACGGGTTAGGTATCCAGACTTGAGGCAAACGAAGCAGAGGGCAAGTCCTCGGACTTCATTGTATCGTTCATCAACTTGCAAGGCAAGGAACCTTGGGCAAGAAGGCACAGCATGTGATAAGATACCGCACAGGCCACACGGAGCAGGCGGCGCATTGGAAGGGAGTGTGTGAAATACCAGCACCACTGGTACCATCCAACTTCTTTAGCAACTTTCACCTGGATGTCGACGTGCACGTCCGTGGCTAGCTGAGAGAATTTCCAATATAAATCACTTCCGAATTCACTATAATTCAGCTCCTCTAATTCCTCCTGAATCGCGGCAAATCGGTCACGAAGACGCTTTTCTATTGACTCGTGGGTCATAATGATTGAGTCCTCGGTCAGAATAGCAGCCTTGACCATCTGATGCAGGACCTTCATTTCTTGACAGGTATCCTCTGCTCGTCTCCGCAACATCCTTTCCCTGCTTGAAGCAGCAGGTCCAACGGCTTCAGCTCCAGACTCTATAATGCAATTTATGTAAGTGCACGGTTATTACAACAAAAACAACAAGTTTCCGGCAAGTGGCACTTTTAAACTAATCACAATAATCAAAACGCGCTGTGATCACGTCGGGGTCATCAAAATTTTGAGCAACTAAGAGTTTTTAATTGCTTTAGAATAAATAAATCGTGGAAGTTCCATTTCCAAATTTTTATTACGAGTTCAAATCAAAACCAAAAACCCGTATCACGCCGTCTATTCCAGCTACTCGCTCTAACTTCTGTGAAAAAAACAAAGAAAGGAACTCCCAATATAATGCGTACATAGACAAGAACTCCCAATATAACGTAACAATGTTAATGGTTTAGGAATATTGAAAAACTAACCAACCCTCCAGAAAGCATAAGCTTACGCCTTCATCTTTACATTCATATTTTCCCGGTCTTTAAGTTTTCATTTCAAAAAGGTTTGCCATTTCATCAGGCAAAAATGTATTATCCGCAATCGAGTCAAAAATATTAAAATTTAAGGGCGCTACGACCAATTTATTGCCGCCATAATTTTTCTGTCAGAGCAACAATGAAGTGTCTAGTGGAAAAATTTGAATAGACAACACAGTACAAAAACTTCCCGTTCCAGTGAGACAAAGAAATACCCGAGTGTCGAGAATATTGCTGTATCAGTATCCACACGTCGTTCTCAAGCTTTGGCCATCTCTGTGGCGTCAAATCAAATTTACACAAGAACTTAAGCCACACAAGACCACCCACGTCGTATGTTTGTGAATCTTCATTAGATTCGTCTTCTTCTTTAGATTCGTTAGTATTCCAAATATGCTAATGGGCGAGGGGTACTCAAGTGGATCATGCATCTCCAAAAAATTGGGATCAGAGTCTGGACTTTTTGTAAGCGTGCCCATGGAAACGATATCGAGTTTTATACATAATGCCGTCGAATGCACTTCCACAGAAATAAAGAAAATTCATTGATATCGCAAACTGTTTTTGTTTAATTCTAAAAAATGTTGTATCGCGGTATTTTGCGCTGACGTATGCTGAAATTTGTTCTTCGAAAGCAACCTCTTGCACGCAGAAATAAGCTTCTGTTTGTTGGATAAGGGTGTTAAATTAGCTAAGACGTCTGAGAACTGCATCGGTACGCCGCAAGTAATCCTCATAAACGTAAAGTATTTTTATATTTGTCAAAGCACCGCATTAAAAAATGATACGATGTTTATATACTTTACTTTTTATATGCGGTACCAAAAGTTAGTATAACCTGATGCTTTACCTACAAGTAATGGGAATAAGAAGTAAATAAGTCTTTTCTGACTAAAGCAAGAAATGTATTTAAAAATTATGTTACATGTTAGTTATTTTTCGCAAGAAATATAATTTTTAAAGTTAATTAATTTTTGTTGTTGTCGTTGTCCTTTCCAATTTCGGGGTACTCCAATTTAACACCAGACTCACATGTGAAAATGGGACAACAATAAGGAAAGGAAGCGGTTTTATTTGTCTTCTCAGTATCCAATTTACACTTGTCATTCGCTAAGGGCAATGGGCCGCAATCTTCTACAAGTTCTAAAAGCCTACAAATTACATAGAATACAATTTGATTTTTTGTTATCGCTTTTAAATAATAACGTTACTTAGTTTCGTTTTCCTGATTTTGTACGCAAGTAGATCGACCGCAGAACGGTGTGAGATCCCAAGACTTTCCGGGCTCTACAGTAGCACATCGAGTGGAAGCAAAACACATCGCCGGAAAATCTAAAAGTTATATAAAATTTTATTAATCGTGAATCTAGTGTTATGTATAGTGTTATATATATAGTGTTATAGTGTTATATATATATATATATATATACATATATATATATAAATGTATTCTAAAAAATTATTTTACAATTGATGAAGAGAGAATTTTATGGTCGCTCTTTTAAAAATGACAGTTCACATGAAAACAATAGTTCGCAATATGATTGAACATAAAAGCTTGAATTATTCATGAATAACCTCAAGCTTTTAAAAGATCTTTAGCATGCATAATCAAATGTCAAATCACATTTTCTTCAATTCAATAAACTAATATGCGGAAAAATATTAAATTAATAACAATATTAAAGTAATAAAGTATATATATATATATTATTTACCCTATAAATATGCATGTGTATATCTACAAATTTTCGGATATTGCTTTACGTACCTCTCAGAACATCAGCCGGAATAAGTCGTTTGAAGACTCGGATTTCACCAGCATTGGTATCGTCATGCTCAGCTTTAACACAAGCTATTATAGTTATTATAATGATCAAAATACCAAAATTAAAGCTCATTTTAAATGTGCTTGAAATTTTTAAATTTTATAAATTTGTCACGATTTATAAATATAAGAAAAAACGCAAACGGAATCAAGCGCCTAAACAGTCTGCCTGTAGCGAAAGTTCACAACAAGTAAAACTCACTAGATGGATACACCTATACTTATGGGGAGTTCGTACATATATGCGTTGGCTACCTGGGTTAAAGCGTTACGCTGGCTTGAATGTAGCTTTGAAAGTTCAGTTATAAATAACCAGATCCAAGCTGAGTGCTTTGCTCCGGTTTTCATCTGCATTCATGTATATGACAATAGACACTATTATGCTCTTAATAGAGTACCTATGTCGCTGCTATGAAATTTTGTGTGCTTTTAAGTTTCGCTGAGAATCAGTCAACATATATTTTCATATAACTTCCAGAGTGATTTGCCATAAATGTTTTTTTTTTAATTTTATTTACCCTTATAGCAAAGTTTAGGCATTCATTTAGGCATGATGATCACGGTACTTGACAACAGCTTTTCTTCCTGTTACAATTTGTCAGCAATCAATTTAGACAGGGAAAATACTAGTTTAGACAGTGGTTGGTATCAATGTTATCCATTTAACCATGGATTGGTAATTGGTGTGCCCATTTCACCTACCTAACTATTTTGTTACCACGTTTGTATTTTTTCATTTAACCAATTTTGTATATTATTATTTTTAATTACACGCATAAGAATATATGCGACTTGAGCTAAGCTAAGGTGACGAAATCCAATCGACTATGGCGCTTTCCGATTACCTTGTAGGCAAACTGGTGTTTTTTCTATATAAGACCATACCATAGCATTATACTCTAATGTTATAATATATGCTACCTTTTATATGAAATAAGGATATGATATGATATTCTTATGAATACTTTTCTTATGCGTTCTCTTCTTCTCATTTATTCTGCATCGAAACGTAAATAAAATTAATGTATTTTATGTGCCACTCAATTAAGGATAACGTCAAAATTTTTATTTCCTTATTCTACATGATGATACTACAATATTGCGATCAGACTACCAAAATAAATATTTTTTATTCAATAACTAAAGTTGTACTTGTGCTTATTGTTCGCGCATACTTGATTTATAACTAGTAATAATTTTTTGCTCGTAACGTAAAAAGGTATAATGTGTTCGTTGGACATCTGAGTACATACCTCAGATGTGTGGAAGGAATGTGAACCTATAAGTATCCTAATTAACGGTCAATAGGAAAGCCCATTTAGTCATGCGCGTCTGTCCCGATGCCTACCACAGAAAGAAAAAACACTAGCATCTTTCTGTATTAATGCTGAAATCTCGGGAACTATACATGATGGATTAAGCATGCAGATTGTTACCACATGCCGCGGAAACCATTTTATATGAATGGTATCTGGGGATCCCTTTACATTAGATACTTAATGGCCATAACCTCCTTTATGCATATATAGCATACCTTTATGGGGTAAGGATTGGGAATGCCCAAAAGCAACAACATGGTAAAATCAACGTTTGCGTAATACTCAAGAAAATCAAGATGGACTTCTATATACGATATTATAGAGTTCTTTATATTACAAAGTTAGTATATAACTTTACTTGCTGATCTGCGACTTCCTGCACTCCGTAAAATCTCGCTGACTGATGCCTACATTCATCACCTTCTTGAAGGGTTTTTTTTCCTAAGTCCCAATAAGAAAGTATTATTGTGAGTAACTTTAGCCCAGACCGAAGCTTTCCTTATAGTCCATTCTTTCTTCCGTTGTTTCTGCCACCTTTTCTGTATTCAGGACTTTTTCGGAGTCAGGCAATACCAGGACCAACAGCCAATAATAAAATTATTTTCGTCAATACACTTTTTTTAAACAAAGGTTAGCATAGTAATGGGCAAATATAATTTTATTCTTTATTTTTTTAAAACTCATTTTATTTAAATTAAATTATCCAAAGGTTTTTGTAATTTCAGTCATATACTTTGTAATTCCTTAAATAATGTTTTATTTGGGTGTGGTGAAATGTTTTAGCAACGTCAATGGCATCATCCACCACCATTTCGTTTTTAATATCCTTAATTGATCTATTAGAATAATTAGCAGAAAATGATTCTTGAGAAATATTTGGTACATAAAGTTTTACGCGTGGAATCAAAAAAGAAACCGAACGGTCCGTTTCGTCATCATTGTATGGGCTATTATTTATTCTTTTATTTATAAAGGCAATCTTTCCAATGGCATATTTGATATTTAAATCACCGTTTACATACAAAGCTGAGGGGGTCTTGTAATTTTTAATCGCACTAGTTTTTCTAAGTAATATAGGCTTAAAATGGTGATTTCTCAAGTCGTTACTTTTCTGCAAAAAAGAAATAGGGCATCTAACATTATTAATACACATTCATTTAATGTGGCGATTACCTTTTTATCGATGGATGTAATGCGTAGACTTAATTCATTTATACTTCCATTTCCACAGTTTAATGGTCCACCAACATTAGTTGGTGTTATCGTACTAGGATATAGGGTGGAAGCTGAAATAAAAAATGTACTTTTTTTCTCCCTAGCCCACAGTTTATGTTTGATTTTCATTAGTGCAATGAAAGACAGCAGCAACATAAATATAACTGTACCAGTTGTAAAAATAAAGATTATAATAATCTTTTTATTAACTTGGCATTTCGTTCCACCATACCAGGAATGGCACTTGCATACTGTTATCGCCAGCTGCCCTTTGTGGATTGACTCGCTAATACATTTCCCGTTATAGTTACACTTAGCACATCTATTTATATTATCTGAACAATTTCGACCTGGGTATAAATCGTTATCAGATATATCTTTGTAACCCGTCTTACAACTGCAAGTGTAACTGCCAATCAAGTTAAGACAGTGAGCATTAATAGAACAATCATTAAAGTTATGATCAACACACTCATCAAAATCTAAAATTATAAAAGTCATTATATAAAAAAATGTTTTTAAGGCTTTACCTCTAAGTGATTGTAAATGTAGTCCATTTTTTGACATGAACAGACCAGTGCCGATTCTTGAGTTGTTACGTCGAAAATAATTTTTAAATTCGGATGTTAGTTGATCAACATCGAGATTTTCTGACAGCTATGTACATTTAAAAAATATATTATTATTATAAATAAAATGATTTTTTTAATCGTTCACCTGTAGCAAAAATGTAATTAATAAGGTATCATTCTTATCTGCAAAAACATTTCGTATTTGCACGCCGTGAAATATGTCCCTATAATCTGATTCCATAATAATGCGATTAGCGGCTTCTAGTAATATTCTTTTCATTTTATTGTTACGCTTAAAAGTATGGTTTCTTGAAGATGCGGCTTGAACTTTCATTTCGTATGTAAAAGAAGCTAAAACAAGATTATTATTATTTTAAATTAAATAATTAAATCAAAATACATACGTTTGCAAGGGCGATCCAAAAACATGCGACCAAAACTTGGTCGACACTCACATGAATTTAAAGATCCGGTATTATTAGCAAAAGTAACGCATATTTCATTGTTATTTAATTTGCAAGGTGGATGACAAGCATCAACAGTATTTTTTTTTGTTTTTGAAGGAGACTCTTCAAGAATTATATTGTGGAGTGAGCTTTTTGAGTCGCTTGTTGGGTATAAGCTTATTTCGTCTCCAATAAATTTATGGTTAGAAGTGCTTCCATTTTTTTTTTCAGTAAAATTTACAGTCGTTGAAGAACTAAAACCAGATGTCACTTTAAATTGATTCGCTAGAAAACTTGAAGTTTTCAATTTCGAAAACAATTTACTAATGACAACACTTTCAAGAACTTCTTGTGATTGTGTGTTCATTCTTGATGACGTTAATATTTTTTGTATAGCAATGGAAAGTGGGATTTTAATATATTTTTTTGGTGTGTTAAGAAACGAGTAATTATTGTATGTAAAATTGTTTCTATCACAAATAATGCCTATTTCAGAAACGTTTATTAAATTAATATATTTTGTTTTTGTGGGCTTTAATATATTAAAATAATCTGGTGTTTCCCGTGAATATATGGACGCATATGTAGACGGATTACATTTTTTTGTATTTATCAATGCCCCTGATATGGCTTCCCATACCACGTTTTTTTTTGATACAGAGTTTATATCATCCAGCGAAATTTCTGATGGATTAAGCATTTTAAAAGAGTATTTTTTTTCTTTTAATATAATGTTTGTGCAGTCCTTGTTGCATTTAATACCAGAAGTCCTAAATATTGACATTAATGAAATTGGTCTTGGATTGGTGAATGGTGTTACTGAATTGTATTGTGGACTGGCAATGAAATATTTAAAAGATATTTTTAACGCGTGTATATCGGTCAAAGGTAACTTGAGAGTATTTGACTTCTCAATGTGATTGTGCTCTTTTGTGCTCTCAGGTTTTGTAACATCAGTTATATGCCTAATCACTGAAAAACGTTTTTTCGATGAGAAGTCATATTCTTGGTAATTATTTGACTTTAATAACAGCGATGATTTGTTTGAATGCTCCTCTTTTTGACATGAATCAATAAATGGTTTTAACTTTTTATTAAGAATTCCAATAATATGTCTAGTTGTTTTACTGTTTGACTTATCACTATTATCTTGACTAAAAGTAGATTGAGAGAAAGATTTGTTTGTATAGATTATAGGATGATTGAATATTACTTTTGTTTTGGTATTTTCAAAGTAAAAACTATGTTGACCATTTCTTAATTTAATACTTTCTAGTTTGAATTTAGTACTCGCGGGATCCAAGTGTTCATGTACAACTCTCCTGTGTGTAAGCTGAACATCCATTCTATCGTCGTTCATAGATACTGTGATGTATGGCATCAATTCAATTTGTCCCCTTACGGTTGTTTCGTGTGGATCATTTACAAATTCTTTATTAAAAGTTAGAGGACGGCCATGCATATTAATTGTATGTCTACTGACGTTGTTTTTGAGTTTTACTTGTTGAAGAGCGCCATATGTAGATACAATAATGGGTATTTTATGGAGAAAAGTATGTTGTAAAGATACTGGAGAGATATTATTAATAAAATAAAAGTCAGATCTATTTGACACTGTTTCACCTTTCGCAGATGGCAGACTTAAACCAAATATTTGAGGTGTTTGAAATATATTTAAAATTTGATTTTTGTAAAAAGCAGTATTCAATCTAATTATTGATTGAGAAGAATAAATACCAATGCTCGAACTTTTTTTTAACCGTACATAAGATGAAAACCTTATTGTGACCGGTGGTTTTCTTATTTTTATCTGTATTGTTGAAGAATGCTGTTGTAGTAATTGATGATTTACTGTTAATGGTGGCGGTTTTAATATATTACCATACTTTATCATTATTCTTTCCTTATTTGAATGGGAATTATGTATGCTCTTGGAAAAAAATGAAATAGTTGAGTGCAATGGTTTCTGGGAAGTTAATTGATGACTAGAAGATGTAGATATGTTGCCGCTTAACAATGTTTGAGATACTTTCATATCGATATTTGGCCTTCCAAAAATGACATTATTCCTGGCAGTTATAACTTCACCGGGTTTTATGGATATACCGCTATAAATGAACTCGTTTCTATATACCTTTGATGTGTTTACATCGTCTCCGGTAGATAAAATGTTTGTTAAAGTATGCTTAGGCAGATATAAAGAAATTTTATTAAATATTAAATTTCTCAAAAAATCATGTGTCCATTGTTCACTATCTGACGGATATAAATTATTTTTTTTTAATTTATTGTACTCATTTTGCTCCAAAGGTATGTAAACTGGATTTACCCTTGATTTTGATATAGTTTGGCGTTGTAGTATATTTGGTTTTAAGTTTTTTTTAATATATGTGCTTTTGTTGGTTAGTGCCGTTTGTGTATGAACTAACTGTTTTTTTAATATTTGTGAAACAACATTTATTATTGGACGGAAACATTTTACATTGAATTTTTCAATAATACTCGAATGTAAAACTATACGAGAACTATATTTATCATTACTTTTTATGTATGTCGTAAAATTTTCAGAATTTGGTAATATTAAATTTGAATTATTTTTCTGGTAATTGTTCCTGCTGTTGGCACTAATAGAATTGGGCGATTCTTGTAAGCATGAAGGGATGTAATTTGAATTTAGATCTTTAAAAATATTCATAGCAGTTACTTGAATATTGCCACCTGCCGAAAGGCTTGCCATTTTAACAATAGTTTGGGGTTCGATCCTTTTTTGTTTAAGCATTAGTTCGGAGTTTAACGAAAGTAAAATATTTGTGTTCAATAGCGAACTACCCACAGTATGGGTTACTATATTTTGTATAACAAAAATCTGAAGCTTTAATTGATGGGTGGGAACTTTTGAATCATTTTGACAAAGTTGTTTTAATATAGAAATGTATGAAGACATTTCGGTCAAACTTTTATGTAAATTAGTTGTAGAGAAGGTTACAGTTTCCATTAAAGATTTTGTTGAGTATGTAAGCACATATTTAGATTGTTCTTTTTCAATTATTGAAGCTGATGAAATAATTTCTTTTTCCGACAAAAAAGGTAAATTAGTTATTTTTGTATTAATATCATAAGAAATGGTTGTTTGAAGAGACTCTGTGATAACGACTTGAGTAAGGTTATTTGTACTTGTAACATGTCTCGGTGTATGGACTTCATCAAATACTATTTTAATAAACAACACTTGACTGATGTAGGTATTTGTGATTGGAGATGAAACCTTAGACAAATGTAGAACATTAACGAAATGTGCAGGTAATGTCATTGTATTTATAATAGTATATTTTGAGGAGACTACAAACGGAGGTTGTTCCTGTTGGCCCTTATTTATGGTGTTAAAATAGTGATAAGTGGTTGGGAACATTGCAATCACTAGATCTGGTGCCTGAATACGATAAAAATGTTAAAATTTTGTAAACGTTTATAATAAATTGATTATTTTGCTTACCCTTGAGAAAGTGATGCCTGTTATCATTGGAATTCTTTTATGAAGACACTTCCGCTCTTCCGTTAGACTATTTAATATAACCATTGTTTGGTTTGCTACACTCGAACATGCATTTTCCACACAGGATGAGCGATAAGTGTAGGTGGTAAGACAAACTTTTGTAATAAAAGAATTATCTGGACGAAAAAGAGTGTTCTATGGGAAAAGATATTAGAATTTTCTGAAGATATTGAAATCATGTAAATGTCTTACCTGTAATTCAAAAGGCAATGTTAAAATCATCTGATATTTCAACGTACTTGGTGCCAAGGTAAAGGGTTGGTTAGAATGCTGAGTTAACAAAATAGTTTGACTTTTATTACTGATGAGCTTAGTCACCGCAAGGTTTTTAATATGTTTCTCCTTATCACTAACAATTATTAGTTCTACACCATTTGACATAACTCGAGTTGCTAGATTGTACCTATTCTCGTCCAATATTCGATCCCTCATAGAGCCATGTAAACCTTTATTTTCAAAGTCCAGTAAGTACCGCGAATTATTTTTCCCGGACCTGAATTGTGCTTGGAAACAAAAGTTTTTCGATAGTTTTCTATATTAATTCGAAAACACAATTTAAATATTTTATTTGAATGGAAAATATAGTCTGAATGGGATTAGAGTTAGAGAGGAAAACCAATATATTCACTTAAGAGTTGTAAGAAAATCCTTACAGACAAATAGTATTGGTTTTGTGAAATTTGATTTAAGATCGTATCTAAATGTGTTTTCTGTAAGACATAATTTTAATACAAACCAATGTTGATGTACCCCTAAGAGAAAGAATTATTTAAAGCAAAGAATTTTATAAGATGTTTTTGTTAGGTAAAAGTCATTTATTTTATAAAGAGCATTTTACATAGAAAAGCCTTCTTTTACCCCTGAATCCAATACGTTTCGATTATATCTTTCTCCAGACATTCAGTATAAACCGAGAAATGACACATGTTTTAGTGCAGTCAATTTACATTTACCAAAATGTGAAGAACGTATTTAAACCAAAGATCGTCATTACATTTACGTTTAAAATTAATTGTAATACAAAAAAATATAGTAATTTACTTTTATTGATCGTATATACTCGTATGTTAATTTTTGTATTAGTAAGAATAATTGATTAAATTTATTTATTAGTATACACATATATTCATCTTTAAATATAATAATAACAATAACAGAAAAAGGTACATGTACATATATGCATGAGTATGAAAATTACAGTAATGCTATATCTGTTTGTTTTAAAGACTTACAGAACAATTTTTTTTATTATATCCTATAAAGAAAAAATGAATTATTTTTAAAGAAAATAAATTTTGTCCTTCCCAAAATCTTACAATTATTATGGAGATATACTCAAGTACATTATTAGAGTATTATACATTAGTGCAGTATTATTTTTTTATTAAAAGGTTAATATTTGTTTTATTTTAATCTTAACTTTTAAGGTACTCATTATACATAAGATATTTATATTTACATACATATGTGGAAAAAAATGTAAGCTCGATCTGAGTCAAAACAATTTCTATCATATGCATACGCCAGTTAATGCAAACATTATATCTAGCTTTTTGTACACTCTATTAAGATATTACAGTCTACCGTCAATTTATTCAATTTTAAGTCAAAATCTTAATATTAGAATTGGCAACGATTAATCTTTTGTTACTTTATGAAGTTTAATTTTTGTTTACATACATACATAGTTGGGTGTTGAGGAAGACTACTGTTGAAATGTTTATTATCTTTGACTAGTAATCAGACATCTTCAAAAAGACACCCTCTTTCGCTTGTATGCAGACTCGATGAATACTTAATACTATAAAAATTGTACGTCAACTTTAATAACATAGCCAGCTATTTTAATTTTATACATTAAATCCATATTGGATTGTTGTTGTCGGCGGTGGTGTCGATTGCCTACTTGATTTTGCGTACCAAAGATCCACATCACCAACAAAGCTTCCTAACGATGCAGTTTGATCACTTTGTTCATGAAATGTCGAGTAACTTTTGCGATCTTTTGAGCCCAATGTTTTTTTCTTTAGTTTTTCGCTTTCTCCGGTATAGGAAATATGATTTATAGAATTAGTAGGCTTTATTTCTATAAATGCGTGCCTCTTCTGCAAGGTGACTGAGTGATCATTTTCGATTCCTATAGTTGACAATACAGTACTGAATTCACCGGGCCTACGTCCGGATACATAAAGTGTTATAACTTTTGGGTCTTGCTGTTCCATAGCTATCTGGCTTTGTCTACTGTGCTTATGTCCACCACTTACTTTTCGGGATTTTTTATGATGAGTTTTGATAAGTTTGTTATTTGAGTTAAAATCCGAATCATATCCAACATTTTCAATAGCATCCGATTTAAATAATGACCGTGATGTATCATCCAAGTCCTGTAGGTTTTCGCTTAAAAGTAGTTGTGGCGCTAATGTGTTCGAAATGACTTGAGTCTGTGATAAAGACTCCTGTTGTTGCTGAAGAAGTAACTGTTGCAACAATAAATTGTTTACATGTGCAACCGGACCAACAGACTGTATATTTTGAACGGATAGAGTATTAACTATGGTATCTACACTGTATTCAGTGGCGGTTATTGTTTGTGCAGTAGTGTCATAAACAGTAGTTAAAATCTTTTTTCCTTGAAATGTAACTGGAAGTATGGTTGATTTCCCATCAAATATCGTCGTTACATATGTGGAAGTGTGCGTGAGGTATTCAGTAAGAGGTTCAACAGATGTAGGTATTGTAGTCGATACAGCGTTTGGCTGTCTGACAGCACTTATAATTGGATGAGTGGGTAAATTTAAGTTTCCCAAAAGTAACTGGGAAAGCAATATGTTGGCGAGCGGCGCATTATCAGAAATTTGAGGCTGAATTGTAGTCACAATATACTCAACTGAATATGCTGTAGATGGAATAATATGTGAAAATGATGTCTTTCTACCCCGGATTGTCGTTGGTGTAAAAATAATTGAACTTGTAATTGATTCATGTAACAAATATTTTGTATGTTCTGTGGCACCAGCAACATTAATACTTGAAACTTCTCTATTCAAGAATGTAGAACTCAATCCGTTTGTTCCTAATAGTTGAACATAGTCATTCGGACCTAGTAGCTCGGTGCTTGTTTTTGCAGTGACAATGTTTTTGTACTCAGTTACATGTCCGCTAACTACCGACACTGTGACTTCAGATGGTATGAAATGAGTAACTGTAATAGAATGAACTTCATGCTCTACTGATTGTAATTCAGAAGGGTATTCGATTCGATTTCGCCCACGACCTCTTCCTCTTTTTAATGTATTGGAGTTCGAGTTTCGAGAACGAGGAGTACTTGATAATCGTCCGAGATCTACATTGTTTTTAGGGTTATAAGTAATATAGCTGTTTAGCCTGCGGCTGCTTGAATTTCCTGTACTTGACCCAACAGGACGCCTAATTGACATTTTTCCTGTTGTTTGTTGCCGTCTAAAGTTATTAGTGGAACTTGAACGTACAGAACTTTTTAAACTAGTATCTTTCTCTCTTAAAGTAAATTGAGGGCGTTTGGTTGTCATTCTAGTCGGGCGAATTGATCTATGATTAGTTGCTGTTGATGTGTCTACAAGGGTTGCCTGTGTGTACTGTCGATATCTTGATCCAATTCTAGAAGTAGGTTTTTCCCGAGGGGGTGATGTGGTGTCAATACGATCAAAGTCAGATCCAATTAGCTTTGATTCTTCTTTGGTAAATGTTGCTGTCTGGTTTTGTCGACGATATCGAAATCGGTTTCGTTTTTGTGTATCTACCTGCCGACGTACTCTCCTTTCATTTTTGGGTCTAGTTAAAAAGCGTAAAGACCGCTTTCTTCGCTGAACATTTTCCTGTGTGGTAACATCTTCGTTATTATTCGGGTGATATTCGTCAAATTCAGAATTAGTTTCTGGCACATTATCGTTTAATTTATTTTCATCCTTCTGCTGATTAAGGAAAAGTCCCCGTGGTGGAAAAAGTGTGTTTTGTGTTCTTGATCTTGGCAGCAGACCAATAGGTCTTTGTAAACTTCTAGATCGGGGCTTGGTTGTTGTTGTCGTTGTGCTGCTTGTTGTAGTTGATGTTTTCGATCTGGCTAATAATGGGTTTTGTCTAAGCGATATTCCTTGAGAACTGCCAGTCTGTCGCAAAACAGGAGCAAACCCACTGGGTCCATTTATAGGCCGTCGGAAACGCAGTAATGGGTTGTTGTTGCGTCTATAGTTTTCTTCATCATCAGCTATTTCGTCTGTTAAATCTTCTTCTTCGGCACTACTTTCCGAGCTTAGATCCTTTGCTTGTGTTATAGACTGTGTAGTCCTTACACTTGGTACTAAGCCAGAATTAGTTACATTTATCCGCAGCCGAGAGTTACTTATTATTCCAGACCCACGGAAAACAGGAATATTCGATGAACGATAAGAAACATTTACATTTTGCCGTCTAGAGCTATGTAATGGGCGTGAGGATAAGGCAAAACGTGTTTTCAAAGGTGAAAAGGTATCACTAGACTGCAGAGCGCCAACCGATTCGATTGAACCAATTAATGACTTTGTTTGACGCCCAAAGAGGCGTCTCGATGACTGAGCTTGAGATAAACTTTGTTCGTTGGGATTAATCGGAACATTGGATATCACACTCCGCCGCGACGAGCTATACCTACCAGCAGATTTTAAAGCAGGTGTTGCAGTAATAGTTGGTGTGACGTCTGATCTTGTTATTATGGTTGCGCTACTTGGGAGTATAATTTTCTGTTTTGGTGCGAATGTTGGCCTGTTTCGCGAGGCAAAAGGACGTATTACAGGTGCAAATGGTCGTTTCGTATTTATTGGTGTATAATTCTTCTTAACGTCTTCCCCTATTTTTGAGATTTGAGGGTCTTTTATTTCATCACTTTCACTTTTAACAAATTCTATTGATTCCAATAAATTATAATTTTGAGTTGCCATATCAAAGGATTTAACGGTTGTCGAAAGCAAATTGTCATCAGAAGTTTTCTTTTCAAAAAAAAAGCTTGATGTACTCTCAATTATCTGCGCATAGCGATTGCTTATGACAGTACCTATAACTTTTGATTGGTATAAGGTAGTTGTGCTGTTTTGAATGCGCTTTCCTTCAATAAGTCTTACTAAACCAGTTTTATACATTTTTTGGACGGATAAGCTATCATCAGGTAAGATCGTGGCTAAAATAGACTTTTTGGATTCGTCAACATATAGTCTAGTGGTGCTACTCGTTATGTTTAGATCTTGTCCCTCGCTGTTCATTGAAGATATGATTTCCGTTGTAAAGTACAATGTGCTTACTTTTTCCGCATCAATTATTTGCTTATAATCATAAAAAACAATTTTTGGGGTACCTGTTATGGTCGAGTAATCGTCTTTAATATAGGGCTGACTAGGTTTAATCATCTGATCTAGGGTCATAGGGCCTGGCGTTAAACTTGACACATTTCTAGGTGACACTACGTTAGTTACGGTTTCGTAGCGCGAATCGATAATTGTCATATTGACATCATAGGAAGTAGTATAATAGGTATACGTAGTAAAGTATGTGGTAATGTCAAATGGTAAGCTTATATCAGTGAAAGCTGAAATTTCAGTGTTTGCAATATCGGTTTCCCAATAAGTTTGCGTATTGAAACCATCTACAGTTGACTGGATCGCTTCATTATTTATTGTCTTTGAATCATCAACAATTATAACTGATACATTTGAGGGTTGTATCACATTGGATAATGTTTCCTCTCTGCTCAGAGTAGTAATCTCACCATCCTTTGCTAACTTAGTCCAATATGTAAATGTTGTAAAATAAGTTATCGGGAATGAAGAATGGTCTATGTTTACTAATTTTGTAGGCTGCAGAGTTTCAGTAGCTACGTTGGTTATAGTCTCAAGACGACTGATAACATTTGTATCATCACCTACATACATTGTAGTATAAAAGGTAAATGTTGTATAACTTGTTTGGAGAAGAAACGTTGCCGATGGTAAAATTTCCTCGGTATTACTTTCTGAGCTTATTTGATCGTCAAGGGAAGTCTGTGTAACTACAGTTATTTGATTTGTGCAGTTTAAACAACGACTCGAATTTACCACCATATTAAATGTCATAAGTTCCGCTTTTTCGATTTTTTGTTTGTCAGTAAGAATCTCGGATATCGAAAAACTATTTGGATAAGAAGTTTGGGGAGTGCTACTTTGAGCTTTGAGCGAAGTGTCAGAGATATAATTTGTGACTATTTCGATTTGCGATTGCACTTCAGTTTTATTATCCGTAAAAATTGATGTGTAATATGTATATGTTGTATATAGGGTCCTACTATATTTTATATCGTCGATATAAGTAGTTATTGTCTGGTGGGTTTTTTCCTTTTCAGTATTATTTTCTGTAGTTTCCTCTTTCACTAGACTAGCGATCTCAATAGGTATAGTATACTTAGGAGAATAAGTTGACGATTGTTGGGAAACATGTTGAATTGTGTTTTCAGAAATCTGGTTCTCTTCAATATTTTTTGATTTTAAGTCACCTTCCATCGCCAACTTTGAGGATACGATATTTGTTAAAATCTCGGTATGGCTAGATATTGTTGTGTGAGAACCTTCAAAGAAAGTTGTTAAATATGTATAAGTGGTAAATAGAGTTTTATATATTACATCATCATAACTATCATCTTCGCTTTCATTTTCGTTTTCTGTCGTCATATCATAATCCTCTAAATCTCTACATGTAGTTTCATCTACATCGTCTATGTCCTCAATGGATAATAATTCTCCTTGTGACTCTGAAACAGTGCCGTAGGACTCAAAAATTGTATTTAGCTCTGGTTTGTGTTTCGATTGAGAAGCTCGAATGCAATAATATTTAGTTGTTTGTACAATATCGTATTCGAAAAGTGGATTAGTGTTAATAACAATGCTGTCCTTACCAATAATTTGTTTGTTTGTTTCTAATTGCTTAGGCATTTGAGTAAGAAATACTTGAGATGTTGTATGGTTGCATAATTTATTACTGTTATTATCAATTTCATATCTCCCAACACCTGGTTCGCTAAGCAAGCTGTCTTTCTTGATGGCAAAAACAGTTTTATCTGTCAAACTTTTATGCATTTCATCACTTTTAGATATTTCGATTTTTTTTAAAGTTTGTTCTTGATCAGCGATATTTAACTTTAAGGTCGATGGGTTTCTCAGATCAATGAAACTAGAAAATGGATCATCATCCTTAAACACAGTTGTGGCGCCTTCTTGTTTTTGAATGTTCGGTATGGTGTGATTTGTTGCTGTCTTTAAATCATCTTGAGACAGGGATTGAAAATTTCCATTGGAAAAAAATTGATCAACTTCTTGAGGAAAAACGGAAGTTTCTAGCTTATTTAAATATAAAGTATGGAAATTCTTTTCCTTATCAGCAGTGAAACTAAAATCTGGCTCAAGAAGTGACACTTTTCCCAAGTCATAATTGTTTTCTGAATTTGCAACCGTTCTCAAAGTGCTTCGTGCTATTTCCAAAGATTGACTATTGTTGCTGTGATATGACTCGTTTGGTAGAGTTGGTTTGCCCATTATTGATGTAACATGCCCAAAATTCATACTGCTGTGAATAGTACTTGGAGAAAAAACTATGACACTATCACCAACGACGGTGGTAAACTCTGCGAATCCGTAATAAGTTATAGTAGCTAGGACTAGATTATTGTGTGATTGTCTTTGATGATCTTGGGATTCCACATTTTTATCTGTACGAGGTTCCATTAATTGGCCATGATTTCTTTCTTCCTTTGGAACAAAAGAGTTAGAAGTTGTTTCGTTTAAAGCAGATGTTGTAAACTGACCAACAGTGTTTTTTACTGTAAATGTTTTCAAATGTTCAATAGACAATACCTTATCGTCAACCATCTTATTCATTTCGTTTGTTTTTTGTACGTCAATTTTTATTGCGATATTACTGGGATCCACAAAATCTTGATACGTTAAGGGCTGATCAGAATAAACATTAAATTTCAAGTTTTTACCTATTGCGCTTTGTTGCATTACAAAGTCGGTGTTACCCACGAATCCTTCCCGTTGAATACGTATGCTATTATCAATATCCTGCCAATCAACGTCATCAGAATTAAAAATGTCATTCTGGGTCTGTAGCAATAGTGCTGTTTGCAGAGAATCTTCCTCACCTACCCAACTAGTAACCACGGACGGTTCAAGTTTTTCGTTTTCATAAAGTACTCTAGAACTCTTTTTAAGGTACTGCGCATAGAGGCGACCTCTATTTAAAGTAGTCCCTATAACCTTGGTGGAAAATTCTGTTGTTATTCCATCCTGAATAAATGTTCTAACGGTTGATGTCAAAACACCTATTTCTGGACGTACTGTCAAATACCGTCCATGAATATCGCCTCCATGACCTGATTTATTATTTACCAAGAGTATAGTTGTTATATCTGGTTATCCATTAAGGTAATTTTATACGATGGTAGTAGTTTTGCAAAAAATAAGTTATTTTAATAACAAAAAGTTGAAAATAAATATACATAGAAAATGAACATAATCATTTTGTAAAGGTTTAAAATGTTAATTAACATTTCCATAATGTACATTCCAAAAGATGGTGATCATAGAAAGAAATAAAGAAAATGAATAAGAAGTAGCACGAATATTTTAATTTTGTTTACTTAAAATCTAGTTTTAAATTATTTAATATTAACAGACATTTGTTTCGTGTTAATTAACGTACTCGTACTATATTAACATTTTATAAATTTTACCAATAAAGCACAATTACTTGGGAACAGCGTGATTTTTTTTAATATTCTTACCATCCCCTGCTATAGCTGGAAAAGTTGGCGTCGGGCTTAATAAATAAGACTGATCTGAAAAAAAATAAAATTTCAATAAGTCAACCGACATATTTTCTTCAATTTATATATTTATTTTTTTTTATATTTTATATTTTATATTTTATATTTTATATTTTATATTTTATATTTTATATTTTATATTTTATATTTTATATTTTATATTTTATATTTTATATTTTATATTTTATATTTTATATTTTATATTTTATATTTTATATTTTATATTTTATATTTTATATTTTATATTTTATATTTTATATTTTATATTTTATATTTTATATTTTATATTTTATATTTTATATTTTATATTTTATATTTTATATTTTATATTTTATATTTTATATTTTATATTTTATATTTTATATTTTATATTTTATGTTTTATATTTTATATTTTATATTTTATATTTTATATTTTATATTTATATTTTTTATTTTAAATTTTTTATATCTTTCATCTTTGATTCCAACTGGTTTTGCCGGATATGCTATTATCCCACAGTGTTCGAGTGTACGCAAATAACACCACATTTGTTAAGATTATTCAATGATATAAATGGGTTAGTTAATTCATCCATTTAACCTGGTTAGATTTCATGGATCTACATTTTTGGTCCATTTCCCTATACATATTTTTTTCACATTGTCCCACACCCATAATCATTATTAGACATAAAAATGAATTTTCTATTAAAAAGTTAATACCGAAAAGGTAAGAATTTGTTTAAAAGTTATTTGTAAGGCTAACGCAATACATGTAACCAAATCTATATTTAACAAATAAATAAAAACCTAATGAACCGGCGGCCATTGACGTGTGATTTTTATATGAAAGTGCGAAAATAGTATATATAAGCTTCGATTTGCAGTTTCTTTTCCGTTTTTTAGAGATTCCCACAAATACCAAATTCAGCCAAAGTACCTGTTTGAAACTGGTTATAGCATATAGTATGAAAACCTCATTCCTTTAACGCTAATAATACAGATTCCTGCTGTCTTAACTGTACAAAGTTTATTTAAATATACATATTTGTTTAATTTGTTTATTGAAGCTATGACACATACACCGTCGTTATATAAAAGTATTAGTGTATACGTATTTAACTTGTTGGGAAATTTTAAATTATGTAATTTTCTTAATACTCACTAATCGCAAGACAAGCTTCAATATGAGCCATTGTTAAAATGAGTGTTGTTAACAAAGCTAGATTCTGCTTATAATAAGTAGAATATGGCATGGTGATTCTCAAGTGTAACATATAGCTTTCCTTTAAACAACGATCAGATATCCTGTTTGTTTTGCGTGGTTGTAACATGTTTACCTTTAAACAAGTAAAAAAGGTCACTCTTTTACAAATGATTAAGTTGAAAGAATTTTAAAGAATCGCCCTTATGGGTTTTGTAGATTTATATTGAAAATGTATAAGCTTAATTTCACCGCCACATAAAAGTGTAAAACTTCAATGCTAGTTCTAAAATTGGTTTAAATATTCAAGAGCACGCACGTCTATTCGGAGAAGCGATGATCAGAGAACTGATTTCTTTGGCCCAATAACGAACTCATCCGGTTTTTTCCTTGTAGTAGAGCTTCACAAAGGTTGTTTTGCTGGTTTGACCAACTTTAATAGTTTCCATTCAACAATTTGAAACGACTTTTTATTAATAAAAAATGAAGCTTCGAAAGCTTTACTAATGGTTGTTTTAAGCTGTCATTTCGTTAAATTGCAAATTGTTGTCAGCTTCGGTTACACCCAAGGAATCCAATACAAGGTAGAGTGCAGCGACTATTGGTTAATTAATTGCAAAATATTTAGTTAGGGTAGCAGAAATTGACGCAATGTAAATTATTAATTTAGCACCATTTATATAATGTATTAAAAAATAATATTCCGATAAGAAAAATTATTATTTATTTTTATTTATTTAGTCGCTTGTGACCGGGTTTGTTTATACTGCGCTCGTAATTTTTTTAGACTTTTCAAGCATTAAACTAAATAACTAATATGTCAATGGAAGAAGAGTAAAAAAAAAATTTAACTAAAGTTTATTTTTAATAATAGTTTATTAAAGCGGTGTACAAAGTTGTTTCTTCAAACATACACATTTTTTTAATAGTGTGTTACACAAACATCAAAAAGGTTATACATTTCATCATCGTTTCGACTATTCTCGGCGTTATTCATAAAGTGAATCTGTTGACTTATGGTGTCAGCTAGGGGTAGAAAGTTAGTGTAATCATAATTTATTGTTACGTTGCATGGATGGGTAGGACCAGATAGATGTCGATCTTCTGCGATACCTGCGTTTGAAGCAAACATAGATGTCTCATCTGAATAAATATTTATGTTGTCAAATGTGCCAAACACTTCTTCCCCAGAAACCTGTTGTAATAAAATAGTTATATTATTTCAAAATCTCTATAATATAAATCTTACCATGTTGGCATTGTCTACTTTGTGGGAGGTAAAGCTTTGAGGCGCTTTTATAAATTCTTCTGGTCCTATTATAAGTGTGTCAAGATCAAGCATTTTTTGTGATATACTCTCTTTACTTATTGTTTGTGACTGGCGTTTTTCCAACTCCACTTCATTTACGTGATCGGTAGAACCATTATTTATGGATTCGAGAAAGTTAAACTCGGTAAAAGTTGTAATTTTTTTAAAATTTTTTGTTTTTGATATATCTAACGGTGTATTTTTCTTAGTAATTTTAGGTAATCTGGAATATTGAGGCTGAGAAGAAGTTTCATTATGCTTATAAGTTAACTGATCATAACGGTATTTTGCTGTTTGATTTAGTTTTGGATGACATAGTTTTCTATTTCGTATTCGTTTTCTGTCACATTGTTTTAGGTCAACTCCCAACTCCCAATAACCGCCTTTTCCTTTTTCCTCTCTTTTTCGATTGCGAAAGCAGTGGTGTAGTGATAAGTTATGTCTTATAGAGTTCTATACAAATAAAATATCCAATTACCTAAAGTATATACAGATTACACATTTAAATGTACTTACATTCCATTTCTTACGTACTCTAAAAAATGCAAACTTAGCCTCTATCCAATTGCATAATTGCTGTAAAGTTATTCGACCATTTTTAAGCATAGCCATCCCTATTATATGAGAGTAATTAAAAGGTGGTTTCACAGTGACATCAGTTTCATATTTGGCTGCAAACTTTTCATACTCTTTTAAATCCCTAATAGAATATATATACAACGTTTTAATTATGCACGAAAAAAATATTCATATCTTAAATACCTTTTTACTTTGTTAACAAATAATTCAAAGCGTTCAGATGGAGTTGCCCGCTTAGGGATTGATTTTTGAGCTTTCATTATTTCTGATTTTGGGCCACTGGAACATTTTAGTTTGATTTGGTTTCCATGGATGTATTGATTATAAGGAAATGTTGTGTCGGAATTCGTATTTGCATTTTCCTCGAAATTTGTAACATTGGTCCTCGGCCATGTTAAATTTTGATTTATCAATAGCCAATTGAGGTTAGTAAGCTCGCGTTCTTCATCGGAATCCTCTGTTTCTTGAATGGAAATATTTTCTTCTGTATATGATTGTTTTTGAGCCTCGCTCTTTAATAATGAAGTCCGAAGGTCTGTCATCGCCTGGTTTTTATAAAAAAAAAAGAATTCTATCATTTAATATGACTTCATATTGTAGTTACTCTGTTAATTTTAAAATAAATACATTAGCTGTAAATTTTATAAAACCATCTTTTTACGAAACCTGAAGCAAAGGCATAAATATGGTCTGATGTAATGATTCAAAATCTCTAAGGTGTAAAGGAAAAGTTTGAAGTTTTTCGGTTTACGAAAACATTATTATAAAATATGGGACCATGCCTTATTCTAATGCAAGAAGAATGAGAACATAAATAATGTCGAATTTGTAAACTATATTTATACCAGCTACTCCTAGAGTAAAAGGATATACTAGATTCGTTAAAAAGTATGTAACAAGTAGAAGGAAGCCTTTCCGACCCTATAAAGTATTTACATTTTTGATCAGTATCAATAGGGAAGTCAATTAAGCCATGTCCGTCTGTCCGTATGAACGCTGAGATCTTAGGAACCACATGAGATACAAAGTTGAGATTAAGCAGACAGATTCTTCTCTCTAAAGCCCACAGGCTGTGGCGTCCATAAAATCATAATCAATATCTTCGTTTGACCTTGTTTAACGTATTTTTGTCAATATCTATCGAACTACCAAAAAAAACCAAAGATTTTTTAAATCGGATCATTATTTCGCTATTTATGAAGAAATTTAGGTTATAAGGCCTCACATGGGCAGTGACGTCACTATCAGTTACTCAACATGCTTTCTCCGACAATAGGTGGCGCTTTGAGAATCTCGACTAGCAAAATAAATATTTTAAAATTGTGTAAAACAGTAACGGGTATCTTACAGTCCTATTATATTATAGATCTATTATAAGTTATATTTAAAAGCCAAAGTTGGTTCAATTTTAAGTTTAAAAAATATTCAAAATAAAGCTTTAAACACTGTAATTGTATTTTTTATATACGATATCAACCATTGTTGTAAAGGTGTATGTATGTTTTACAGAACATTTGCATATAATAAGCAGCGTTATTAAAACTTCGGCTTGTCGGAACTTAACTTCCATTCTCAATTGACTTAACAAATCTTTAAAAAAAAAAACGATAGAATCGTCAACCTCTGTTAGAAAAATGAATTAAAAATCAAATCAACTTCATATATAAATATACAGTTTTTAAGAAAATTTTAATAGCGACCTATTTCCAAAAAAAATAAGCATCGAAATAAATTAAAATAAGTTTTATGCACTACGAATAGAAAAATAATACGGTCGCGATTTTCCTGCGAACTTTTAAAGAATATTATGTAAGCACCATTTTACTGTGTACCTGGCTTGGTTTATTGGACGCCATTATAATAAACATATTTTTGAAGAATTGGAATATCTTTCATTAGTGAATCATGTTCTGATTTTTATTTACATCCAACATATTCTTTGTTTTGCTCAACTGCTTTTTATACTAAAAACTTTTGATATTAATAGTATATATTAAAAATGTAAAAGAAATTTAAAATGACATTTCACTTTTTTTATTTTAGAGACACTGTCTTTATAAACTTACTTGGAAGAACTGCCTGTCCGAAACTCTCTACCATTGCACCTGTACATTTGGCCTATGAACAACCCTCATTTTTATATATGTAATACCAATAAAAGACGACGTTAGGCTTATAGGGTCGAAGTGGCCGGTGCTTGAACGAGCACTTAGTCGAACCGACTATTTCGACCAAATAGCTTCCACACATACCCCGATAACCAAAAAGGTCACTGCAACAACCCTATATATAATTACCATTGTGCTGGACATAGTTAGCTTAGTAGATATAGTGAATCCACCACCATTCGTCTACTAACACAACCACTCATGAATTTATGTACCAAACATTTTAATAAATAACCCATTTACCTCAGCTTTCTGATAATTCAATTTGATATTTAAAAATGACCATATAATAAATGGAGTTGAAAAATTATTACACGATTTACGTATTAAGTTAATCCGTGTCTTGTATTCGAAGTCTTGTTAATTTTGATCAATATAAGAGGGAGTTTCAGTTCTTAATTAGATTTCGTTATAATCAGTAAAATATTGATAATCAGTCAGATGTCAGTCAAGAACTTTAAGGAATGCCCAACGCAATTGATTCAGTGTTGTTTCAAGCCCATAAAACGCTGAAACTAAAAATGTTAAGATCTCGAAAACTATAAGACCTAGAAAGATTAAATTGAGTATATACTTATATATAATTTAGAGATGACACCACAGCTCAAGTTGATATAATTTTTCTGCCCAGAAGCGGAACACATTGCCATCCATAATAACATTTTTCTATCATTATTTATCGATTTTCGAAATATTTGTAAGTTTCAAATAGGAACATATTTCAAAAAATTTTTTAAATGGCTTACTGGCCGTGACGTTACCGTCAGTTATTAATCATTCTTATTTCTGACAAACGGTTGCGATACTAAAATTGTTCTCTGCTTTAATATTTTCTATAAATATTAATTTTAAACAAGAGGAAACGCTATAGTCGAGTGCCGCGATTATAAGTTACCCGTTACTGTTTTACACAATTTTTAAATATTAATTTTGCTAGTGAAAATTCACAGTAATTGATGGTGACGTCACAAACCATGTGAGGCGGTGAGAATTCACAAGGCGCCACCTATTGTCAGAGGAAGCATGTTGAGTAATTGATAGTGACGTCACAAACCATGTAAGGTCAAACGAAGGCATTCATAATAATATTATAGACGAAAGGGTCTTCCGCGGTTTGTGGTCGTTAGAGTGGGCGTGGCCGAATAAAACAAGCAAGTTTGCAAGTTGCAGTGGCATCTCATAAATACGTATTATTAAGCACAACTTTGTAGCTCTTCTAGCTTCAGAGATTTTTGCATTTTTGGTTTTTCGGGTTTTGTGAGCATTCGAGTGGGAGTGGCAGGATGATGTAATAAGCTTACGCTGCGTAGGGACCTGAAGAATCTTCATGGTTAATCTGAACTTTGTATCTCTTTTAGTTCCTGAGATCTCAGCGTTCATACGGACAGACGGACGGACAGACAAATATATATATATATATATATATACTTTAAAAGGGTCGGAAACGCTTCCTTCTAACTGTTACATACTTCTCAACGAATCTAGTATACCCTTTTACTCTATGAGTAACGGGTATAATTATATAATACAGTAACGGGTATCTCATAGGCACGGCACTAAACTGTAGCGTTTCCTCTTTTCTTATATTTTTTTCCAAACCAGCCAATGCATACATACAAGTACTACAATAAATAACCAATAAAGATTTTTATAGTATTTTATATTTTGGGTATCGGGATTGCCCACCACAGAGAAATAAATACATTTATTCCAATTTACTATTAAGATTATTTAGTTTCAATATACATTTATTTAAGAAAATACTTAAAACGAATAAATAAAGCCAAATGAAAAGTATTTATTTATATCTTTGAATACATACTATATAAACAAAACATATTTTGAGGTGTGAATACGCAGCTCTATTTTATTAAGTACCATTTTATTAGCTACATTTTTTAACAATTTGTTAAGGAAACCCAGGAAACTTTTCAAGCTGCGTATCATGGCTTTGTTCAGCGTGCAAACTAACATATGCCGGCTGCTCTATTTCCCAGTCGGTAAAATTATTTGGTTCATAAACTTCAGTTATTGGTGGCCAATTTTTTATTTTGGAAATGTCGTGCTCCAGTCGCATGTATTTTTGCTTTGATGTGACCCAGTTCTTCTCCCGTTGAACTTGGTATTTTTTGAAAATCAGATATTCAACCAAAAATGATTCGACAAAAATGTGAGAAGTAAATGCTGCTGCTCCGTAAGCCAGCATTATGTATCGAAAACTCATAACAGGAGGTACAATGAGTTGAAAAAAATGAGCTACCCAGTCGCTGGGATAAATGACCAAATAGACAATTACGCATAAATTTACAATAAATGCAAAGCAGAGTGGGCAGTTCGACCACAGTGGTTTCCGATATGGCGCACCTTTAGAAAAAACAAAAGCTAGTATAATGTACTGGAAACTGGAAATGCAAAACATGGTGTAATTTTCATAACAACCCAAATGTTCCTCGTCAGCAGGTTGAAAAGGTTTGAACCACGACTGTTGGTGAAGATGAATCCAACCTAAAATGGGATGATTAAGAGTATAATTCTGCGAAGTTTTTTACGATCATTCACATCTTACCAGTTACCTGGAATCCAGTTACAACAGTAAGATGTAGTAAAATGGACGCTAAAGGCGTGGAGGATATTAATGAACTGAGAGGCACTTGTTTTACCAGATTTCCATTGAACGACTCAGTTTTGCCAAAAAAGAAGGCAAATATTGATATAAGTCCAAGGTCTACATAAAGATACTGTTTGTCTGTTAAATTTGAGTCGATTGAATAAAGAATCATAACAGATATAAACTGAACCAGCGAATAGGCAGCCATATACTTGAAAATACCAAACGATGTGACTAATGCAGCACGTCCTTCTTTAATAACTTTTAAAACCGCTGAAATCGTAGAGTTTCGTGATGTAAACGGTGACGCTATGGACGCTTCTGTGTCACTTAAGGAAATACCAGCATGAGCTACCTTTAGCGCACCGCAGTCGTTGGCTCCGTCACCACACATGGCAACACAGTAGTCCAAGTTTTGAAGTTCTATTACTAGTGCCTGTTTCTGATCAGGTGACATTCGTGCATAAATTGATCCACGTGTTAATAGAATTTCCATCTCCTTGGGAAAATGATCTTTAACAATTTGCCAAGTTTTACCATCCATTGCAAATACATAGCGTTGGCGCGAATTTTCGTCTTGAGCGTTTTTAATTCCAAGCTCAACATCTGCACCTGTTGCCTCATTGTGGGTCCATGTCTCTGTGGTCATTACACTGGCCAAACTATCACTAAGCGGCAGAGCGCTTTCTGCATAACCTGAGCTCAATTCATTAACTAATGAGTTTTTCGACTCCATTCGACAAAGTGTTTGAACACCGTCGCTAAATTCTCCTTTTCGGTTTTCCTCGGGAAAAATATTACCATTGAAACTTGATGACAAATGTGTTGAAGACATTTTACTTCCCAAATCTAAAGTATACTGTAACTTATAGGGTTTATCTGAAATATATTCTATATATTCTGTACCAGTAACACCGCTGTTTTTAGTATTCCCAACATCGTCAACCGGATCTGCATGTACAGTAATAACATCTTGCGATGCACTGACTATACCACAGTCACGAGCTACACTCATAGCAGTTAATATATTATCGCCGGTAATCATAATAGTTCGAATTTTAGCTGAGTTTAGCGCATTGATTACTTTCGCAGTATCTGGTTTGAGACGATTCTCGAGGATAACGAATCCAAGAAATTCCAAATTGCTTTCAACCTCTTCGCGGGTTAGACGCTGTATTTTTGTATAGTTCATTTTATGGACAAAAGCTTTAAATGCAATAGCAATAATTCTGTATCCTTTTGAGGCAAACGCAGACAAATGTTGGGAATAATTATCGGGTAAACTGTGGGGGGTGCACAGCTTCTGTAACATCTCAGGAGAACCTTTGCAGTAAACATTAAATACTTGGTCACTTAGACATCGAGAAATTACAGACATTCGCTGAAGATTCGAAGTAAATGGAAATTCTCTAACGATACCATGATCAAAATTCTTTTGAGCTTGCGAGATACCAACAGTAGCTAGTAAATCGTCAACAGAAGACTGCCGTTGAACATTTCTTTTAGTTTCCATATCCGGCGAAGGTAAAGCAGAATGGCAGACTCTTGGTTGTCTTAAAATTGTTGGGTAAATAATACCATATTTTTCATTATCTGGTATGTTCTTTGAATCTTCTAATACCCAACCAGTAGATTGAAACATTTTTAAGTCTAACGGATCCCCCATCATTGAGCCGTTCATTATTGTGATAGAATGGCACGTTACCATGCCAAATAGAAAATGATCGAAAGGTAAACGTTCCACATTTTTTAACGGTATTTGAAATTGATTAGTTGATGACTTGGGCACTACACCCCACATATCAAGTCCATCTTCAGTTAGAGTACCAGTCTGAAAGAAAGTAAAGATTTCAACATTAGTATGAAGGGAGAAGAAAAGGTAAAGAAAAGAATGCGGAAATTGTATTTTTAGGGTGCACTCTATAACGTACTCTATTAATTTTAAAATAAATATAATAGAAACATAAAGATCCATCTATATATGTATTTATTATTAACATATGAATGAGAAAATCGTTTTTATATCCGTTACTCGCAAAGTAAAAGGGTGTGCTAGTTTCGTTTAAAAGTATGTAAAAGGTAGAATGAAGCGTTTCCGACCGACGATTGAGCAATGTCCATGATATCAGCTTGGTATGCGTAAGAGTGGGTGTGGCCGGATAATGGTACCACCATAAGATGCGCTGGCATCTCAAGATTATACATACTGAATTTCTATCTCTGATAGTTCCTGAGATTTCAACGATTTTAGCGTTCCCTGATTTGTGGGCATTATAGTAAGCGTGGCAGGATGCTGAAATAAACTAGCGCTCAAGAATCTTCATGCCTAATCTCAACATTGTATCTCTTATACTTATAGACGGACGGACGGAGAGATGGACATGGCTTAATCGAATTTGCTATTGATACTGATCAAGATATCAGAGAAGGCTGAGGGTTGACCTTATAATTTCACATGAAAGGAAGGAAGGAAATCCCAATAATTTAACATAAATATAGCCCCTTTAAAAAATCAAAATAATTTCCGTTTGTAAGAATAAAAGTTATTGCCGTCTTCAGTAACTAATATTAAAAAATAAGAGCGTATAATCATTAAAAGTGATTAGTCTTCAATGACTAAGTCTTAAAAAACCCAAAAAAAAGATTAACATTGCATCACAGATACTTATAAACTTCACAGTTACAAATCAACGTGTAACTTCAACATTAATATAGCTACAAATCAACGTGTAACTTCAACATTAATATAGCCCCTTCAGAAAGTGTCAATATTTTAGGATTTTCCGTGTCGTCATCAAGACATCTACCAACAAACTTATTACCGTTTATTGCAGATGGGTATAAGAATACAGATCATAAGTCAATCGCAAACCCAAAAATATTTGGCCTTTTTTAAGGGGCCATTATGGAGATTTCTTTCCTTCCTTTCATGTAAAATTATTCAGTCAACCCTCAATGACCTGCTCATGCAATACATCTGAAGACACCCGAAACACTCAGATCATTTGAAGACACCCGAATCACTCATCCCGAAACATGGGTGTTTCAGAGACTCCCTTCATTTGCTATAAGCGTTTTGGGTGTGTGTGCATTAGAATCGTGTGCATAGAATTGAGTGGGTGACAAAAACGCAAACACACAAAACACCCAAAGCGATCTGTGCACTCGGGTGTGTGCTCTTTTTTTTGGTGTTCGTGAGTGCGACAAACACTCGAAATGTATAAGTGTGATTCGGGTGCCGAAAAAAGACACCCTTGACGTTCGCTACAAGATATATAATATATACTTTATAGGGTCGGCAACGCTTCCTTCTACCGGTTACATACTTTTCAACGAATGTAGTATACCCCTTCACTCTACGAGTAACGGGTATAAAAATGTAAAGCGAGTGTAAAAGTACCCAAAATTACTAGTAGTTTAAATATTAAAGATAATATTAATCATAAATTATATTTAGCGATAGCACAAACCTTGTCAAAGCAACAGCAATTTATGCTTCCTGACACGTTTATAGACCGAGGGGCAATGCAAAAAATTTCACTAGCCTTTAATCGCTTTTGCGCATAAAAACGACCGACCGTCATAGCCGCTGGTAGTGCTGGTGGCACTACAATTGTAATAAGGTCGAGTGATTCAACTGCTATCTTAACAGGATCCGTACCACGTAAAATCTGAAGATTTAAATTCAATTTAATTTATATTTTTAAGTTGATAATTATAAGTAATCTTACTTTTGTTACCAGCGTATAAATAAATCCAACACAAGCTATTAATGCCAGGAACTGAATAAATTTATACGAATCTTGTTCAAACTTGTAGTCAACAGGTGGGGGATAAAGAATAGATCGTATTAATTCTCCTTTGGCTGTTATGTTTCCAGTATTAATCACAAATGCCAATACTTTTTTTGATCCAATATAACGAGTCTGAATAACCTTGGTACCACAAAAAAGAGTGTGCCTAGCATGCTCCGTTTTATTAAATATCATGTCACGCTTTGATGGTAAAGGAGTTTTTGTCACTGGAACACTTTCGCCAGTAAGCATAGACTCATCTAGGATGCAGTTTCCTGATAATAATACTGCATCACACTGAAGCGTACAGCCTGATGATGGTATTTCAATTAAATCTCCCGGTACTAAAACTCGCGTTGGAAACTGCTTGGAAACACCTTTTGGATCAACAATCAAAGCGTTACCAGTATTATATACAGTATTTTGTAGCACATCTTGATTCTAAGAAAATAGAGAATTTAAACAAATGTAAACATTTCTATACCGTTATACTTACCTTTTTCGTTTGCAAAATAGAAATAGTAATACCAAATATGGACATCAAAAGTATTACGCAAGCATAATAGTAGTAATCATATGTAAACCAAAGAACAACCGAGAATAATTGAAAAACGTAAAAAGGGTTAAGAACTTCCAGAAAAAGCAGTGTCTTAACATCTCGCAAAGGAACCGTTATCTCATTATCCCCAAAAACTATTCTTCTTGAAATCTGTTCATTTACAGTTAATCCGCGTTGTTGATGATAATATGAACAAGGTATGTTAATATCAAGTCCATTAATTTTTTGGAAACAACTCATATTGTTGTTCCATGCGTATATTAATTGCTTGCAGCGGAAAATTCGTAAAGAGGAACATCCTAAAAAAATAAAATGATATTTACCAGATTAATAATATATTTATACAGAACATACTTTTAAAGTGCGCCGAGGTAAAATGAACCGATATTTGCAAGGTGGTTTCTACATTATTTCTTTCCATGTGCATCCCCTCTGAACGGTGGGATTCCCTTTGAAATAGTGTCCTGATGAATTTTATTTTTTAGTTTTGACTCAATCGCTTTTAGATTAAACAGATTAATTGGTACTTACTTAAGGTCGTTCACAGTAAGGACCTGAATTTTCTTAACATGGTACAATTTGTGCTTTCCTTGATAATCCTCGGTTATCAAAACATGTTCTGCCTCCTCCAAAGAACATGGAGTGCAAGTCGCATATAGGTACAAATGACGCCACCAATGTAACACAAGTCGCAAAAGACCACCTGTTAAGAATATACAGGCCCAGCAAAGTATAGTTCGTATATGGCATCGGCGATAACCAGAAACTTTCATTTGATCTTCTTGACCTTGATTTAAAATTCCAGTACATGGTTTAGAATCTGAAAATAAATTGATAAAATAACACACAAAAATAAATATAAATATTATTATCATAACGCTAATATTGAATTTAACATCTTTAATTATTTAGCTTCGGAATTTGTGTATAGGTGCATACCTTTTAAGGTTTTGTCGTTTATCATAGTTTACTTGCACTGATGTACGTTACAAATATCAAAGTAAAAATAAAGAGGTTAGAAACATCTAAGAACTAATAATACGTTGTAATGAAGTGCCTTATGTCAATTTAATGATTCTCTAACAAAAAAGATCAAACCAACTTCAATCAAAAAGTTGTAGCCACGATCTACCAACAAAATGGCTAATCGAAAAACCAACATCTGTAGATAAAAACCAAATGATAAGAGTCCAAAACGCGCACTGTTTCTTGTTTGGTCGCCTGAGCAATTATAGTCTTCTCGCCCTACAGGCTTCATTTAATTCCTTTATGCTTTTATAGAGCCCTCGGCTATTGCCCATTGTTGCTCGACTGTTACCAACAAAAACTACACATTATTTATATGCATGTATTATACACATGTATGTGCAGAGTTAAGAATAAAGTTAAACAACATTTTTACTGAAATTTCCTTTTCTTAATCAGCACCTACAAATCAGAAAAACACAATTTATTTATTACAGTTCAATCGTACACACGTCAGCACATTCGCAATAATGAATACAATTAATAACAATCTTCATTAATTTATTCACGAAAACGTTCGAACATATGTATACGTTAAAATGTTTGTATAAATCTTTATGTGCAGCTGGCATCTATTACACTGATCAATTCGTGTGCATATAAAAAACATTAACATACTGTTTCGACGATATATGTATGTATGTATGTACATGTGTACATAAACCTATATGTATTTATGTACATCCATATGTACGTACATATGTATGGTAATAACCTTTGCATTGTTATTCCACTTGAATTTGTTTTTGAAGTTATTAAATATTACATATTTTTAATAATGTGATCTGAAATAAAAATAAATTTTATACCCCTTACTCTTAGACTAGCCAAGTCTGTCTTTATCAATTCTGTGATCTCGGAAACTACATGTAAGAGCTGAATGTTGAAATTATGATGAATATTCCAGAAGCCAGAGCATATCATCGTCATATTTATTCATTCGTTCATTTCAAAATAACTATTTAATTTTGACTGAAAATGTGGCCCCTTTCTGTATAAACGTAAAGATGTCGGGAACTTTTGTGATCCGTAGAGTAGTCTTGACTAAAACAAACAAAAAGCAGTGCGCTTAAGAAAATACAAATTCATGTTGCCATTGCTGCTCGAATTAACTTAAACGCAATATTTAAATCAGATATATTAACATATTTAGTAACTAACCAACTTATTAAACTTTAAAAAAAAAAACTAAAATTACCAGTAAAGCCGCATTCAGCCTTTTTTATGCCGCAGATTAATTCGTGCACTTAAACTATATTCAAAAAACTATACATTTTACATTACATATTATTATATATTGTTATTTAGTTTTTAGAAATATAAAACTTATGAGTTACAGCAGCTGATCACAGCCAATTAAAATTTGTAAATGGTTTTAATTTGGTGGCGCGTCGAAACATTATAAGAGCACTGTTAAGCGACGAGCTACGAGCAACGAGCAATGATCCAAAACATTCAGCAGACACTTCAAGTTTAGGTGATTACACCAACCCAATCATAAACCCAAAAAGTCATAAAGACTTAGTGAGATGTATTAGACTAGACTATTTGCAAAACTTCCGTAATGGAAATAAGCTTCGGCAACAAGTTCGTCTTTAGTTAATAAACATGTTAATATCTCTACCTATGATATTGCCTTCAATTGTTTGTGTTGGTTTCTCAGTTATAGCACTACTTGAATTAATATTTTTTGACTGTACAAAATAAGCTGTCGTCGAATATACCTTAATTCTTGATCAGTATCAAAAGCGAAGCCGATTAAGCCATGTCAGTCTGTCCGTCCGTTCGTCTGTCCGTATGAACCCTAAGATCTGAGGAACTATAAGAAATACAAAGCTGCTTCTTGTTTTTATTTAACTTTGGGTTTATGGCTTTACATGATATTCACAGTAAGTTAATATATAAGAACACTTTTATTTGATTCCTATATTTTTCTATAACTGCATTTATACATACCATCGACAAGTCGGTGTGAGTCTTTCGGATAAAATTCATCTACATTAAGATCCAGAATGCTTGCTTCGTTTGCTTCACTAACACGTTTCTGGTCTGTGTTGTACTGTAGTAATGGCACAGATCTTGCTGGCGTGTTATTGCAGCCAGAAACTAAAGTATTGTTGTTCTCAACCTTTTTCGATTTGTTGCTTGTGCCTTTATCACTTTTTTTATGTTGCACTAGTGATGCCTCTGCATCACGCACTTCAGCAGATGAATGCCACCAACTAAGCTTTAAGTGTTTATTTTTAGCAGCTATACGAGAGAAGTGAAGATGCTCCTCCGTTTCAATTTCTGCAACTTTAAATTGTGTGTCTATATCCCGCATTGATGATGATTTTAGCTGCAACATTTCACAGCGAGAATTCGCGATCTCAGTAGTTTGGTCCTTATTTGTAAACATCTTAAAACTACCCAGAATTAGGAAAGCAAGCAATTTCGCAACAGTCAACTATAGCTTGAGTATACTGTGACGGTAGTTGGGCAACATGAATGTCAGCTAAACTTCTGGACTTTATAAAATAAATCGCTTAAGATGTATATGTAACTATCAATAAATTTCTCTAATAACATTTTTTTTCCAAATTGATCTGCTTAACTTGCTCAGAAATATGATACAAAATTGGGTATAATTTTAAGATGGCACATGTCTATCTGGTCACAATTTAAAATGTGTTTTTCCCCGCTGCTGTTCTCTGAATAAAAATTGCATTAGATGACCTGAGAGATTTAGAAATGTCTTCTTCAATATACTCCTAAGCAAGTTCTTCGTCAATCATCCAAAAGACGCGATTATCTTTGCACGCGCTTCTCAAAAATTCTGCTTGATGCACTCCTTCTGTACAATCTCCAAATTTTGTCTCGCCCAGCCGTGCAGAATGCCAACCAAATGTATTATTAGTAATGTGAACACACTGCAGCAGCTCTGCAACAAATCTCTTTTTAATAGCTCACTTCTTTTCAGGTTGTTCTTTATATCACCTTGAATGAATTCATTACGATACAAGTTTTCGGGTTAAATTTTTAGTTTGACAGGTTAAATATACGTACAAATTTTTAAGCCGATATCTTTAACAATTAAACGTTTCTTCGTTGAAAAAAATGGGATGTCACATATTTAACACCATTATATTTTTGGTACCGTTCCATTTTTATAAATAATCCTTGTCATTCATTTTTCTTGTATGATAGCCTTCATTTTATTAAAACGTATCCATTCTCTAAGTAATGGTACAATTTTCTGAAACGGAACAAGAAATTAAATATAGTCTTAATTTTAGCAACGAAAGTAGATTGTTTTTTATTTAAAATGTGCTTATCGTATATTACTGTCAGTAAATATTCATGCTCTGGAAAATTATTAAGAACTCTATCTATCTCACTTATACACCCCCATACTCAGACTATAACAAATAAATCTACATAAAACTATATCGCTTAAAGGAATGGAAAAGAACGAGCAAAAAGAAGTAATACAATCAGATGTTTCGAATATATTTATTATATTGTTTAGCGCTACTTGTAGATTAAAAAGCGTTTCCGATCCCATAAAGTATACATAATCTTTAATTTAGCCATTTCCGTCTGCCATTATGAACAATGAGATCTCTGGAAGTATTTAAATAGAATCTAAGTACAACGCCAAACAACAAATAAAAAAATTTTAGCTCACATCATATGTGCAATGTTTTTGGCAACCCATTACTAAATTAAATGTCTTTGCAACTCGATATGCAAAATTATTAAACTGTTTCATAGCACAGTGGTTTTAGAAATATAATATGTATGTTAATATTATATAGAGTGGCGAACTTAGTTATTGACGAAGCTAGCATACCAACCTTTATAGTCTTGTCCACTTTTAAAATAAACATTTAGCTAGCACCTGATTGGGTTTCCGTGTTTTGTGGGTATTGTAGTATGCCTGGCCAGATGCAGAAAAATAATGCGCTTTGGTGGCATCATTGAAAACTACACCACCTTTCTTTCACTTATAATTCCCGAGATCTCAACGTTCCTACAAAAAACGGAAACCGTTTTTCGACCTTGGTGGGTATATAGGATCGGAAACGCTTTCTTCAAACTATTACTTATTTTTTAACGAATACCCTTTTATTCTACGCGTAAGGGGATTTTACAAAAAAAGAACTGAATTTCACTGCACATATACATTAATTTCCTCAAACACTTTAAAAAACGGTCTGATTTGAAAAATGATTAATTAGCTAGTACAATATATGTTCATATAATGGTATCCATAAAATCTATATGTTTAAACGGAACTTCGTAATTTGTATGAATTAAAAAAAGAATTCCTGTGTTTTTAAAATGTGGCTTAATTAATTATTATATTATTATTATTAATTATTTTAACTATTTTAAATTTACATAAAAATCTTTCGAATTTTTGTTTTTAAAAATATGTACATTTTTAAATACACCTAATTCGTTATCACTTCGGTTAGAATTTGGTTTAACGACTGATTTCGCCATTATTTAACGTAAAGTTAAAACAATTTCTAATCAATAGCCAAAAATAGGAAACTGTGTATAAAAGAAAGGAACTGTGGAGATACAAATCTACTTAAACATAAAGACCAAAAAATATCATAACAAAACATAATTTTCAGTATATTTTTATGCCGCATCTTATTTTGTGTCATTTAGTCCAAACATGACATGAGCCCCGCCATGCTCGACTGCAGCTTTTAAGTGTTCGTTCTCTAGCTCGGTATTTGGCCGTCCCCAAACATATTGCAACCCATCCAACCAGCCCAATCACCACACTTAAATTTTATAGAGAATTTGTGGAAAATTTTGCACCTGGCAAACAAAAAAGTAAAAAGGTTAAAAAAATGTTTAAAAATTCCTGATGAAACCACTAGAAATGTAATGTTTTCAATGGTAACCGCCGAGAAGCAGAAAAAAAGACTGCCAAAATATTAAATTAATAGTTATTATTGCACAAAAAGGGCTGCCGGATAAAAAAAAATGCCGAAATAATGTTTTTTTTTTCCTTTATGTCAAAGAAGTTAATGTTTAGCTATTAAATATATTAATATTAATACCTAAAATATCGAATTTTATTTTTTGAGTTATCGTCTCTAGTTGACCTAGTTTTTGCTCTTCGAATGTACGAAATAAGTTGCGAGCTACTGTACACCATTTATTCTTACACCCGTGAGTTTAAAGCTTATTCTTTAATATCTCGACAAATATGTAACGGGAATTAAAATGTAATATGTAATTCAAGATTTTTTTTTGGTAATTTCGCTGCATTTATTGGCAAGTCAACTTCCAAAATCCAAAGTGTGATAAAAAAAAACAAGAAGAAACGCGACTTTAAGATACCCCTTACTCTTACACAATTTTAAAATATTAATTTTTCTCTTGGAAATAGACTTAGCGCCATCTTTTGTCAAAAAAGCAAGATTACTAACTGATGGTGACGTCACTTTCCATTAAAGGCCTCATAACCTACATTTCTTCATAAATAGCGAAGTAATGTTCTGATTTGAAAAATGATTGGTAAATCGATAAATATTAACAAAAAATGTTATACAAGGTCAAAATAAGGCGTACACTATAATATTATGGTCGCCACAGTTTTCCGCTGTTCTAGTGGGCGTGGCAGGATGCTAATATAATAAACTTGTGCTGCGTATGAACCTCAAGAATCTGCCTGTTAATCTCGACTCCGTTCTCTTATAGTTCCTGAGATCTCAGCGTTCATACGAAAAGACGGACGGGCGGACAGGCGGATATAGCTTATTCGATTTCGCTATTGATGCTGATCAAGAATATATATACTTTATAGGGTCGGAAACGCTTCCTTCTACCTGTTACATACTTTTCAACGAATCTCTGACAATAGGTGGCGCCTTATGAATTTCCACTAGCAAAATTAATATTTTAAAATTGTGTAAAACAGTAACGGGTATCTTATAGTCGCGACACTCGACTATATCATTTCCTCTTGTTTATACCTGAAATCTATTGACCATATGAACTCAAATCAAAAAACAGATCCTAAATATCTTGCCTCGTTCTTAAGATTTGAATTTTGGTCAGAAAAGTGTCAAAATTTCCTATAGTGCATCCGGAACTGTCTGCACGATTTATGCTAGACTCCGACTCCGAAAAGACTATTTATTTATTTAGTGACGAACTAAAATGTAATATTTTTGGACACTACTTTCTAAATATGGCAAAAGGCAAATGAAGTCATGAAGGAGAACAACTTGAATGAGTTATTAGAAAAATTATCAAATATTTAAGTTAAGTTAGTTTTATGTTTAAAAAGTATATTTTTCATATGAGATATTGCATTTTAATTTCCGTAACATATTTCTCAAATATTAATAAATGTATAAATTGTGTGCTGACTGTATATATAGATCTTAATATCAAATTATACAAACAAATGGCTCTAACAGTATTAAAATATAAAAATTCTGTTTCATTTGTTAGATTTAAAATTTTTTTTATGAAATGAAGGTACTGCACTCTTTCTTAGGACTAAGATAGGGACTGCGTCTATGTTTCGGATACTATTGATATAACTTCCCAATTTCATTAGTAATTTGTCGGCTTTTTTTTTTTATTATTATTTGTCACTTCTTATTTAAGATCACACACATTACATGTCTACACATTAAAGTATATATTAAGTTTAACAGTATGTTTTTGCAAGCGAACTCAAGAACTGAGTTTCAATTTTAATACGTCGAGTTTCTTGACCATTATATGTATGTACGTGCATATGTACATATGAATGGATGCATGTACATATGCAAGTATAAATCTTTAGTTCTAATCGTTATTTTTTCTTTTCTCTAACAAAGAAAGATATTAAGAAATTACAATTGGAGTGACAGGCAACCTCATTTTATCAGAGTTCTTTGATACATTATTTTAGTATTTAAGTTACATTTTTACACATACAAAAATAACATTTTAATGATCAGCAGTGCCAAATAAGATTACCTTAAAAATAAAAATACTGGTATACACGTACATATTTCTTAATTAATAAATTGTGGATTAACATTTATTTAATCATAATAATCAATATTAAAATTTTGTGACATAACATCAGCACAAGAAAACAATCTGCCCAAATATGTCAGAATGTGCATATAAGCACATTTGGATTGTTTTAATTTATGATATTAGATAAATTGGGAATAGCCAGCGTCTTAGCATTAACAGGCAAGAAAAAGACTTGAAGTACACATCCGAATATCACAAAAAAGATTTTAGTTACTTGGACACGCTGGTACAACAAATGTTGCACATAACAAATAAAATTCGTATTTGCGTTTTTCCACAAAACTATTAAAAAACCGATATTTTTCGAACAATTATTTATAAACACATTAAGAAGTACATATACATATTACAAAATATATAAAATAACTGAATTTAACAGACTATTTTTATTGAGTGTCGCACAGCAGTTTTACCGATGGTTTTGGGATGGTGAAATAAGAAACACAGGAAAGTAGAGAAAAAATTCCGATATCATATTCTTGACCAGTATTCGACTATCTAGTAGTTATAGAGAGTTACTAAATTGGAGAATATTAATATTCGAAACCCCCACTTCCGGTCCAACTACCGAGGAGAGATGTCTAATATGTTAAATGAAATTAGTATCCATAAAGCACTAAGAGTTGTACATAATGTGGATAACACTAATATTCGGTTTTTGAATATATATTTAACTTTAAACGCAAAGAAAATGTTTAAAGATAACTAAAAAAAGCAAATTTAAAAATGGTACGCTGCAGATTATGTTATTACCCAGATTATTTCATTAAAGGGCCATAAGGTGATGACCTGGCTGTTATACAATTGTCCAAAAGTCTTGGAAAATAAAGGTTTCGAAAGGAGGGCGGAAAATTTGCCCCTAATACACCATAAAATTTATCCAAATATGGCTAATCCTTTAAGCGATAATACACAAAATATTTGGAAAAGATTCCTTTCAATATAAAGTAGGAAAAATGAAAAATAAAAAACTGAATATTAACGTTATCCACAGTACATTATAAGGCAACGGCGAAAATGGCATTGAAAATATCCCATTTGTTGGTTTCGGAATTACAGACAATATCTTTCTAAATATGATATGTACTTTATAAAGATACACAATTAGTTACGAAATATTTCTTAATTTTTTTTTTAATTAATTCCAAATCTAGAAATTTTTGAAGCCGAAAAGTATGCGTCAATTGAAAGAGTTTATGAACATTTGGTAATTTTCCTAAACAGCTTAAATTTTTTAATAATGTTCCCGATGGACCACTTTTTTTTGCTATCCAATATGATGGCGTTAAACTTTATGCAAATTCAAATTATTTAAAACCGATTTTATATTCTTCCGGAAGAAGAACCAACGGCAACACTGATTAAATGAAATTTTGGATATGGTAGGAAAACGATAAATACGTACATATATAATTATCGAACTACTTTCTCAACAATTGCACGCCTTTGGTCTGGAAATTTTATGTAAATATATATACACATGACTTTAAATTTCAATATATATCATATGTTTAAATGTTTAAACTTATTATTTCTTATACTTAAGAATTTTGTATAATTTTTTTTTTTTGTATTAATTTTTTTGATTGACGTCATTCTATGTACGTATATCTCATTAATTAAAGCCTAAACTATATACATGTGTATGTATGTACGTATTTACAATGTCAATTTTAAAATATTACTAAATATATGTGTACATATGTACGTGTACATACATGCTCATGGAAAATGTATTTGAGCAATTGTAGTTGTATACGATAATTCGCGAAACGGTATAATTGTATGTACATAGATATGTATTAAAAATGATTTCTCGCTTTTCAGGTCTTAACCGTTTATCATGACGCTTGGTGAGATACGAGGCAAGAACGAAGTGCAACCAACAAGTGAAGACTCTGCAAAAACAATGAATTTAAATGATGGAATCTCCTTTGACAAAATTAATGGGAATATGAAACAGGTAATAAGTACAATACAAGTCACTTTTTAAATGTGCTTATCTATGTATTTATGTACACTTATTTTTAAGTGGTCGTTTTGTAAACGTACATATGTACATATACTTGTACAGATGTATATGTATGTATATACCAATAAATACAATATATAAATTATATATATATAAACATAGGTACATATATTTGTACAGTATATGTATATACCAATAAATACAATATATACATTTTTATAATTTCAAAAACAAAAAACTCTAAACACAAAAAAGTGCCAGTTTGAAATTCTAAAACATTCTTCTATGAATACTTTCATATTTTAATATTCTTATAAAAACTTAAAAGCTTCATATGTATGAATCTACTATTTATTTCAGCATCCTGCCACGCTCTCTCTAACGTCCACAAAACGCTTAAATCTCGGGAAAAATAGGTAGTTAGTTAGTTAGTTACCACCACATACCACGGAAAACCTTGGCGACCATAATAATTTTTCAAAATTATTTATTTACATTTAGGTAATAAGGCCTGAGATTGGCAGTCGCCATTAGTTGATCAACATGCTTTTTCTGGCAAAAGTGGGCGCTTTGTAATTTTCCGCTTACAAAATAAATATTTTTAAATTGGTTAAAACAGAAACGGGTATCTCATAGTCGCAGCACTCGACTTTAGCGTTTCTTATTTTTTTTCTTTTGTGTCAATCTTCAAAATATCAAATCAATTTCCGTTCATTTGATCATTATTAATTAATTATTGTATTATTTAGGGAAAAAAATATGTTTTTTTAATTCAACAAAAACCCTACTACATTTTCTTTGTTCTGTTGCAAATTATTGATTCCGATTTTTACACATCTAGTGATTTTTTGGGATAATCAAAAATAATAACAGATAATCGGTCACCGAAAATCTAAGAAAATAAAAAAATTAAATTATCAATCATAAAACGGCCGTTTATGTTAAATATTCGCTGACATAGTTGATTTAAGAAACCAAGCTGTTATTGGGTTTCGTAAGATTCGACAAGAAACATCCGAAACTTTTAGCAATTAATGAGAGTTCTCAAGTGATGCTGAAACTAAGATCAATTGATCGAATAATCGATTAGGAAGTAGTATATTTATTGTACGTAACAGGTAAAAGCCCTATAAAGCAGTGGTGCGCAACGCCTATGGTCTGAGTGCTCATTTGTTTTTGTAAATGGTCGGAGCATATGGGCTTGCTCGTCCATAAGCTTTGAACTCCCGCGGCGATATTACAAAATTTTTTAATTTTTCTATTTCCGCCTTACGCCGACTGCAATATAATTCTTCATTCTTTGTAACTTCTGTTTGACATTAAGGGTTTATTTCGCATTTGGCGGGTGAGTAAAATGAGTGATGAATTGACTAAAAAAGAGTTTCTATCTCTTTGCGCACCACTGGAAACAAACACAAAAACGTCAATAAATTTGTGTTAGTAAAATTAATTAATGCGAACGTCGCATTAGCATTGGCAGTATGAAAATTTATGTTGAAGTATAGTTCGATTGCCGATCAGAATACTTTTTCGTTTAATTGATATTTTTCTTAACATATGTTGATCTGACTTTTAAAATTAATATATAGTTTGTTTGTTTTTATTTTAGAACGAAACGACAATATCATTTTTACGAGCTGCCCGCAGTGGTGACATTAAAAAAGTGGTCGATTTTATAGAAAGTGGCCAAATATCGGACATAAACAGTTGCAACGCGGTATGTATAAAATGTTGATAAAAATAAATATTTCGAAAGAATTTAATAATTTTGACCAGTTTCTATTGTATGGACACGTCAGTTTGCTGTGATTATATCTAAAATATACAAGCGTAGTCCCAACTTCCAAGCTATTATAGTTTTTGCTAAACTGTATTTGATATGGGCTTATCACATATACTCTACACCTTTGTAATGGTCTTTGTCTAAACACAGCTTTAAGCTGTATACTATAATGCACAATATTTTTAAAAGAGGACAAACTTTTTTAATAGGAAGTTTCCAATTTTGGTGACTTTGAAAAACCCTATATGTGAACATATATTCTTTTTGAAATTAATGAAAAAAGTTTATTTTATTCTTTTATCCCTTTTAAAATTGTATAGTGATAATATAGATGGTTTTAAGTAACTTAACTAATTTTTAAGTTTTGACACTATTTCAGGCTACACTCGTTTTGTGGTTCTGATCTAGTCCTATTCCTATTATTATTTTTAAATTTGTTAACATTGTCTGTTGACTACATTCTTTTCTCTGCTTAAAAGGGCAAAGATTATATTCCAGAGACTTTGCTTTGAATCTTAAATTGGGCAAGAGATCATTGTTAATCAAGTCTCAAGTCTGTCGTTCGTACATATATAAAGTAGATTTTTTTTGCTACAGTCTGTTTATAATTTCAGAATGGTCTAAATGCCCTTCACCTAGCGGCAAAGGACGGATACGTTGATATATGCTGTGAGTTACTAAGGAGAGGTATCAAGGTGGATAATGCTACAAAAAAGGGGAACACAGCTTTGCACATTGCATCTTTAGCAGGACAACAAGAAGTTATTAATCAGCTTATTTTATGTAATGCCAATGTAAACGTGCAGTCTCTTAACGGTTTTACGCCACTCTACATGGCAGCACAAGAAAATCACGATTACTGTTGTCGGCTCTTATTGACAAATGGAGCGAACCCGTCATTATCTACAGAAGATGGCTTTACTCCACTTGCGGTAGCAATGCAGCAGGGACACGACAAAATAGTAAATGTATTACTTGAAAATGATGTACGTGGTAAGATTCGTCTTCCAGCGCTTCATATTGCTGCCAAAAAGAACGACGTAAATGCTGCCAAACTGTTACTTCAGCATGATCGGAATGCCGACATTGTTTCCAAGTCTGGCTTTACTCCATTGCATATAGCAGCTCATTATGGAAACATGGACATTGCAACTTTACTTTTAAATAACAATGCAGATGTTAATTATAAGGCCAAACATAATATCTCCCCTCTACACGTTGCTTGTAAATGGGGAAAATTATCAGTGTGTAGTTTGTTAATATCTCGAGGAGCATATATAGATGCGATAACTCGTGATGGCCTGACACCACTTCACTGTGCTTCTCGTTCTGGTCATGTTGAGGTCATCGAGCAATTGTTGATTCAAAACGCTCCCATATTAACAAAAACGAAGAATGGCTTATCTGCGCTCCACATGGCTGCACAGGGAGAGCATGATGAAGCAGCTCGACTGTTATTGGATCACGAAAGTCCAGTAGATGAGGTTACTGTCGATTATTTAACAGCTCTTCATGTAGCTGCGCACTGTGGGCATGTAAAAGTAGCTAAACTATTACTAGATTATTACGCAAATCCGAATGCGCGTGCACTGAATGGTTTCACTCCTCTTCATATTGCCTGTAAAAAAAATCGTATTAAAATAGTTGAACTACTGATAAAACACGGAGCTAATATTGGAGCAACCACAGAATCAGGTCTCACTGCATTACATGTTGCTAGTTTTATGGGTAAGTACGAGAAAAATTAAAGACTATAAAATTATTATAAAACTTAATATGCACCGTGTGGCCACGCAGTTTTAACTCGAGGATGCTTGCGCGTTTGGTGCCTCTTGCCTTTAGATGAAAATAAGAAAAAATGATCAAAGGCCAAGTGCTTTTAATTTCAAGCAATATCAAACAGAATTAAAACTTATAACTTTATAACTTTACATTGAAACATTAGTACTTCTTAACTTTTGAACTTAAAGATAATACATATTTAATACCACGTATATATGCTGTAGCTATATAAAAAGTGGTTACGGCCGATGGTCTTTAGTATCGTCTTCGTTGAAATGTATGTGCTGTGACCCCTGCGTGTAGACCTCGGAAAGAAGTATCGTGTGTTTATAGCGTGCAGCATTCAGATTCAACGCTGTCCTATGTCGATGCGACTCGAGAAAAACCTTTTCTTCTGTATCGTCCTCGGTGAAATTTATTCATTCCGCTGTCTAGTAGGGTAATTAGCTTAGGTGGCTGGTCTGTGTTTCGCAAAGTGATGTGACCCCTGCGTGTAGACCTCGGGAAGATGTATCGTAGGTTTCTAGCTTGCAGCATTCACCTACAACGCTGTCTTATGTCGATGCGACACGAGAAAAATCTTATACTTTTAAATTAATCTTAGCGTATGCATTTAGCACGTGAATAATGTCTGACTGAAGGAGATTAATATGAGATTACTCTATGAAGCTTAAATTGATGACGGAGATATCTGTGTGAAATTCAAACTCGATTTCTTATCCCCGTAATTTGCTTTTGCTGGTTAAAATAATCTTGCCTGAGTAGGGCGAACTTTCTAGCTCTAATAGTTCCTGAGATATTAGCGGTATCCATTTTTTCTAATTTATGGGCGTTAGAGTAAGCGTGGCAGGATGCTTGCGCTACGTAAGGACCTCAAGAGTCTGCCTGCTTAATCTCAACTCCGTATTTCTTATAGTTCCTGAGATCTCAGCGTTCATACGGACAGCCGGACGAACGGACAGACGCTATTGATACTAATCAAGAATATATATACTTTATAGGGTTGGAAAATTTCTTCTACCTACTTTTCAACGAACCTTTTATACCCTTTTTTACGAGTAACGGGTATAATTATATTTTCGGTTTAATTGACTATAGTGTTTCAAATAAATCACAAATTAAATAAATTTTAAATTTTATAGGGTGTATGAATATTGTAATATACTTGCTACAACATGACGCTAGCCCAGATATACCAACAATACGCGGAGAAACACCACTTCATTTGGCCGCTCGTGCTAATCAGGTATTGTCAAAAAATATAATTATTTTATTTTATCTATATAAGTTATTTTGATTTTTAGGAGGATATTGTTCGGATTTTGCTTCGCAGTGCAAATGTGGATGCCATAGCACGTGAAGGCCAAACGCCTCTACACGTAGCTTCGCGATTGGGAAATCTTAATATAATTATGTTACTATTGCAGCATGGAGCAGAGATAGATGCTAAAACTAAAGACAATTATTCGTCGCTACACATTGCTACAAAGGAAGGGCAAGAAGAAGTAGTTCAATTGTTATTGGAAAACGGTGCTCAACTAGATGCTGTAACCAAAAAGGGGTTTACTTCACTTCACCTGGCTAGCAAATACGGCAAGCAGAAAATAGCAGAATTACTTCTAGAAAAGGGAGCTTCTGTTGATTTTAAGGGGAAAAATGATGTGACCCCATTACACGTAGCTACTCATTACAATCATCAGTCAGTGGTAGAGACGCTTCTGGAAAAAGGCGCTTCGCCAAAGTTATGTGCGCGGAATGGTCAAAGTGCAATTCACATAGCTTCCAAAAATAATAATTTGGAAATTGTTCACAAATTACTAGAACGCGGTGCAGATGTTAACGATATAAGTAAGAGTGGCTTTTCTCCATTACATTTGGCTGCCCAAGAGGGACACGTTGATATGGTACAACTACTTATAGAATTTGGGGCTAAAAGCTTATGTGCTAAGAACGGTCTGACTCCATTACATTTGGCTGCACAAGAGGGCCACGTTGAAATATCCCGTATTTTGTTGGGACATGGCGCAAAAATTTCAGAGCGCACTAAAAATGGTTATTCTTCCCTTCATATTGCTGCACATTATGGCCACCTCGATCTTGTAAAATTTTTTCTGGAAAATGATGCAGACATCGAGATGTCTACCAATATCGGCTATACACCACTTCATCAAGCTGCTCAGCAAGGACATATTATGATTATTAATCTTTTATTGCGCCACAAAGCGAATCCTAATGCTTTAGCAAAAGTGAGTATTTCAATATATTTAAAAGCCCGAAGCGCTACTGCTCGGCTTTTCGAGCTTACTCAAAGTAACAAAATATTTTTTTTCAGAACGGTAACACTGCTCTACACATTGCACGTAACCTAGGATATATAACAGTAATGGAAACTCTTAAGGTTGTCACGTCTACATCTGTTGTTAACAGCTTTAGTGGTGTAAGCGAAGAAAAGTGCAAGGTAATGTCTCCAGAGCTGATGCATGAATCCCTATTTTCCGATTCCGATGACGAAACTGGTGATGATTTTTTGGATCATGATCATTACAAATACATGGCAACTGATGATTTAAAAGCAAATTACAGTCAGGATCACCAAAACTTTGATACTACAATTCCTGAACATCATGATACTGATGTGTCGGCTCCGTTTAGCCTTGAGAAAGGTAAGTTAAAGTTAATTTAAGAGTTAATTTACAAATCTGCAAATAGATAAAGGCCTAGAAACTCTAGAATAAGTGATCTGGCCATAAGTCAAGGAACGAGTACTTTATACTCTTATAACAATTGGTACCAGTGCTACTAACGCCGCAAAATATCCAGCACTGCAATGTTTAGCAGTACGGCATATGCACCTATACATCATGAGGTATAAAGGGATACAATCATAAAAATAATCTTTCATGTGCGGTATTTTTCTTGACAAAAGGTTTAAATATATATAATTTGTTTACGTTGACTTGAATGAGAATGCACAGGCCGATAATTGATCAATGCGAATGCGGAATTTGGAATGTAGAAGAATGTTTGAATATACTCGTACATATATAGTTTTTTTACTTTGATTTCATTCTATTTACTTTTGCTTACTAAATTTGAAGTAAAAATTCAACTATTGCAATATATGCAGTTAATTTTCAGTACCACATAAAAACAAATGAAATCACTAAAAAACAAAAGGTATAAGTACCACCATGAGATTCGCTGGCATCATACTTGTTCATACAGACAGACGGATAGACAGACAGACGGGCATGGCTTAAACGACTCCGCTATTATTCCTAATCAAGAATATTTGTTGGGAATCTTGGAAATAAGTAAACAATGAAATGTTAATGTTTAAGTCTTGAATTTTCTAAGGAATACTGATCAAGGACGCGGAATGCAATAAAGTATCTACATTGGAGCTGAAATCCACTGATATGGGAAATGATCGACCTCAGATCCAATTGGGGTAAGCTTGCGATGGTAGGTTGTATAAAGAAGCAGATTCTATTTTATGTATCATGTTTTAGGTTTTTAGTATCGTTCCTGGTAGACGCACGTGGTGGATCGATGCGCGGATATCGGCACAGCGGCGTGCGAATTATAGTTCCTCCGAAGGCCTGCGCTGAACCCACACGTATTACTTGCCGTTATGTTAAACCTCAAAGGGTAGTTAACCCTCCTCCTTTAATGGAAGGCGAAGCACTTGTAAGCCGTATTTTGGAAATGTCACCTGTTGAAGGGAAGTTTTTAAGGTAGACTTTGGTTTTATTTGCTCTCACAACAAATAATTGTTTTGTATTTTAGTCCAATAATACTAGAAGTTCCGCATTTTGGCGCCCTTAAAAAAAATGAGCGCGAAATTATTATATTGCGTTCTGACAACGGAGAAAGTTGGCGCGAGCATAACTTACATGAGACTGAGGAAACTCATAAAAACACAACTGGTATCGATTTTAATCGAATTGAAGAATTACATACAGATCGCATTGTTCGAATTGTTACACAAAATGTCCCGCACTTTCTTGCCGTTGTTTCGCGTCTTCGTCAAGAAGTGCACGCAATCGGGCCAGATGGTGGCACCGTCTTCTCTATGACCGTACCACAGGTGCACGCTATATTTCCACCTCATGCCTTGACCAAGAAAATTCGAGTCGGTCTTCAGGCACAACCAGTAGAACTGGTTGGATGTTCTAAGCTGCTCGGCCAAGGCGTTGGTGTCTCACCAATAGTCACTGTTGAGCCACGACGCCGAAAATTTCATAAGGCAATTACACTCAGTATCCCTGTTCCAAAAGCTTCTACAAAAAGTATGGTTAATGCATGCTATGGAAATGGAAATTCAAATTCACCTACTCTGAGATTATTGTGTTCCATTACCGGTGGTCAAACGCGTGCAACATGGGAGGATGTTACTGGATCAACCCCGCTGTCTTTCCATAAAGATAGTATAACTTTTACCACAACTGTTTCTGCCCGTTTCTGGTTAATGGATTGCCGAAATATCGCAGACGCTGGACGAATGGCTACGGAACTATACAGTCATTTGGCAAAAGTTCCTTTTTTTGTGAAGTTCGTAGTATTTGCAAAGCGCATTTCTGAAGCGGAAGCGAAATTTTCGGTGTTTTGCATGACTGACGATAAAGAGGATAAGACTCTTGAACAACAAGAATACTTCACAGAAGTTGCAAAAAGTAAGGATATCGAAGTATTGCAAGATCAAACAATTTATCTAGAGTTTTCTGGTAACATTGTCCCCGTCTTAAAGACAGGCGAGCAACTTTATACAAAGTTTCAGGCATTTTGCGAAAATCGGCTTTCATTTGTTGCTCATATTAAGGACCCAGAGTTTCCACATGGTCGCATCTGTTTTATGCCCGATAAAAAAGTCGGTCTGAATGAACTACCATTGAATCCTCTTTGTACTTTAAATGTGTCGGTAGATATGGTAACTATCAAAAAGCATCTTGCAAACAATCAATTTTTTCACTTAAACCGTGACATTAATATGCGTGGCAAATTGAATCAAAATGATGTTATTAATTCAGAAATAGAAGCCGATTCACCGACTACTAGACAAATTAATAAAAAGTCAAACGACATTGAGTTGATAGAAAACCAAACAATAACACTAATTGATATATGTAGCCATATAGGAGGTGACTGGCCACAGCTTGCAAAACAATTGGGTGTTCCCGAGTCCGATATCGAGCTGGTCAAAGCAGAGTACTTTAGTGACGACAGCGTACGTCAGAGCATGGTAATGTTACAGCTATGGCTAGAACATGGAGGAATTTTCACAGAGATTGAAATAGTTGAAGCTCTTTGCAAAATTGGCCGTGGGGACGTAGTGGAAAAGTGTCGTCATAATGCAGAGACCGTCAATAATAAAATGGAAGGTCTGGATAACGCAAAAATTAAGAAAAGTAGGGAGTATGAAGGGCCAAGTACGAACACCACAAAGCGTAACTCAAATACCATTAACACTGAAAACGGTAAGTTGATGGTTATAATTTACTAAAAATGATATTATAAACGTATTTGTGATTTATACAGAAAAATTACGTGATACACCTCAAGCATCACAAAAAGAAGATCTTGAATTGCATGAAAAAGGATCAACTTCTTAGGATAGGTAATTGAATGCTTTTTTCACTCAAATGTCTTTAAATATATATATAATTTTTTTCGCAGAAGGATAATTGATATCAAATAATAAATAATATTAAAAAATGCCCACAGAGTCAATTATTTGCAATAAAAAAAATATGTTAATCTTTTAAAATTCATTTTAACCATTATTTATTTAAAGAAGATCTTGAATTGCATGAAAGAGGATCAACTTTTTAGGACAGGTAATTGAATGCTTGTTTCACTCAAATGCCATTTAATATTTATATAATTTTAATTTGCAGAAGGATAACTGATGTCAAATAATAAATAACAAATAAAAAAATTACCCACAGATTTGCAATCATAAAAAATTATGTTAAACTTATTTATTCTTATTTCTACATTTTCAATCTAAAAGGAAAATATATAAACAAAGCTACAAATCTACAAGCTTCTTTACAATTGGAAATGAAACACTAGTTTAATAAACTATTAAATCATTATTGTTTTAATTTAAGATCTGTTTAAATATCAAGATATTTAGCTTTTAGGATGCATCGCAACTATAAGCTGAAAAAAGCTGATTAAATGCTTCGTGCACGAAAAAGAATATGCCATTAAAAATATCTCCAGCACCAAGCCATGAACGAAGTCCAGAAATCAAGTAGATATGTAGTTATCGTTATGACCCACTAAGAAAATCGGCTATAAAAATGGTCAAAGGGTAAGGAGAGTAAATGGGCATACTAATTCATCAAAAAGTGTGCTTTTGAGATATATATAATATATAGTCGATGTCGTCATGTTAGTCCGTCTGTATGAGACCTGGGTACTATAAAATATATAATTCCAAAAAAAAATTACAACGTTGAGATAATAATAAAAAAAAATGTTCCCAGCTGGTCACAAATCTAAGCCATATTAGCAAAGTTTTATTTGCTTTAAATTTGTATGGGAAAATTAAGACTTTAAAAATCTAGTAAGAATGTATCATATAAGAGGATGTACACCTTTTTTAAAATTTTCAATTTTCACCTAATTTCAAGAAGTCATATTTAATCAATATCTTTTTTCGATAATATATTTCAAAATTTTAATTAAATATCAATTTTTTAATAAATATCTATGCACTTATAATTCCTTTTAAAACTAAACTTAGTATTGTGATAGTCAATAGGCTCCCCTTTCTGACAAATCCTGTAATAGTTCTAATACCTCGTCTACGTTTAGGTATTTTATTCCAATTTGGCGATCACAGCGGAAGATTGAATTACAAGTTTTTAAGTCTTAAGTTTTTAATGTGCTCATGTATATAATTCTTTAATAAATTACTCTCATCTAAGGTTTTTATAACTTTCTTGATTCGTTTATTTTAAGCATTCAGGATAGCGATCTTATCAATGAATGAGGATTTAATTATCAAATTTGGCAGCTTTTTTAAATGCTTTAACTCTTATCAATATAATTTTATTTCAGTTTATCGAGAGGTCATTAGACAATATTATGTTAACTCGGAAATGTAATTTCCCGCCTTTTGAAATATAATAAATTATTGCAGGAGTAAAAACATTGAATAAATTGAATAAATGCGGTATTTCTTCTGAAAACCACCATCTTATATACGCATTTATTTAAAACTGTCGACTTAAACGAAATTCATTTTTAACTTTACCTTCATAAAATAACATTGTTAGTTTAAGGCTCTCCAAATGTATTAAAAAAGGTTGTAAATATTATTAACATTTTTTTTATTATTAAGTTTTGTATGAATTAATGCTATATCTTATATATTTATAATTATCTATTTTAAGTTTTATTCACTTAATGTTAAGCATGTGATTGGTATTATCTTAAGTCTAGTAATTTATATATATGTTTATATATCGGTTTAGCATAATATTTAGTACTAATTTTTAGCTCTTACAACTATGTAAAGTTTTTTAAGGCTAAAAACCTATCAGTCGACCGAAAAAATAATAATGAATTTTGTAGACTTAAAACTATTTTCATTATTGGTATATATATATATACAAAAGGTATTATATTCGTTGTGGGTGTCATTTTATTATATATTTGGTGTACTACTATAGATTAATGATACCAGTTTTTATTAACACTTGTGACGAATGATATAATTTTCAATTAAATTTTTTAATTTACATCAAGAAAATAATTAATATATAAATTGTGTTTGAAAAAAGATGAAAAAAAATACATGAATATGGAAGCATAGAGTTGATATATTGCATTTATCATTGTTTTAAAATTTATTAAAACTATTGGCAAATACATACATTATAATTTTTCTACATTATTAATTAACAAATCGCTTGCCCATTAATACATTTTTGTCAAGTAAACGTAAATATATTTATATGCTTATTAATAAATTGTAATATAATATATGTAATATGTGTTAAACAGTCTTTTGAATTGGCAATATCCCAATTTGCATTGTTCGGATTAAATAATTAATACATTTTTACATAATCAAAATTTCCAAACTATTGTAACACAGATTCTTCATAATCTTATGTGTGTTTGTAAGTGAGCTCTTAATAAATAAATATATATATATATATTTATAATCGCTATATATGATATATATATATTTATGTATATTTAGAATCGCTATATACTATATATATACATATATAGATATATATATATACATATATATATATATATATATATACTATATATATATATTTATACTATATATATATATATATATATATATATATTTATGTAGGATAGGAAATATATACAGACTAGAGCCCTATATAAATCGGCCAATAGTTTATCACAGCAATATATTTATTGAAATTCTGGGCTTGCTATTAATATGTACCTTTTTATAAATTGATTAATGCATTGGAGAATTCTTATTAGATCCCTTAAACTGCCTAAATTCAGTATAAACAATACTTATGAAATTTGTCTGTGTTTTGGGACAACATTTATTATCTCGCCTTCCCGCTTACTAAATGCGTTTTTTAGAGTTTTCTTTGCTTTTATTAGATTTGTGTTTCTGGCCGCATCTACACTACATTAAAACTTAATTTTAAAATGATGCCTTTAGGTAAACAAATTGGAATGTTAACAATCAAAAAGTTACGTCTATATAGTTGGAATTGCTTCCTTATTTCGGACAGGCGTATAGCAATTAATAATAATTTATAAAAAAAGTTCTTCACCACGTTTTTAATTCGAAAATATACTTTTACATTAAAAAAAAGAAGTGCACAAAGAAAATCATTTAGTCTTTTAAGTCCCATCTTATTATGGCATGTGCAGGTCATTTGGAATGACAAACAATTTTCACTTAATTTGTGTGGTAAATTATTTATATTTAAAGAAAATCAAATAAATTAACCAGGATCAAAATAAATGAAGTAACTTAAAGGACTGAACGAAGCAACTCAAATTTTAAAGCCATAAAGTTTTATTTTGTATACTTACCACACACCCTTTCATTTAAAACATGAAGGGACGTTATAGTCGGTTTTAGTGACTATCAGATACTCATTACTCTGTAAGTTAATTTCGAAATACTGGTGCTAACGAAATAGAACGCATGAATTGGTTATTTAAGTCATCTCTGGCTGAAGCCATATATATCAAGTTTATTTTGCCGAACCTTTCACATTTATTATCAGTACGCCACAGTTATTAGCGGTTTGCGCCAGAGTTAGAGTGGTCGGGGCCGTCTTCTGTAACTTCCGATGGAAAATTTCTAAAATCTCAGCGTTTATATGGACAGACAGACTATGCTAAATGAACTCGTCTATTGATCCTGAAGAATGAGTATATATACTGTGTAGGACCGACGCTTTCTTTCAGATGTTAAATTCTCTTTAGCAAGCACATTATAATCTTTAATTCTACGAGTATCTGGTTTGAAAATATATATTAGTTAAGAATATAGTTGTATATTCATAGTATAACATTTATGTATATTCTTACGAAGGACAAACCATTCTCGACTACGAAACAAAATATTTACGCCAGTTTATAAATACTTTGTAAAAATATATTTAGGGATAGTTTTTATGTCAGCTATAATTTTTTTCCAACTATTGTTATAAAAAATCGACCGGGTGTCAATTACTCTATTGAAAACAAAATCATATAAATTTTTGATTCTAAGAAAATTAAAACTTTACTTATAAACCATAGTTTATAGATCTTGCATATTTTGTTTGACTGCGCTGTTGATGTACCCAAGAACTTATTTGTACATTTCTGACAATATAATGATATTAAAAACTATTTAAACGGAGTAATATCTTTCAGATTATTTTGAGGCCATAAAGGAAGTAAAAAAGTGTGATTGTATTCCAAAATTGATTTTAAGAGTCTTTCAAGGTCTCGTATACGCATTGATTCGCATTGAAAAGGTATTTTCAGTTTTATTGGGTATAATGCAATACCCCTGTATGTAGAATGTTTTGTCTAATTAACCAATTCATAAGTAAATTACATACCAATATTTTTATTTGTGTTTTAATATATGTTTTGAATGCTATGGATTTACATAAGGCTCCAGATCTAATTTGCGTTTTTAGCATAATTAATTCAAATTGTCAAAGACTTACTAAATCGGAGATATGTATTTTAAGGGTAGGCTATAGATAGGATGTCAGGGCATACTGCATATAATATACTAAATTGTGCATAAACGTGTAATAATAAACGGCATTATTACATATTTATATAATTTAATAAAAGTTTAATAACTGAATGAGGACTAGCAAAAAGTGCATATCAATTTATGGGTGTTCATACCTAAGTTTGTTTAAGTTATACCTAATATTTAATACAGAAAATAAAATTGTACAAATTATATTTCATAAAAAGTTAAGCTTTTTATGAAATAGTAGCTATCAGGTCTTATGGTCAATAAATTCGTAGGCGTTATCAGTACTTTCAATGAGAAAAAGTTACCTATTTACATGCTATTTATTATTGATATATATATATATATATATATGTATATATAACATATATTGATCCATATATAATTTCTGAACAATATATGAATTAAATTTAGCATACTATTTGCATCTAATCAATATTAATATTCCAAACTATGTGATGTTATGCGAATAATTTCAGTCTATGAATAACAATATTGTGAACAGTTAACCGATATTAACAAACAAAGCTTATAAAAGATGTTTTAAGATTTTAGACTTGGTATAGATTTTGATATCAAAATTTCGGTTAAAATAAAAGTAATCAAAGCCAATTTCAATAATCTTTAGTATTAAACCTATAAGGAAAAAAAAGAATATATGAAGTATTAGTAAGAAAGTGAATTTGGAAAAAACTGACTAATTAGACGGTTTTATATTCTGCTGATATTCTGATATATAGAATTTCACATCTGAGTAACATATATATTAGGGTATAACTTACAACATTGTTTTATTAATATTAATACTTATACTTAAGGTTTTAAGGTGAGATGTGATAAAACAAAAGAGGTTTTTGCAAGAAATATAAAGTTTTTAACAACACTTTCAGAAAACATAATACAAACGAAATTGTGAACATGTTTAAGTTGTTAAATTAGTGTTTCAGTGCACACCATTCTTTACTTCAGTGTAAGTAAGTCAAACAAATAAATGTACCCAAAGAATAATTTAAAAAAAATTGTAAAAACAAAAATCTAAAGTTCAAATATAATAAATGATCATTTTTAGCATAAGTCGCTAACCTCAGGATAATAACGGTAAAATATCGTGATTAACTAGTGGATTAAAATTAACATTTATTAAAAACTTTTCTATCCAATACATGTGTTGCTTTCTGCGATTTATTGAACAAAAACGCCAATATAGTGGTCAAAACCTTCCAAATTCTTTAGCGTGTTTGCATACTAAAAGGAAATAAATAATTCGTTTGATTTAAAACCGTTTTAGATTTTTTAATTTTCTTTTGTTTTAAATTGCAAATGATAAATATAATTTATATTAAAGAAAACCAAAACCGAAAAAACCTATAAGGATCAAAGAAAGTATGAAGTATTAGTTAGAAAGTAAATATGGAAAAAACTGACAAATTAAATGGTTTTATATTCTGCTGGTATTCTGATATATAGAGTTTCACATCTTAGTAACATATATATTAGGGTACAAAAAATTTATTAAAATGAAAGAAAACTTTTAACTTTTCAGAAAATACATCTCAAGGCTAAAACATGTCTTTTTTCAACAGTTAGTTTGGTGTTACTAACAGGATACGATGGCTTGAGGCTATATTTGGAATTAGGAAATCGAATGGCTATGTTATAAAATAATTAAAAGTATTTAACTGTTTAAATTGTTTAATTGTTTAAAGTTCCCGCTAAAAAGATTTCTCGTAAAAAACATACTATTTTTCAAATAAATTGAAATTGCAACAAACTAAAATGCATCAGATAGGTCTTAAATAAACTCAAATGGTGTATGTGCTAACATCAACGGTGCTGATTAAATTTTCATTGTTTGTTTATTCCATTTGGCATTGCCTAGCTCGGAATTCGATTTCAAATAATCTGAATAAACATTAATGGTTGGCCTCATTGGAGTAATTGTTAACAATTTTTTGTGTAAGAATCCCAAAAGTCAGTGTATATTCTGTGATTTTATTTCAAGTTTAAATATAAAAAGGAAATATTGCGATGTAAGTCTTGGCACTAGTATTTTAATGGCCTCTGGTTTCATAAGATGGCGATGGGGGTCGAGAAAATTAATTATTGCACTTTTATTTAATTGAATTATTTTCTCATATACCTATAAATAATCGAATTAATTTGAATCAAATCGTTTATGAAACGCTAATGACACCATGTTCTGAAGCGCCTGCGCTTGAAGTCGTGTTAGATGATTTTTTTTGCGGATCAGATGACTTATGGCATTCACTGCCATTTACAGAATGAGTACTTACGGACAACAATTTCGACTCACTTATCTTAGCTGTTTCCATATGGTTCGTTAACTTTTGATGGAAATGTTGGCTAAAGCTTCTATTTAAAAGCGAGTGGTTCGTACGGTGCGCTGCTACATGATGAATTATAGACGTAGCGGCATGAGCGACAATAGTATGTGATTCACTATCTTCAGTCAGTTCAACATTTGGATATTCACGTCTTTTAGTTAACTGATTGATGCTAAGGGGATTATTAATATCCCGAGGATTAGCGCCAATAGGGTTTCGAGAAATGTTTGGCATTGAAGAATTGTTTAAGTTACTATTGCCAATCGACGGCAATGAAAATATAGCATTATTATATGCGGGATGCGGTTGAAAAAATGGTTCCGGTTTACTGCTACTTGTGCTAACTACTGGTGGGCTTAACCCCATTCCCAAATGACTAAATCGATTTCCAAGCATCATGGCTCTTTCATGAGATGAACTTGGAGACGGACCTGTTGTATTTGTAACTGGCGACACTGTACTTGAGGTATTCGGGGTAGTGCTTATACTACTAGTTGATCCACTACTCGATCCTGATGTGGACACAGATGTAGACCGTTGTTGTGGTTGCTCTGCACTGACGATCAAAAGTGAATTATTGGCGGCAGGGAATATAACGTTAGTTGTTGGGTTGATATTCATGTTAATTGGGCTTGCCAAGCTGATTGTTGTGGATGGGCTCTGCAGACTGGACAATCCGCTAAAACATCCTGGGCTGGGCATAGATTGGTTTAGGGACTCGGTGTCATCATCTTTTATTTTATTATTCCCATCAGCACTTCCACAACTTCCGGCTAGTTTATCATCGTCGTACTCGTCATCGTCATCATCACTTAGCTGGCTTTCGTGATCATCAATACCGCTACCGTCTTCGGTGGTCCCGTTTTCATTCAGTGCTTCCATATAACGAATGCATTTCTTTTTGCGTCTATGTAAAATAAAAATCAAATAAATATAAGTAAGAAATTTGCTCTACATAAACTTGTTCATTCCGTATAATATATACACACAAAATAAAGAATTCATGCCATAAAATTTTGCAAGACCAAAAATCACAAACAAAAATAAATTCATATATTATTACATTTCATTACATGCCTATTCAATTGTAACATTAAATTTAAATATTTTAAAAATATACTACTGTGAGCAAAATAAAAGAAAGTTTTTAATTTAATCTTTTCTGTCTTAAAATTTTGGTCTACTTCTTTTTTCTTGAATTGGCATAACTGCTAATGACATTTGGGCGATGTTATTATCAGTAATATATTTACGGTTGTGTTTATCAAATGACCAACTTTTCGATTTTTACAATATCTGACGTGCCATCAAATTTTGTTTGTCAAATGAAGTTTCGACTGAGGAAACGTTGAAGACTTCAAAGAGGTTTAGGGACGTGTTAATGACTTGTACCTCTCCGGAAAACTATCGACGCGAACAGACGATCAACACGTTAAAAGTGAAGTGAAGGAATTAGTGAGTTTTGGCTTCATTGAGATAAAAGCTGAATTTAAAAAAATGCTGATAATTATTCCGAAAAGGAACTGTTGTGCATATGTTTCGAGAATTTAAAAAAAAAAACGTTGGCTTAAATTGATAAAATTGATTTATAAGAATAAGTAAAGATTTTTCATTTTACAAAACGAATTTATATAACAAACAAATTTTTGCTTACAGTAGTATTTATTATTCTGGGCTGAAACTCTCGTGGTATTTAATATTTGTAAAAATATTTATATGCAGTTTGGGAATGGGTATTGTTAAATATCTGACAAAATAATTATGGAGTTTCATATTTTCTTAAATATACTATTAAAATTTCCATTGCAAAATCATTTTTATCCACAAACGTCATAACACAATAATGATGAAAGCGATACAAAGCTAACGCCGACTAAGGAGTTTATATTGCGATGTAGACGTTCAAATTGGATTCTAATTACAAGCTCACTCAGCTTTTTTAGTTTTCTCAAGCCACTCAATCATAAAATGAAACAGAACTATTATTTAATTTAGCTCATAGCTTGAAACAGTCCGGAAACCCATTTTTAGGTTTTTGGAGATCTCAACCCTGAACATGACTACTAGCATTACTTGCTGTTAAAATACATTACGTGCATGTATGTGCAAATACACATATCACCTGCTTTTTTTATACTTGTTGATGTAGAAAGAAAATTTGTGAATTGATTCAAAATGTTTAGTGTTAAAATTAATTTGTTTTAAATAGTTCTATTAAAGGCGCAGTTTCCATATTCTTCTTATACATGTGCGTTCTATAAAAATTCAACTGAAACTAAATAAATATACCCAATATAAAATCAGAGTGCTATCAAATCATTAAAAGCAAGACAAAAAAGAAATCACAGAATTAACGTAATACCAGTTATGGCACATTGTTTGGAGTAAATTAAATGTTTGGTAATAGCATAATATCAACTGAGAAATTACTTAGGGTAGAAACGGACAGACGCATAACATGATTAGTTTACGAATACGCACAGATCTGAAATAATATTTTTTTAAAAAATTAACTATTAAAAAAATAATTGAAATAGCCGCTTATAGTTATGAAAACCTTAAAAAATTAACTTTAAACATTAAAATTACACCAAAATTTTCAAAATTTGCTATTCGATTACGATTTGAGGTGAGTCACGAGAAAGTGTACTATAAAACAAGCTAATAATAAATAATTAATTGGCAATTTCACTAAAATTGTATTATATATCGTATATTTTTCAAAAACACTTTAAACTTAATTTTGCTTTTGTAAGTATTTGATAAGAATGAATATACTAAAATGAGAACAAAAAACAATGTAATTCTTAATAAAAATAGATAACAGGTCTTAAATAAAAAATAAAAAAAATGACCGCAATAAAAATGCATGTAATCTTAACTTAATTCTTTTGAGCGGTTTCCTTCCAGATGCATTTACATCAACGAACAAAATTGTGTACGAGTCTGAGTTCTCACTTCAATGCTTAGTATTTACTAATTTTATGTTATGTTGGATAATAATCTTGTTTGCCTTTTGTTGTTTACATACCTCATAAAACATTTCTTCATTCAACTTCATTGCAATACGCAAGAAAAATTAAATGTTACAATACTGGTGTTATTTGAGCCAATATCTTATTTTTTCATTCCTTTCAACCAAGAGCAGAAAAAATCTCGAAAGCAGCTTAAAAATCTCTTTCCATATAATGAATTAATCTTGCTCAGTTGCGAGAATTCGATATCAAAAATATCTATTCAATTAAAAACTAATGTATAACATGGAGGAAACATGTTCAGTATTTTACCGGAAATATGCCAACATTTAGAGGATTTAATGCAGTGACTTTGTGCTGGCGTCATTGCTGACAAGGGTTTTAAAACAAAATAATTTATACACTTAGAGTTTTTTTTTCTCATTTTTTGTATGTTTATAAGTTTTTAAAAAATATCAATTCCTAATAAACATAATAAAAAAACTAAACTAAAATAAATAAACTATTAGAAATTTTTTTAAAAATTTCATTATAAAAACATTTGTATCGACCTATTTTGCTATAGTTGTGTTGTTGTGTTCTACTAGAATACCTCAATAAGTTTCTCTAAATACGGAAATACGCCAAACATCTTGTAACTGCAGAAAATAAAACAGTTTTTGACTAATCAATAATCTTTTAATTTAAAAGAAATAATGTACCACAATGATTCGTCTTTTGATTCTGTCACCTTTAGAAGTGACGAAGGAGGATTTTTATGATTTTTATTAGTCAGATATTATATTTTGCCGATTGAAATATTGATAAACTAACTACGAAACTACGAATTCTTAAAACTCCAGCTGGTATCTTTTTATATAGTCCTAAAATTTAAAGCTCTTTCTTTGTGACAACAATTCAAATTTTTTATCCGACACATCCATAACTTTTTTTTAAATTTGGGTAAAAACTATTTACTATGTAATAATTTGTCGGTTGAAAATATAAGTTTTACATCGAGAGAGCAAATTTTGTGCTTCCTAACAGTCTTATAACCCTTACCCTAAGAAAGCACGATTTACGGGTTATTAAAAAAAGATAGTTAGTCCGAAGGCAAAAGCGAATTCATATTTATATATTGCAATCTTGTGAAAAGAACATATAAGTTTTAACGTTCGTACTACTAATTTTCTTTTAAGTAAGATCTTTTTTAAAGTCTTGCAACTAAAAAATATTATAAAAAGAATTCATGCAATAAATACATGTATATAAGGCTTTATACATAAACAAAAGCTAATTTGTAAACCCTGATATGCATTTGGTTGATTTGTTTAATTTGTTATTTACTGGTTTGTATGTTGAAGCAATTTTAAGAACTTGTCATCGTGGTTCAGTTTATCTATTCCTGGATCGTCAGATGTTTTTTTATTTCGCTGCTCCATTCATTAACCGGGATCTACAAATTGACATACGTCGGTGGTGCCTGAGGCGACAGTTGTTGTGAACATGCGCTAGCTGCACCACCACCTCCTCCAGCTGTAACTGTTAAGCCATTTAAAGATGCTACTGCGTTTCCATTACTGGCAGCCATCAATTGTACATGTTTATGAGAAGACGAGGTGGATGATGAGGAGGACGAAGATGACGAGTTGGGCAACATAACCGTACCCCCTATTCCACTTACTATAGGTGCCAACATACCAACACCAATGCTGTTGGGTGTTGCATTATTGGTGATGCCAACGCTGCTCCCATTGTTGCTTACAGATGAAATTACACCCAAATTGGGACTTAATTATTTGGTCAAGGCGAGATTTAATAAAAAGTCAAAAATAATGTAAACCGTCAGTATTGAAAAGGGAAAATGTGTACTCAAAAACATGAAATGATTGTATTAACTAATCTAATATATTACGTTTTAAATAGGATATAAGTACGTTATAGTCGATTATTCCGACATTTTGACAAACTGCACTCAACTGAAATAGTTAAAACGTATCCTTTTTTGAACGCCTTTAGACTTCTAAATTCCTGAGTATGACAATGAGAAAATGTTTATATACAAACTAAATAACTGGCAAACCACGCGAAACTTCTTGTTATACCTTAATGTTACACCCGTTAAAATTTGTATATAATTCCTTCACGCAGAAGGATTAAAAGTTTAGTTTTAAGAGTTAAATATTAAATCATCAAAATTTCGACAAAAAAAAAAAAGAAGAATAATAATAATAACATATCTATCTACAAAATACAACTGCCGAATATTGTTTCTTTATTCAAAATGTGAGCGCAAATTCTCAATTCCTATTTACCAGATTTAATACTGAAGTCAAAGTTAATATACAATGGAGATAAAGTTACCTGACCAAAAAAAAAACATTGTACAAAAAAACCTATAAGATATATGAATATATTAACATATGAATAATATAAAAAATATAAAGACCAAATAAATTCCACTTACAAGGTTAAAGATCTTATTAGGTATTCTAAAGGGTTCCAGTTCGTGCAATTATTAATTATCGTCGTCGTGTCTATACTGATACCATTTCTTGTTAAAATAGTTGTGTATACCTTTGTTGTTTGGTCAATGTGTTTAAGTGTGAACAATTTCATAGTAGTTCTAATAAGTGCATTTTACTTAATTTACACAAAACTCACGCAAGACATTAAAAGCTCATAGATGTTTCTTGTTTTCAAAAAGCAATAGATAGCAACGAACATAAACCATATTCCCAAGAATATTATATAAATATATGTAAACATGTAAGAAATATGTTGTCCCAAAGTCGAATTAAAGCAGGGCGTTGATAAGATTAATATTTTTAATAGGGGGATACATGATGAACAATCTATTTTGCATTTGTTAATGACTATAAAATATTATCTTCAAGAAAGCTCCGTATGTCTGTCCGGATGAACGCTGAGACCTGAAGCGCAAGTTTATTTCAATAAAGAGCAACGACTTTTTTTTTTTAATAAACTTAAAATCTTCACAAGTAATTTTTCTCCGATATTTTTTAATATTTATATATAATATTTTTGTCACTTAGTCAATTTAATAATACCCGTTACTCGTAGAGTAAAAGGGTATACTAGATTCATTGAAAAGTATGTAACAGATAGAAGAAGCGTTTCCGATCCTAAAAAGTATATATATAAATAAACTATAAGAGATGCAAACTTCAGATTAAGCATGAAGATTTTTTAGATCCCTACGCAGCACAACTTTATTTCAGCATTCTGTCATGCTGAAATCTCAGGAACTATTAGAGCTAGAAAGTTGAATGCTTAGATGGCAGCGCATTTTATTATCTTACCATTATCCGGCCACGCCCACTCTAAAGCTCACAAAACAAGAAAACCCAAAAATTCGAAAAATTTGGGTACTATAAGAGCTAGAAAGTTGTGCTGAAGAATACGTATTTTGGATGCCACTGCAACTTGCCCCTAGTTTTTATCAGGCCACGCCCACTCTACCGCCCACAAACCGCGGAAAACTGTGGTGTCCGTAATATTATAGTGTATGTCTTCGTTTAACCTTGTATGATATATTTTTGTTAATATCTATCAATTTATCAATTTTTTAAATCGGAACACTATTTCGCTATTTATGAAGAAATTTAGGTTATAAGGCCTCGCATGGCCAGTGACGTCACTATCACTGGACGTCAATAATGTTCATTCTTAATCTCATCTTTGTATCTTTTATAGTTCCTGGGATCTCAGCGTTCATACGGACGGACGAAGGGACAGACGGACATGGCTCAATCGACTTTGGTATAAAGAATACATGTGTGAATGTAGAGCTACCCCAGGTCGAGGTAGTTTAATCATCCAGCGTCTACAATATTGAAGTATATGTTTTGGTTTCACTTAATAAAATATTTGTTTGGTAATAATTATTTATGTACCAAACAATTCAATTACCAACTCTGCATCATAATTTTGACTTCTCTAAATGTTGAAACATTTATGCCTAATAATAAAGGAACTTTTTAGTTTTAGAAAATAACAGTGTTATAATGTTGTACTGAAAAGCAAAGGAGAATCACAGATATAATAATATATTGGACAACGGTTGGTCAAAATAATTTCGTTTACATGTTACATACATTTAAACGAATAAAACATACCCTCTGTTCTATAAGATATGAAAAATCTGCAGCGAATACAGTATTTGGATGGCATTTGGTTTCTCTACACCGCAATACTCTTTGAGATAACATAATTAATAAAATAAGGGATTTAAATCTATATTTTATAATTATGTATTGTAAAACTGAAGAATTTAGAATCGTTGCGTGAATCTTGTAATATCCTTGCAGTATAGTTTGTAAAAAAAATTGAAAAACAAATGTACACCATAAAAGCTGAAACATACCTGCATGGTTTGCACCATTGATTCTGTTGATCCAGTCCAAACCGGGCTCTGCATTTTTTCATATTATTGCCTAGAGAAGTGGAGTCAATTAAAATATAAAAATATAATAAAATTTATATTATTTTATAAAATGTTAGTAATCTGTTAGTAAGCTTTTTATTAAAAACTAAATAATTTTATTACGAGTTTAAACAAAAACGAATATGGGTTATTTCCACGTTAAACTTATATATTAAAATAAATAAACAAGAAATTTATGCACTGAGAGCGTACCAAATTAGAAAGTGATATCTTTTTGCTTAACTATTTAATGAACCTTGCCTTTTTAACAAAACATTACACAATAAATACATGCATAAGTCTATTTACTTAAATTAAAAGATTACTACACGTTTTTTCTACAATTCATTCATTTTTGAATATGATATTTTGTTTATATTTTCATGCTACTAATAAATATGTTATATATAAAAGTTTTCTATGCCATTTTAGAATTATTTAATTTTGAATAAAAACTAAAATAATTTTTTTTAAATTCATTTTTGCAAATTCAAATTTGATATTCATTGGGTACATATCAATAAATAAGCATGTAATGAATTTATAATATATACACATGGTTTTCTTATTTAATTTAACATTTCATTTACCAATGGTCTCTATAAAATTTCTTATATTTGATGTTGTTCATATTTAATTAACATTTTTGGTCTTATATAAACTGTTTTTATTTCGTACAATAGAAAATGTATCTAACCTCCGTCATTGGGATCTTGCTTCCGCTTCCTTTTTTTCCCCCGAGAGGCATTTGTACGAGAGCTCCAATCGGGATACATTTGCATGTGCAGTTGTCGTTCCCTTCGCGCCAACTCGTAATACTTCGCCTGCTCTTCACGACCCAAGGCATGCCACTGGGTGTGGGAAAATGGCGATGTTTCGCGAAAATGTAATATATAATATAATATGCAAAATGTATCGAAATTATGTAATACATATTCAGCAATGTCAATGTTTTGCTTATACGTATATATGTGTTTTACCAGGGCTTTGAACGCCATAAATTTGGCATTCGACCAAAGTTAGGAATTGCTGTTAAATTAACTATACCGAAATAAGCTTGTTTGATATATATTAAAAAAGCTAGTTTCCGGCTTGGATAAGTTCACAGCCCTGATTTCAACACATGAGGGTTAAGGTTCTGCATTACATGGTTTCAAAGATTTAAAAGAAGGAAAGAATAAAATGAATTTAAAATATCATTTTAAAACCTTTTCTGCATCTACATTTTATTATTATTAACAGTGAATACCACGTGCCGTGATCATCTGTCTAACCATGTAGGCATTGAGATGAAGGGAACTGTTATATTTTCTTAAAAATTGCCAGGTTAATTTAAAAAAATAGGCCTTACAAGGCTGATAATAAGCCGGTTGTAAATAAATTAAAGGAACCCTATTAAATCTTAAATATTTATATTTTTACAATTCTTGCTTATTTTTATTTAAATTATCAAAATAATTTAAAATAAGTTTTACAAGCTTCAATAAAACCCGGATGTAACCAAACTAACGGAACCCTATTGAATTAAATATTATATTTTCCGACCCTATATAGTCTTTATCAAGATCAATAGCCAAGTCAACTTGCCCATGTATGTCCCTCTAACCATTAGAATGTGCATTTCTCGGGAGCTATTGGAAAGTTGGGCCTAAGAATACACATTTTAGAAATGACTGCACAGCGCAAGCTTAATTCACCGAATTGTGTTACAAATATTGTTTGATTTTATCATTTGTCTTACACGAACATGAATATATAATAATATTCATGAAAAATCTTATCTATATTATCTATATAATTATATTCATGGAAATATATAAAATGAAAGGATAAGGTTATCAGAGTGGATTTGAAAGTACTATGTGCACACAAAAATACATTCTTATTCCAAACTTTCTAGCTCTTATAGTTCCTGAGATCTCAGCGAATTTCGTTTTTCATGATTAGAAGGCGTTAGAGCGGACGCAGGCAGGATGCTGAAATAAAAATCCTTAATACTTAATACCACGTTTGTGTCTTGTATAGTTTCTGAGATCTCAGCAGACAGATAGACAACAGACGGACGGACGGACGGACAGACGTACGAACAGACGGACCTGGCAAATTCGACTAGCCTTTTTATATTGACCAAGAATATACATATATTATGGGGACCCAAACGCTTCCTTCTGCTTACATACTTTTCAACGAGTACAATAAGGTAATTTCCTACACCTTATAGCCAGAATATATCTATATTTATACATATATATGTAATATATTTTATTTCCGGCATACTTAAAAAATATACGCGAACAATAATATTATATTTGCCAAAAGATTTGATAGTTTTAAATATATATAAAAATAATATATAAGTAAAAACAAATTGCAAACATCTTTACAATTTTCATCGAGACGTAATATTTAATATTTACTAAAAGAATCTATAATATGAAAAACTTACAAATTTTAAGGATGTGCCAAAAAGAATTGATTTATATATTATTGTATAAAAATTAACGAAGTGGGCGTCCCACATTTATATGACTAATATGTTATGACAGAAAGTCATCGATAAATCCAATAGACTATTGATCCTAATTAATATATTTATATTTTATAGGTTTGGACGCGCTTCCTTCTACTTGTTACATGTTACGAATATATTATACCTTTTTACGCTATGAGTAATAGGTATACGAATAATTAGTATCGTTTCCTTAATTTCGTTAGCTTCATTGAAATTTACGGAAAAAAAAGTCCACTTTTTAATTACTTTAATTTAAATAAAAAAGTAAGTACAAGTATAATATGCAAAAAAAAAAAAAATGAATACAACCGTTGGCAAAAAAAGCTGTTTAATTTGTATGTGTTCAAATATATTACCCCCGGACAGGGGCTAACCACGCTTTGTCTTAATTATTATACCTTTCCCTTAATATTTATTTTTCAAAAAACTACCAATTCGGATAAAATTAAATTATATTTAATACATATGCATATCTATATTAGGTTGGTATAATATAAAAACGACATTTAAGAAAATGGCTTTTTGATTCCACAATGTTTTAAAAAGCTTGAACTGATCGATCTTAAACACGGTTTCGGGCGCATGCTTTTACCAATTTCAATCCAGATACCCATTTTGGAAAATTAACCGTCGCTTGCCAGATTCTTAAGCAAAGAGTTGATTAAAATAAAACTTGTAACAAAATATTATGTTTCGTTTGCTTATACAATTCTTTTTAGTTACCTTTGCCAATTTTCTGACTAATAACATTACAGCCAATCGCTAGTATCAATTAATTAATTAATTAATTTGATTAAATTTTATACAATACAATTTTTTTATATTTTTAATATATTCCACATTGCCTTTCCTTTCTCTTTAGTTTACTTTAAATGAAAATAGATTGGAACAAATCAGTGAATGCAAATAAATGTTCCCAAGAACATTATATTATATTCTTTCATACATTTATTCTTTAATTATTATAACACGCTAATTGGCTGTAATCTAGTGCAACTTAATAATTGTGTCTGTGTTCGTAAAAATGTGTTATTGTGTTTAATTAAATCTTTATTAGAAAGTATTTTTATTCCTAATGCCAGGACTGCATAAAACGACTTTATGAAATCAGAATATACGAATATTAAAGGGAACCGATGCACTGAAACACTTTTGAAATTTGTATTTTTTCACAAAGCTAAACTAATATCAAAGTTAAAATAAAGATTAGTTTAAAGATCTTGATTTACAAATATATTAGTATTACTACATATTTTTACATTGACTAACTATTGTTAAAACACGTCTAATCTATCTTTAATTCTGAAAAAAATGTTTATCTTCAAAGTGGACTTCCATTCGTATAATATTTTTAGCTTTTCTCCTTACAATATTTCAATAAAATTTGAATATTTACAAAAATTACATAAAAGCATTTTCTATTTTACTTTTCTAATTTAGGTAGGTTAGTTGTTGATGTTAGATGTGTGCTTTAACTTGTATGTGTGTAAGTGATTAAATGAAATAATATAAATATGAAATGCAATAAAATAAAGGGTAGTTAACATTTTGATAATTTTGTGCAATACCTCCCGAATCCGTTGTCGATCTGTCTTTTTTACGCTTTTTTTTTTTTGACACGTAACCATAGTTATCTCGTGCGCTCCACCCCGGATACAATTCCATATGCAATTGACGCTCTTGTCGAGCTTTTTCGTAATATTTGCTTTGTTCTTCGCGGGAAAGTTCGTGCCACTACAAAAGTATTATTAATAAGGTAATCCATTAGAAGTTTTTCAAATTTTGGTATGCTTTCCAAAAATTGTATATTTCTACATTAGTTAGATTTAATATTTCAAATGTAAATTAAATCAAATTTTTTTAGAATTTTCTTTGTGTTTCGAAATTGATCGCTTAACAGATCCGAAAAATTTACTAATCACAGTAAAATTCGGATGAAACTTACTTACGTATACATATTACAAAAATTGAGTTACTGATTATCTTACCCGTCTCCCTAAAATCTGATTAATGGCAGCCGATTCTTTTAGTGTACATTCGGCAACAACTTTAGCACGCATTTCTTTCATATAGAGCATAAAAGCATTAAGTGGTTTCTTGATATGAGGTTTCTTTTTATCATTTACTGAGTCCTTAGAATCGTTTGATTGCGTATTCGATGACGGTTTTGTATCCAGATTCCTGAAAATTAAAACATAAAATATGTAGTATTTGCTATTACGTTTTTAATTAACATTTAACATAATGTCATAAAAAAAATCGCAAAGAAAATTAATCGTTTCCATATTCTGATCTGTGTTTAAACAAGTTTTTTTCTATTTTAATCTAAAGTAAATGGATCACAGATAAATTAGTTTTTACTTTCAGAGTACTTTTAAACGACTTAACCGTCCTTTTTTTGTTTTGAAATTCGGTGACTGCTGCTTTAAAATCTAGTCAAATGGCGTTCCTAAAAACTTTTTTATTTCTTTAATATATGTATTATTTCTATCTAATTTAGCTAGATTTAAACCTGACTCAATGTTTTTAACTGTCTTAGATAGGATTACTGGATAACAAAAAAATAGTTCAAAAAAACTTATTACACATCCAAATTTAATTATTTTGTAATGAAATTCTAAATTTAAATATTAATTGAGATTTTGTAATTTTTATTTATTTATATTTTTTAATTTTCTTATGAAGTTCCACATTTTTATTTTAATTTATGGGATATCAGCTTTAATATTTTTAAACATATTTCTTCGAGCTTTGACAAAAGGAACATAAATGGTTTAAATTTATATCTATTCATGTTTGTCAATTCCTGTATGGAAGTTAAGATATATATAAGTGGTTCGATGTCAAATATTTTTTTTCTAGGAAATGAAAATTATAAATATATTGATAAAAGTTTCCATAAATTAAATACTTAACTTAATTAGAGAAAAGCTGTTTAAAATTACATGTGTTTTATTTTGGATCCAATACTTAAGTCGTATGGGACGTCTACCATTGGCATTACTTCAGCCTCGTTTAATCTATTATTAGCAGTCAACGCGTTGAAAATATTGGTTATGTGACGTTCCTTCGATTTCAATACAGAACATTTATTTGAAGTAATGATTTGAGAAATTGAAGTCGACGAATTTGCTGTTGTCGCAAGTAATGGCAATATTTTACTTTGGTAAGTCAAATCCTGATCACAGTTTAGTTTTTTTATATTCGATTTCGAAGATTCTGAAGTCAGAGTTTCGATTCGCCTTGCGAGTCTTGGTTTTCTTCGATTGTGACTCAATCCAAATATCCCTGAAGTTATTCCAGTCGAACAGCCACTATTACTACTTGTTGAAGGTGTAGATGGTGCAGTGGAAAACTCAGAGAAAAATGGAGGGTCAGTGTTGATTGACACAGCAGAAACTTCTCGGTTATTATTATTATTTAATATTATAGGGGTTGGTGTTGTAGCATTAAAATTTTCACAGGCATCAATAAAGTTTGAAGAAGATGCGAAAGTATCAGGCATGCGTAGGTTATTTGTATTAGATGATGAAGACAACGAAGCATATTCTAAAATTATCTCAGCTGCTGTGGTGCAATGTTCTACCTCCTCTTTACGACTAAAGCTTCGTTTGTTCGTGTGCCATATACAAGAGGGAGTTAAAATGGATTCTTCGCAATCGCTTTTCATTGTATCACTGTATGCATCAGGAGTGGAGCTAGCTACTCTCGACGAGGTGAGTTGTATTACATCCTCCTCTTCGTTTAGTGTTTTTGGGTTTGATAAAGTTGAAAAAAAATCTAGGTCGCGTTCAATATCCAGATGCTTGGAATTAAAAATGCTAGTTTTCTTAGTCAAAAGATCACTTCCATCGGATAATGCTATTGCAGCCAAAGCCATAATGGTATGCGTTGGCGTGGGAATAAATTCAGAGCCTTCTTCTGATGAAAGTCCTAATCGTTGTAAGCTCCGGAGGTAATAGAGTTCAGCACTGTTCCATTGATTATAAAGTCGTTTCACTTGTCCTAACACGCTTTTAATTGACTTGCAATTTCCATCTATTTGTCTTCCAACAGTCGCTTCAAGAGCTGAATCAATACCAATATTTACATCGATCTGAGATTGACGTAAACTCAGACTTTTTTTAAATTTTGCTGATAGTACAGAAAGTTTCTCGAGACCATTTTTTACGTCTATAAGAACTTTTTTATGCTCTCGGATAAATTCACAAGTATGTTGTAGGTTATACCCATCTGTGCATTGAGCTTCATTGTTTAACTTTAAGTCCAGTGCGGTATTTAAAATATGATTACAATTTTCCAAGTCTTGCATATTTTTTTGTAGAGTTCCTTGACATCGATGACCTTTAGAAAAATCAAAAAAAGATTTATCGCCGCATCTGAAGCAATTTTCGGTATCATTAATTAACTCAATATTGTTATTACTATCTTCCGACGATGAAGCAGTTGGAATTTCATCTTGGAATATCATGGGTTTTTTTAACCCTGAATAATGAACCATGTTAATAGCTTTTTTGATAGATTTCTCCCAACCGGAATCCTGTTCTGTTGATTGTGAATGAAAAAGCTGAGCATAAAAAAGTTGTGCAGCCAAAAGTTGTTGCTGCGAGCATTTCTGCTGACTTAGCAAATTATTAGTGTATATGCATGAAAATAGTTCACTTCGATTGCGAAAAAAATCTTCCTGACAGCTTTCCGCTTCTTGTTTTGTTTGACTATGCTGAGATATAGCTTTCGGATGGCGTAACAGCAGTTCGGAAACCAACGCTGCCATTCCGGCTGTGTTATTTGATGGAACAACAACGTTTTTTTCCAATGCATTGCATTTATTTAGGGTGATAATATTGTTAGGTAATATCTTATATTGATCATAAGTATTATCAACTGAGTGCTTATCTGTTTTTAAAACATTAGATGATTTTGAATTGTGTTTGTTTTGTAGTTCTTCCTCACATTTATCATTTGCGTTAATGATTAAGTCTTTTAAGTCCGACGCCCTTCCACTATCGGATGTTACACAGTTTTGCATTATAGGAATTTTATTATTCTGATATGTTAAGATCAGTTTTGTGTTGGCTAAAGATTAGCCTATTATCATAGTTATTAGGTCTGCAGTTATAGTTAATTATTATGAAAGGTAAATAAAGCTTGTAAAGCAAATTGGGTTTAAATTACATTTTCATTAAATTTCCTAAGTTCCTTAAATATGTTTTTTTCTCAAATAAAATTAATCGTTTAATTCAGAAGATTTATAAAACACATTAAATTACTAGCTCCTTATGAAAAATGTAAATGTAAAATTTGTATATTCTTAAGTGTTTACTTTTTATAAATTGAGTAATAATATATATAATAATATTGAATTAAAATCAATAAGTTTTTTGTTGTACGTTATAAAGTCCATTGTTTATTAGTATATATTAGTTATTAAAAATGTTTAAGATTATCATTAAAATTATATTCATTTAGTTTAGGTCCCATACATTAATTCGAAAGTCGAGTGTTGTACCAGTTATCCTGTTGCCCGCCTGTTGCTAAGCCAGACATTGACGTGTTTGGGTAGTTTATGTATTTAATATATTTATCCGAAATGATATTTGTCGTTACGTTAAAGCCCCCTCAATGCATACATATCGACCACCTTCTGGTATTTAAAACCCTTACGTATAAGGGACAAGGTAAGATAAATGTAAAACATTTATTAGTCATTCTTTAAACAATTTTTAATGTTTAATTTCTCATTTTAAAAATTTTAAACACTTAATTGCTATTGTTGTAAAGCACACATTGTGCTAGAACGTTTTAACATTTTTGTTATTTCAATAATATTAATAACTACACCCAGTTGCTTTTATCGTATTTTGTTTGTATAGTTTTCCAACGGGCAATACGGGTTTAAAATATTTTAAAAGAAATTTTTTATATTCATATTTTTTAGAATCGCTTTTTTAAATTATTGGCTTATAAAGATTTTCGCAAAATTGTATATTCTGCCACAACAGTATTCGAATTACTCTCTTTCGCCCATTAAAAATAAAACTTAACGATGTAGATGTCCGACATCTATCCGAGTGAGGTAGAGCGAAGATGAATTATAATGATTGCGCAAGAGCTATTGCGCACGCCCTCATTTTAAACAGAACCATTATATTATAGAGCCTCGTTTCAGACAAATTTTAACAATATTTTAAAAATTAAGACATTTTGTTCATTAACCGAAACAAAATGTTTAAACATTACATTAAGATTTTTATAAAAATATATATATACATACACATATCTAAAAATGTACGCATTGAAAGGTCTTTACATGTTTGTTTACATGGTTACTTACATGTATGAATATTTTACGTACAAATTACATTGAGAACCTGACCTGAAAATTCCTACGTTCTTTGTGAATGTAGTCACCTACTTACTTTCTTCGCCAGTTTAAATGGCATTAGACTTAATAAACAAATTAAAAAGGTACAAAATAGTATATTTTATGCCCGATTATCAGATACCCGTTTCCTATATGTATGTTTACCGCCAACCGCTAGATGGCGCTTTAAACCCCGATTACACTGCAAACAATAGGAATGTTAATGGCGCCATCTGCCATGCAACAGACATTTTACACAAAGCCATATATTTATATAATTTTTTAAATAACTAGTTGCCTTTTTTGGCTACAGAGTTACGGGTATCCGATATTTCTTAGATACATAAGGTGAAACAGAATATTGATGTAACGAAAATTTTGAGATGTTTCCGTTTTTGCTTGATTTGTTTTCAACTTAAAATAAAACTGAAATATATATAACTCTATGAATATGTAACTAAATAAGGTTTAATAAACCATTACTAAATTTGTTTTTAAAGTTTGTTTTAAATATTTTCTTGGTTTTAAAAAATAAAAAACCATTATATTGTGATCCACTCAACCTTATAGGCTCGTCTACCAACTACCTGTCACATACTCTATAAGTGTGCCGAGTATAATAATTGATATAAAAAAACTACACTCAATTTTTTTCAAATTAAATAATAAATATTAAGTCAGAACTTAAATATAGTTTAATAATGCCATCAAGCATTACTGTTTTAAATCCTTCCTTATCAAATAATATGATGACTAAAAAAGACATATCAAGCTTGATCCTAAATAGTGCACGTTGCCATTTATTCAAATTGTTTCTAGATGAAAGCCCCACTGTGTATTTTCTCCATTACATTTTTAGCATAAGCAAACACTGTACAAAAGATAATTAACATTATTTCACTTAGATTTAAAAAGCACAGATAGTGAAGATAGTGTAAAAAAGTCAAAAGAATAAGTAATACATACAACATGAGGGTACGCCTCAATAGCCATTACCATATACTCGTTGCTTTTTAACTGGCAGTACGTTACTAAAAATATTCCCGTTTTAAAAACTATTTGGATCATTATTAGGTGACGACTAAAAATTAGTATATAAGGTCAAACCAAAGCAATAGTACTTAAATTTATGGGCGCCTCATTTTTTTGCGGTTAGTGGATGTTAGAGTGGGGATAATGAATCCACAATGGGCTAGCTATTAGTTAATAGCTAAGTCAATTTTTTAGCTCTTTTAGTTTCGGAGATCCTTTGTATCAATAAACGTGTAAAGATGCTGAAAATAGAGATAAGCGGCTGTAGAACCTTAGTGCTTAATCCCCATTTTTTGTTCACTATAATTCCAAAAATTCCAGCATTATGTGTTTATACAGGAAGACATGTCTATTAACTTTATTTAATCGAAAACGCTTTCTTTTTTCTATTACAAATTTTTCAACGAAAACATACTTTTTTACTTTCGAGTAACCGGTATAATAATATTCGTAATCAAACTTAAAAATGTATAAAGGCTTGATTGACTCGACTAGCAATTCTGATCCTTCCTGTAACATAATCTTCATCAAGAACAATATCGCTTTTGAATCTAAATTTAACTTGGTTAATGGAAATGTAAAATGTTTTCCTAATAAGGAAATCTTTACATTTTTCGCACAATTCAAAATCATAATTGAAGTGACATTTGCAATAGTGTGGAACATAAGTGGAAGGGTTTTAGCAAACACGAATTTCTACTTTCCGCGTAATAACATAATTTTAACATATAAATTCTGGTAAAATAATTCATGGACAATTTTTAAACTGAATGAGTCAGAATTTCAAAGTTAGGGGTAATGAAATTCGAACGTGCTTTATTTTAGGGGATGGTGATATATGCGCAAGCGCTATATCAGTGAGAGGGGACCAATGAGAGTGTTTATATATAATCCGAATTCTGTCTATTTGTAACGTGTGCCTGTATATGTGAATATGTGCATTAAAGAAAGCCATTGGTAAATTAAAGATGGCGGATGTAAATTACCCACCCACTGAATTAGTATGTCAAAAGCATAGTAAATGAGAAATACAAATAAAGTTAAAAGATCGATAGAAAAATTACCACATTAATTAAAAGAAGGTATCATTCGCAAAAGTTTACTTGATATAGAGTTCAATACCAGAGTAATAATATGTCTAATACTTGCTTTAAAAGCAATAAAGCAGCGTAATACAGCAAAAAATATATTAATGGAGTATTAAAATGAAATAAAAATGTATAAAAATGCAATGTTGTTAATCATACCTTGGATATCTATTATTCGTTGTTGTGTCCTGAACGCCACAGTCTTGTTTGGAGTTTACTCCCACAATAGCAGAATGCGCATTTAAAACATGGTGCGATGGGGCGTGTACTGAAGGCAACAGGCTGGGTGAAAATCGAAAAGGAAAATCACTGCAAATAAAAATTAAGGATAAAAATTCAATGGAATGGTTGCATTAGCAATGGGACATTGTAGAAAAATATCAAATCATTCACCACAAACACTAATAAAAACAAGGAGGAACGCTTTAATTGAGTTCCGCAATTGTCGTATTTTATTTTCTATTATAATTGTGTTAAGATGATGTATAATTTTATTGGCTCCAGAGATTAGATAAAACAGTCAACTGTGGTATCGTCCCAGCCCTTGTAAAGACATATACTTCAATTTGTCTAACAAAAAAAATAAGAACCATTTTCATATCGAACATATCTAATCACATTGACCTAATAAATCCGGTATTCTCTGTCAGGAACCCTAGATAAGTCGATCTCGTGTCTATAACCACTGAGATCTCGAAAACAATAAGAGCTATGAATGTTATTGTATAGATCCCATAAATTGCAAAGGTTAACGCAAATTATTATTTATTTTTTAAATCCGAATAAAAATTACACGAACATAGGCTAAAAGAGCAGCGCTTTTCTCTTAACTCTAACGACCATAAGTTCCAATGGTTAATGCAAAATATTTTTTTTTTTAAGTCCGAATAAAAATTGCAGGAAGAGATTCTGAAGATGTCATCGCAGAGCAAATTTATTTCAGCCGGCAATGATCATTTTGTTAAAACCAATAAACCACCTTACTATTAAGTACATATATATTAACATATATCTTTCTAAATATCCCGAGGATGAGGTCGGTAAGGAAAGCAACCGAGAGCATATGCATACACATAAAAAATGAACATTCAATAGGTTCTTAAAAAAAAATTCATATAATCGGCATATAATACAAAAAAAACAAATCCGAAATTTGCAGATGTGGGGTATATCTATTAATCTATCTATACAGAGCACATGTAAAAAAAATAGTTGTAAATAAAATGTATATGCTAGGCCATATAAACACATAAAGTAAACACGTGGTTTGCTAAGTACACCTGAAATGTCACAAAAACGTATTAGTACCTTGAAAGTGTAGTGCTTATCGGTAACGAGGATGGATAAGGAGTTCTAAAACTAGTGGCAGAATAAACGGAAGGTGTGTGCCTAAAAAAATGTAATAATATTAGTTTAAATAGGGGTTCATTATAAGAAACATACCATGAAGCCACTTGAGACATGTCAGAACTCAGCATTGGGTAAGGGTATTGACCTCCTGCAAATGGGTATAATGCTGGGCGAGTTAAGCCTGAAAATACAAATTTTAAGTTAAAACAAGAAGAAAAAGAAGAAAAAGATATCTGTTACTGTTTTTGCACAATTTAAAAAATTAATTTTGCTAGTAGAAATTCACAAAGCGCCACCTTTAGTCAGAAAAAGCATGTTGAGTAGCTGATAGTGACGTCACTGCCCATGTACTGGCCATGTAAGAAATGTAGGTTTTCTTCATAAATAGCGAATCAATGTTCCGATATGAAAAATCATTAGTAAATCGATAGATATTGACATAAATGTGTTATACAAGGTCAAACGAAGGGATCCACTATAATATTGTGGACGCCATAGTTTTCCGCGGTTTGTGGACGTGGCCGGACGAAAACTCGTGTCGAGTTGATGTGGCATAACTAAAATACGTAGTCTTAGGCACAACTTTCTAGCTCTTATAGTTACCAAGATTTTTGCATTTTTGGTTTTCCGGGCACTGTGGGTGTGGCTAGATGGGAAAAACAATTCGCATTTGGAGTATCCAAAAAACCTACATGGTTAGTCGAAACTTTCTATCACTTATAAGCCCGTGTGCTGGCATCTCAAGATTATACACACTTTATACAGCGATTTTATTTTTTCGAGTTTTGTGGACGTTAGAGTGGGCGTGGCAAGATAAATAAACTTGCGTTGCGTAGGGAGCTCAAGAATCTTCATGATTAATCTCAACTTTGTTCCTGAGATCACAGCGTTCATACGGACAGACGGTCGGACAGAAGGACATGGTTCAATCGACTTCGCTATTGATCGTGATCAAGAATATATATACTTTATAGGGTCAGAAAAGCTTCCTTCTACCTGTTTCATACTTTTCAACGAATACAGTATACCCTTTTACTCTAAAAGTAACGGGTATAAAAAGAAGAAATTAAAGTAACATTTTATGAAAAACTTTACAAGCTGTAAATAATTTATAATTTTGTAATTGCAAGCATTTTATCGTGTCAATAGCTGCACAAATTCTGTTTTACTTTGTATTTTTTTTTTGTGATAAAGACTCTAAAATAATACTTCATAAAAACTTTTAAAATTTTAAAGTTTAATCAAAATTTATAAACGTTACTCG